TTCATTCCATCCAATCGCTGCAAGGGCAGGTGAATTTTGCTGTCGGGTTTGCTTCGGGAAGAGGTCTAAAGTTGCTGCAAAGAGCCCTGGGAAGTTTTCTTCGCGATCCCGGGATGCGGACGGCTTCTGATTTGCGCTCTCTCTGCGACTACGGGGTGGATCTCATAGACGCCTGCACGCCTAGAATTTTCGCTTGCAGGGGACCAGTGAGTCCCGTGGTGATCTTTACTGATGCTGCCTATGAACATGGGGTAGCGTCTTATGGCGTGGTGGTTCTCGATCCCTTTTCTGGCACACGGCTAGTCGCTGGAGGGAGGATCCCAGACTCGCTGGTTGGCTTCTGGCGGTTGGACAGCCCTGAACAAGTGATCGCGCAGGCTGAGGCGTTCGCAGTGGTCGCAGCCCGAGAATCCTTCTCCCGTCTGCTCACAGGAAGGAGAACCATCTATTTCGTGGACAACGAAGCTGCTAGAGAAGTACTGATTAAAGGGGCGAGCAGATCGCGAACGATGCTGCTGCTGGCTGCAATTTTCTTCGAGCTCGAGAATAAAGATCATGGAGTCACTTGGCTGGAGCGCGTTCCGTCTCAGAGTAACATAGCCGATGCTCCGAGCAGAGGACTGGTTGCGGAGACAGCAGCCCTGGTCAAAGGTCGTGAGACTGCACTTAGTATTGAGAGTCTGTGCGCGAAGTGCATGGCTACTGTACAGATACCCTGGGAACTCCTCAAATAGTTACGGTCACTTTTAAAGGGGGTTATGCGTGTTGGGGCAAATCGGTAACATGCACCTAAACAGCCAGTGCGCATCTCAACGCATACATGCTGGGTGCTCCAACCGAAAACCTTCGAAAGAACTCTTCACTCTTCGAACGCCTCGCTTTTGATTGACCCCTGACCGTGGAAAAAAGAAGGGAGCGTCCTCGTACAGAGTTTATGTGATCTAGATTCTTTATTGAACATAATTTGGAATAGATTGGGAATCATTGTGAAAACTTAAAGACGGCGTCTTCGCGAAGCGACAAAGTTGTCTTTCTGTTTTCATAGCAGCCGCCTTAGCTGAGCAATGATTCCAAAATCTTTCCAAACTTAGTTTCGAACTCCGCACACGTTCATGCCGTTTAAAGGTGCTTCGCAGACCACTGGAGGCACCCTTGTGATCCGGACTGTATGTGTTTGAAATCCCATGTTGCACCTGAACAGGCAGCCAAATGTAGTCTCCCAGCTAGAGGCCCCTGAAGTTGGGATATACCGGTGATTTGTAGATTGATGTTGAGAATAATACGCCGCGCCGTTCTCTCAGCATGGCTCGTTTCGCACTAGCACACATTGCAGGGCAGTCCATGATGTACGCAGACATGGACAATGCTAGTGCTGAGCTATGCTAAACTTTTTCACCCGCCCTCCCACCCTCGGAGTTTTCTTTACCGATTTGGGGGGGGGGGGTTATGCGTGTTGGGGCAAATCGGTAACATGCACCTAAACAGCCAGTGCGCATCTCAACGCATACATGCTGGGTGCTCCAACCGAAAACCTTCGAAAGAACTCTTCACTCTTCGAACGCCTCGCTTTTGATTGACCCCTGACCGTGGAAAAAAGAAGGGAGCGTCCTCGTACAGAGTTTATGTGATCTAGATTCTTTATTGAACAGAATTTGGAATAGATTGGGAATCATTGTGAAAACTTAAAGACGCACCTGTATTTTGCAGAGATGGTACCACGGTGCAATGGATGCCGTACCGAATCCTTGCAGGTATCACTCATGCAGGGCGCGACACCAAATGTGGTCACTACCGGGCCTTCTTAAGTGATGCGCCGCTGAGCACCAACACCTGGTTTACCGACGACGGCCAACCAGCAAAAAGCTGCACGGATGACCTTCTGCACCACATTCACCACGAATGCTACATGTGTTTCCTTACACGCATGTGAGGGTAATCATGCAGACAATGCCAGCATATGTGGTCGAGGGCACCTCCCACAACTGCAGGTACTTACGTTTCTTCTGCCACAAAATGAGTTCGCGGAGCACACCTGATCTGCTTTTTCACACCATCATTTCTGAACAATATGTAGGCTGTACAGCTTTATCTGATGGACTGCGAGGTTTAAGGACCGGGTCAACTGCTCGTTTTCTGACCTGCTTGCATCTCGATGCGGGGTCTATCCCTCACCGAACATGTACATCAGAGGATTTTACTTCTCACCTGCCATCACGATTGGCCGCATGCTCTTGGCATGTGCTTTTCTGTGCATTGTGTCGCGCTAGGCTTCCTTACCCGAAGCTGCGTATGCAAATGCAAAAATGCAAATGAGTAAAGAAATTCGAAAATCAGAGAAGTAGAGAATTCATGTAAATTCCATCCCCCTCGTTTCTTGATTTTCTTTGTGCTCATTTCGAGAATCAGTGAAGTAGAGTAGAGAGTTCCCTCATTCATCGTTTTTTGTTTCTTGTGTTCATTCTTCGGGAATCAGAGGAGCAGGGATTAATCTAAATTCCACTCCTTGGTTTGTTTCTTGTGTTGTTCGAAAAGCCGAGAAGAAGTCGAGAAGTAGACTGACTCTGAATTCCACCCCCCCTCGTTTCTTAGTTTTTGTTTCTTGTGTTTTTCTTCGAAAAGCAGAGAATGAGTAGAGAAGTTATTCGAACTCAGAGGAGTAGAGAATTCATCTAAATTCCACCCCTCTCGTTTCTTGATTTTCTTTGTGCCCATTATTCGAGAATCAGAGAAGTAGAGTAGAGAGTAAGTATCCCGTCGTTCATCGTTTTTTGTTTCTTGTGTTCATTCTTCGAAAATCAAAGAAGTAGAGAATTAATTTACATTCCACCCCTATCGTTTCTGGTTTTGTTCTTTTTTGTGCAACATCCTCGTTTTTGTCTTTGTTTCTTGTATTTCTGTTCGAAAAGCAGAGAGTAAGTGGAGAAATTCTTCGAAAATATAGTGGAGAATTCATCTAAATTCCACCCCCTCGTTTCTTGTTTTTGTTTCTTGTGCTCATGTTTCGAAAATCATTGGAGAAGTAGAGAATTGGTCTAAATTCCATCCCCCTCGTTACGCAAAAAAAAAAAAGAAACGAGGCGGCCCTACCCCCTGTCATGGGGGGGGGGGGGGGGGGGTTGGGGGGGGGGGTGGGGGGGGGGGGGGTGGGGGGGGGGGGGGGGTTGGGGGGGGGGGTTGGGGGGGGGGGGTTGGGGGGGGGGGGTTGGGCCCCCCCCCCCCCATTTGCCTGTTGTTGCCAGCCCACCCCTTTCCCCGTTTAGAATGGAAAAGCTGAAGAAAGGAGTGAGGGTAAGGGAAGGCAGAAGAGTTGGGGTTAGGGTTAGGGTTAACCCCAACCCTAACCCCAGGTAGGGGGTAACCCGACTTTCCGCTCGCTGATCATCCGCCGGTCGGCTCTCATGGTGACAGGGTGTCCTGGGAGCGGCACGTCAGTTGTGTTTGCAGGCCTTGCGGGCATCAAAATTGCCTGCCTTGCTCAGGGGAACAAGTTGGCACGAGCTTATGCACCTTGCAGGAAGCCACTGCGGCCTCCTCGCCCGTAGTCACCGATGCCATCCGGCGCATGCCAGGCTTCCAGGAAGGCTGGGACTACCTGCTGCCGGATATAGATGGCGTTCACCACGTCCTACATCCTGATGACGTTCGCATCTTGGCGGTCTCACGTGGGGTCACCAATAACGCATGAGGGAGGCCCGGTGCAACAAACCTACACCCCACAGGTGCTTAAGTACCTCCAGCGAGCTGCGAGAATCTTTCTAGACGAAGCGCGGCAGTTGGGGAGCCCGGGCACCAAGATTGGAGGGGCACTCTTGTGGTTCCACACACCGACACAGTCCTCACACTCAGCGCACCCAAGCGAACGCGGGGCTTCGGCTCGTTTGTCTGCAGCTCTGCGCGTGGCGCCGTTCTGAACAAATTTGGTCTGGTTTAGCTTGGAGGATGCAGTTTAGGGTTTCAGGGTAAAGCCCCCTAGACCCCCATTTGACTTGCCCCAGGTCGCAAAGAGCAGCAGTCAGCTGCGAAGTGCAGCAAAGAGCAGCAAGTAGTCCTCCTGACTTATCCGCACTTTGAGTGGGACTATGAGCGGGACTGCCGTCCTCTTCTGTGACTTGCGTGGCGCCCGGGGAACTAGGGCAAGACAAGCCACCATCCTCCATGGTACCATGTTTGCTTCGCTCTGGCCTTCAGACTATCAATCGCTATGCCCCATTTCAGGTTGCTTGTGTGTGCTGGCCACGCTTGATATAGAAGGCCGACAAAAGAAAGGAGGCCTTTTGGCTCAGTTCTGTATAGACATGTTCACATGCAACTTGTCGATATGTCAAAAAGCAAACATGGAAGAATAACCTTTTCACTTCGACAGAGTATGGTATTAATAATCAACGACAGTAATTTGACTGAACGAAGATTCGCATAATGTCCGAGTGTGACGCGAGCACCGAAGATTGGAACAACATGGAGATGTGGCAGTGTGTGGCGAAAGAGACGACGTATAATGACACCGGGCCCCCCCTGGTATCCCCCCCCTCACTTTGTGGTTCATGGTGGATTTAGGGTTAAATTGGGCTTCTGCCACTTGCCCCACTTGCCTCTTCCCCCACCCAACCCCCTGTTGAAGACAGCTTGCTTCAATGCCCAAAAATATAACGAAAACACCAGTCACCCCTGGTTGGCTGTACGTGTACGGTTGTTGTCAATCACTTGCGAGGATTCACCATTTTTTGAGGCATGTCCGCAATTATATACAATCGGTTGCAATAAAGCAGTGAAAGAAGGATACGATCCGGCTCACAGTCGCGACCCGTCCACCACCCTGTCCCTGTCGGACGGAGCAACCTGCGCGTCGCTAAATTCAGCCAATTGTGTCAGGTCGAGGACTAGATTTCACATTCGATAGACGACCAGCTTTCGGATGACACCTGTTCAATGTAGACCCCGGAGTTGAGCTGAAGGAAATTTTTCCAAGAACAGCATAGCACGACATCAGCATATCATCGGGCATGAAGAAGGCCGGCGCGCAAAGTCACTTTGGGGCACGACATGACATGTATGGATCCAGCTTGGTTTGCATCACAACCCAGACGTTGAATAACATTTTTTCCCATGTCAAGGTTCAAGGGTATGCAGACTTCGTGACCACACGTGCAGAAGAATTGGAGTGTGTTCTTTCTCGTCAAGTCTTTTTGCCCCAACGACGCTGGGGCGCCCATGACCCCTTTGCTGGCGCCAGCTTGATGGCCGCTGACAAGGCGAAACGCAAAGTTGTGAACCTTATGCTTAAGCTGGAAACTACAAAATTTTCAGTGCCTTCAGGACAGGCGGCCATGCTTGAAGCTGACTCGACTTGAAGGTGCGGTATTGGTTGGTTTGCCAGGACCTCAATGAGTCAATCAAGGGTGTGAGGTTGTGATTAGGATTGCAAGGTTTGTGGGGTTTAAGACAAGTAAATACAATGTCGAATCCCTTCGCTGTCCAGTCCTCAAAACTGAGCCGTGTTCCAGATTGTGTGGGTACAACGGAGATCTTCGGAGATCTAGGTCTTGATTATAGACCCTAGCTTTACTAAAGCCAGTGCAGCATGATTCCGTACCAGTTTAACGTTTCCCACTGACGCTTTTTGAGTTGCAGAGTACTGCAGTCAATGGGTGGCTGAGGGACAACAGCCGATGCCTAACACATGATGCCAGAACCAATCAGCTTGCCAAGGATTCTTTTGCTGTGTCTCCCTTGGACAGCGTTTCTCTTTGCCGGAACGGAGTCCGCAGCCTCCTCGCTGAGCCAAGGAGCAGAGGTAAGGGCTTCGGAGGTTCAGGGGTGCAAGGCTGCGGCGATTCGAGTTTGGGCTGAGGCCAACGTAGTCAACGTCAAAGCAGATCAGAGCGCAAAAACGACAACAACATGTGCAGACTTTACAAGGCATGCGCCGGTGAATCGTGTCAATCCATGCCCGGGACTGTTGACTTGGTTCTGGAGGCGTCTTACTTGTGCAATTTTCTCCCCGCCCACCACCTGTGCAAGTATGTGTAGGTAAAGGTTTCAAAGCTGCATAACAATGAAGCTAGCGATGTGCAGGGTAAAACAGGCTCTGCGGCGCTTTTGGTTAAAGAAGTAAGAGCACGATCTAGTTGCCTTGTTGATGATACAGCTTTAAAATCCTGAAACCTATTCTCGCAGCCCCTGAGACTGGTCTTTCACGCACGGGGAAGGCCTCTGTTCCAAGCCGCTGAGCTCAGTTTTTCTCAAGTGCACAGTGAAGACATGTGGGACTCTTCTAGGGAGTTTTTTGCAACTCTTTTAGGGAGAATGTTGTGGGGACTGTCTCTCGTAAATGTATTTTGCAACGACCAAGAACTGACTCAGGACGAGGGCCCCGACGTGCTGCAAAAGTTGCTGCGGTGTCCAAGAGGTGCTCCATGAATTCCTTCTGCCAGGGGATGGTTTTCAGAAGGTTTCAGAAGGTTTCTCTCGAGCCAAGACGAAGGAGGTGTCAAAGCAAAAGTCCAGATGACCAGGAGCCAGCGGAGAGATCCAAGCGTTCTGGCAAGAAGTCGTGCTTGCATTTGAGGATCTTGCGGTATTGGGTATCACAATTCACAAATCAAAGCTCCTGTGGCATGCGATTGAGGCCACCGCGACAGAAGCGGATGGCGCGGCCTCTGAAGAAGAAAGCCAGGTGCGGCGGAGATCATCTGTGATACTGGGGTATTGGGATGATTTAGCGTTGGGGGTTGAGGTGGCCTCCAGGCAAACCATCCCAACGTTTAGATTTCCCTTTAGATTATGCGAGACAGGTATGTCATGGCACGAATTCCGAATGTGCAGCAAAGTCAGCAGGGCCTAGACTCACGTTGCAGCTATGCCCCCAAACAGCTCACGACACTGACGGCTTTAGAATTTGAGTTGCAAGCTGAGTTGCACTCCGAAGAAATCGAGACTTGCCGAAATTGCTCTGATCGCAGATGCGAAACTAAATCATCGTCGTTTCCTTAGCAGAGTCAACACTACGTGGGAAGGGTACGGAGGGATTGCTCTGCTCGCGCCCTTCGGGGCTAGTTCTGTGGCTGGCGACTGGCGACTGGGAGTGAGGCTCGTTTTGGTGCCATCGCTTTCTTGCGATGTGCCCTGGTGGTCTCCTTGGGGTTTCAGGTGTTGGACCACGGCAGATCAACCAGACCATGTGGAGCTTTTTCGCAGGCTGCACGAAACGTATGGAACGTCTGGAATGTATGGAACGTATGGAGCGAATGGAAAGTATGGAAAGTATGGAACGTATGGAAACGTATCGCTTGAGTCTGAGTTCCTGGAGTTCCGTTCCGGCCATCTTTGCTCGGCTGTGCTTGTTCAAGTTAATCGCAGGCAACTTGTTGAACATGCAACCTGGAGATACTGGGAGTGGGTCCCACCGCTTCGCTCTTCCAAGATTTGTTTCCATCTGCAGAAACAGGCTTTCCTCTTCCGACACCTACGATTCGGGTGCGGCTCCGCACATTGGACGTGCAGATAGCAGAAGTAGAGAATCCGGGAAAGGGAAACCGGTATCCGACCTGAACATTCCTAAGCCGACAACACCAAACTCCACCTCCTTGGCGAGAGGAAGGCGGCCAGGCGGCGCGCCGTCCAGCCGAAGCCAGCCCCTGGCCCGCGAAGCTTGGCCGTGGAGGGTTTAGCAAGTAGGGTTCAGGCTCAGGGCGTTTAGGGGGGTTTACGGCTTAGAGCGTGAGGGTTGAAGGGTCCAACTCATCCATGGTTCGGTCGTGTGGAGGTTCTAGGAGTGTTTTTTGGCCTCCACGATCGGTTCAGTAACCACGGTGAGCACAGTGCTTCCGAACTTGGCGCTGTCCTAGACCTCAGGACGTGACCTTTGAGACGGTGAGAAGCTGAAGTGAAGCTTGGGAGTGACAGAAGATGATAGAAGGAGCTTCGCAGGCGGACGAGAGCCAGGTCCTCCGTGCACGTGCAGCGGAAGGAGTTGAAACGTTTAGAACTGACAGGCAGTGTCGGTGAGTGTCAGTAGCAGGCAGTCCTCGTGGAACCTGGCCTTAGGACCAAAGTGGGCCCTCTGGAAAACAAGCGCCGTTGCAGCATGGGCGGTGCCTTGTGTTTGCGCAGTTGACTCAGCTTAGTGGCTTAGTGATGCCGCGGTCTTATTTCTTGCTTGGTGATGCTTGCCGTGGATGTTCCAAATGGCCACAGCAGAATTCCGAACAAAGCTTGCCATGAGCATTCGCCGCAGGGTGTTCACACAACGCACTCTTACCTTGGTACTGTAGCTCGATAGATCAATAGAACTGGCAAGAGCCACTTCCAACCCTGGTCCGATGCAGCAAATCCTGCTGCGACCCCATGAGGGGGCCTACATCAAGGATTTTGCAACGAGAAGTCGCATTCCAGAGATAGAATGCCAACTTGCCAACCCAACTTTGAGCCGGACTGCTTGGAACAGGAGCACAAGCACGAGCTGAAGCGCTTTGAGGGCATGGATCTGGTCTTTGAAGCCCGCATGCGCTTTCTGGAGATGCCGTGGCCTCACCTCTTTGGTCTCCAGCCGAAGCTGGCTTATCGTTTTCGACAGTTTCGAGAGCCGATACATTAAAGCCTTGAGTTGGAAGAGCTCCAAAAGAAGATGGTTGGCTTTGCAGCAGTAGGCTCTTGTCAACATGGGCTTAGGAGTTCCGGCCTTGTAACGTTGTGCCTCAGTCAACTGAGGCCTGTGGACGAGCGGGCCAAGCTTGCACCTGGATGGCTGGAGGAGCACCCGAAAGAGACTGTATGTCTGTATGTCGTTTAATTGCTGAGTCAGCTCTCGCCAGGAGGACCAGCCGCGCCTTGGCAGAGCATGAAGGATTCAGAACGGGTTGGACATGTTCGGACCAAGGGTGTAGCAGAGTAGCCTTCCCCAAGCCCACGAAACCCTAAGCTGTTTTGAATCGAAGAACGAATCGCATCAGGCGGGCCTGAAGCCGTGAGAGAGCAGCGTGGCCTCGCAGGCTTTGGCAGGAGGGCTCCATTCCGCTGTCCTCAGTGTGTCTTGGCTTCCCTTGGCTGAGCCTGTTTCCACTTTTGTAGGTGTGAACAACTTAGAAGCATCTTGGAACCAGCTGTCCAAGGATTGATGAAGCACCCGTGGCTCCTCCAGCTCGCGCACCTGAGGTGCCTTTGTGGCTGTCTCAGTGGCCCCCGATGTGCTAAACCCATTCTAAACCCTGAGCCTTGCAAGAAGAGCCGTCCAAGCCGTCCAAGCCGTCCAAGCTCACAGCTCAGGCCAGCACTCGAGGATGCCCTGACAGATGCCGCCATTGCCTCGCGTGATGCCACTGGGCCGGGGCTCTCGGGGGAAGGGCGCAGAGGGGAGTCCTCAAAGAGCATAAAATCCATACAAACTCTGAGTTCCCCCTCGGGTCACGCTGCAGCTGCGGGGGGGTGGGCTACTCCTTTGGGATTAGGGACCCCGAGGGGCGGCACTAACAAGGCGTGGCCTTGGACGAGCACCCTTTCCCCGCCCCTCCCCCCGGCAGCGTGAGTGACAGTGCCATCTTCACCTCTTCCTCCATCTTTCGCCCACCGCCTGTTCATCTTCTTCGTTCTGTCTGGCCTTTCCAGGCTTTTTGTGGGCCGATTTGTCTGTCGGCCACGCTAGGCTGCCAGAGCCGGCGCCATCCCCTCCAATTCTATGTTTACGCTGCACGCTGTCCGCCCCGGCCCAAGGGGGTAGTTTTGGTCAGGGCATCTAGGGCTGTGGGTCGTGTGGGTGCTTGGTGAGGGTTTGGGTGGGTGGGGGAGTTCATCCCCGCAGCACCTCTATCGGTTCCTTTTCATGACTGCTGGCCACGCCGCATCTCTTGTCCTGGCTGCCCCTGGCCAGCAACCCTACCGGGTTGTGCCTCCTTTTTGCTGGCCCTCGTGCCGTTTTTTGCGCTGCGCGTCCTCCGTGTCGGGTTTTGGGGATCCGACAGGTAGGTGGGCCCCGGCGGTGCTTGGTGCGGGTGGGGGGGTGGTGCCTTGAGGGTTGCCGTTCCGGCGCCAGTTCTCATTGTGCTGGCTTTGTTTGTCTTCACATTTTGTCATCTTGGGCCAGTTCTCTTTGTGCTGGGCTCTGTTTGTCAACACATTTTGTCGTTCCCCCCCTCGCCAACTTGTGGCAGGGTGCTTCGCCTCTTTCCCCTCGTCTGCCCGCGGGTGGCACTGCCCCTTGCGTCCTGCAGAGGTGCACGCCTGCTTGGTTGACTGGCGGGCGTGTTGTGCCTGACCATTGCAGCTCGCGCTTACCGGTGCTCGACCCTCCATGTTTCCTGTTCCATTCTGCTCATCCGGCAGCGAGCCCCTCTCAAGTGGGGTTGTGGTGCTTGCCTTTCCGCCCTCGTCGTCTACCGTGCCAGTCCCGGGCTCCTTGCTTGCCATCCGCTATCCATGGCCGTATGCAGTGTGGTGTTTGCCTCGTGCCTCACTTCCCCTTCCTCCTCCCGGTCCTGTCGCGCGGGGCGGCGTTGTCTGTTGCAACCTCTTGGTTTGCGGTTCTTGCTTGCCTGAGTCGCCCCCTGCCCGTGCCCGCCGTGCCCTACCTTTACCTCTTGCTGGGGCGCAGGCCTTCCCGCGCCTGGTCGTCCTGCTCAACCATGCCCGTGGTGCCGCTCCCCCTCTTGGCGCTTCCGTGACATAGTGTTGCGTGTCAGGGGCCACTGTATGCACCGGGACTATCAGCTGCCAGCTGATCCCTGCTCTGCCGGACTGCTGGCGCTCCTTTCCTCGCAGCGTTCTCCAAGCAGCCTCTATTTTGCAGCTACGCTGGGGTGGCGCTGGCTCCGTTCTTCTCTGGCCCCACCGGCCCCACCCTTTGTCGCGCGTCAGGCACACCTTGGAAGGCCTTGTGTCTCACCTTCTGTGTTTACGCTGCGCGTCGTCCTGTGTCCGTTAGCCACAGCCTTCTAGGTACCTTTTCGTCACCGCTGGCCACGCCGCATCTTTTGTCCCGGCTGCCCCTAAAGAAAATGCTTTGCGGGTTGCCGTGTCCATGGTACCATGGCTTTTCTTGAGCCAGTTCTCCTTGTGCTGGGCTCTGTTTGTCTAGACATGTCGTCGTCTTGTGCCAGTTCTCGTTGTGCTGGGCTCTGTTTGTCAACACATTTTGTCGTTCCCCCCCGCTCGCCGACTTGTGGCAGAGTGCTTCGCCTCTTTCCCCCCGTCTGCCCGCGCGTGTCTTATTGTATCGCGTCCCACTGAGGCGCGCGCCTGCTTGGTTGGCTGGCAGCCGTGTTGGGCCTGACCGTTGCAGCTCGCGCATACCTGCTCGACCCTCCTTGTTTCCAGTTCCGTTGTGCTCGTCCGGCCGCGAGCTGCCGCCAGGGCGTTTCCAGTCTCCGGCCCCTTGCTCCAGCCCCCTGCAAGTGCCTTGTATTCTTGACTTTCCGCCTTCGTTTGCCTACCGTGCCAACCTCCCCCCACTTGCCATCCGCTATCCTCCTCCCGGTCCTGTCGTGCGGGGCGGCGTTGCCCGGGCCCGCTTTGTCGGGTTCGTTCGTGCGCTTCCTTTTTGTTTTGCTTTCCCCTGCCCCTCCTTTGTCTTGACTCCGTTGTTTTGACTCCCCTGCAGGCTGCCGTTCTCGTGCAGTTCTTGTGCGCTGCGCGTCGTTCGCCTCGGCCCGAGGGGTTGGTGCTTTGAGGGTGCTTTGAGGGTTGCCATTCCTGCTTTTTCCACAGCGTGCCAAGCTACCTTCGTGGCACCAGTTCTCGCTATACTGGGCTCTGTCCCCAGCGCGCGGCGTATTTGCTTTTGCCGCCGCCGACTCACAGCTTGGTTGACGCTCTGACACGGCCCTCGCCGCCCTTGAATGGGCTGGGCCTTCTGCTGCAACCTCTTGGTTTGCGGTTCTTGCTTGCCTGAGTCGCCCCCTGCCCGTGCCCGCCGTGCACTACCTTTACCTCTTGCTGGGGCGCAGGCCTTCCCGCGCCTGGTCGTCCTGCTCAACCATGCCCGTGGTGCCGCTCCCCCTCTTGGCGCTTCCGTGACATAGTGTTGCGTGTCAGGGGCCACTGTATGCACCGGGACTATCAGCTGCCAGCTGATCCCTGCTCTGCCGGACTGCTGGCGCTCCTTTCCTCGCAGCGTTCTCCAAGCAGCCTCTATTTTGCAGCTACGCTGGGGTGGCGCTGGCTCCGTTCTTCTCTGGCCCCACCGGCCCCACCCTTTGTCGCGCGTCAGGCACACCTTGGAAGGCCTTGTGTCTCACCTTCGGTTCGGGCACCCGGGAGCGGGCTCCTCCCACTGCTCGCAAAGCAACAGCGCGTGGTTTGTGTCTTTTCCTTCTTTTGTCTTCCTTCCCTCCCCCGCCCTCTCCTCATTGGAGGATTGGGGCTTCCCCCCTCCTCTCCCCCCTAGTCCCCCCACCCGCCCTCTCCTCCTTGGAGGATTGGGGCTTCCCCCTTCCTCTCCCCCCCCCCCTCCCTTTCGCCCCTTTCCGCTCTCTTTCCTCATGCATTCCGACTCATCCCTTCCTGTGCCCAGTCCGCACCTTGGCTGCAAGTTCGCTAGTAAGCCTCCGCTTGAACTGTTCGTGGAGTGGGGCGATGACGTCTGCGGAGCCCTTCTGAGAAACGAACAGGGACGCGGTTGTATGGCTGCGGCTACTGCTGTGAGCCGGTCCACCACCACCACCACCACCACCACCACCACCACCACCAAACTCTGAGTTCTGAGATTGGGATGTCGCAGTTTGCCCTGGATGGTGGAAGTGAGGATGCTAAGTCCAGGATGTGCTTCTGTGCAATAGCATCTCGCACTCTCGAAACCTTCTACCTAACTCCCAAAACCTTCTTGCCTTTAACCCTAAAGCCATCAAACTGAGAATACCGATGCACAAAATTCCATGGCTGCATGTCGACCCAAAAGAATACTCCTAAAACATCCCCAAAATGCATCCACATCCGTCCCAAATAAACAAACAGTTGACCCCCCAACCAACCCAAAAAGAACCCAAAAGAACCCAAAGGCCGAGTGACGAGCCGGCGCCGGAACCCAGTGCTGCTGGCATCGACGAAAGGCGCCTCGGGGGGCCTTTACCGAGTTTGGTGTTTGATGTGTTTGATGTGTTTTGTGCTTTCGCGCATTGGGCTCTTTTAGTCCTTGTCATGACCCACAAGAGCTGGGGGTTTCTTGATGTGTGTAAAGAAAGATCTCGCGCCCCACTTGCTCTAAAAAGGTGTTACTCATTTGTCTCCCACTTGTTTCCCATACCCTGGATGCTGCGACGCTCGTGTGGGATCCCACTTGCCCTTTTGGCAAAATGCTTTGAACGGCGTGTGGGACTGGGACTCTTGGGCCCATTGAACCCTGAGACACTCCTAAAACCTCATTTGTTTCAGATTTTTCTCTCCCCCGGAACCTGTTCGGTTGGGTTCGTCTGTCTCTTTGTGGATGTGACGCTTGTCTGTGGCCGTTGGATGCATCTCTCTCCGATTGGTCTCCCTGTTGTCTCCGCTTCGCCTTTCTGGGACTGCTGGTTCGTTTGTCTCAACTTTGTCTTCAGAAATGAAGTGTTCTTGGATGCCGCGGCAAGGCTTGCTACCCTGAATATCTCTGCGGAAGGCATTAGATTCATTCGATGCTAGTTCCCACGATAACCACATTCGCGCGGCTTAATGATTTTGTACGGGTATTGATGTACAGAGATGCGGGGGTGATGATCATTCTGCTCGCGAAGCAGATAAGCCAAAGCCCTCAACAGCTTCACTCACGCTTTGTTCTTTCTTTTTCTTGCTCTCCGGCAGCTGCTCGAATTTAGCCAAGTTCCGAGAATGCAAATAGGCACGTTCCTCTTCATTCCGGGCCCCTTTCCTGCCGAAATCAGCCTCAGACTACAGCACCAAGCGAAAGTATTTTTGCGGTGCAGTCTTTTGGGTCCCGACGAGCTGTCCGAATGCTTTTCGCCATGTTCCCAGAATGCATTTGGGCATGTTCTCTGCTTTCCGGGCCCCTTTCAGGTTTATTGCGAAATGCCGGAAGTATTTCCAAGATGTGCAGGGTTGTCGTGTCAACTAGTATTTTAAGGGGCTGCGCCCATGGGCGGGCAGCGCACGCAGAAGCCCGGGGCGAGCAGTTTCTAAGCATGTTGAGGCCCCTAAACTCCCTTAAAATCTCTAAGCGTTAAGTTTCTAAGCATTTTCAGGCCCCTAAACTCCCAATCTCTAAGCGTTTGAGGCTCCTAGACTCCCTTAACGTTTCTAAGCACTTTATAAGGCCCCTAAACTCCCTTTTTCGTAGCCCCGGGCTTAGACACGTCGCTTATGCCCGCCCTTTGGGGGGCATCATGCTCCTGATGCGCCGCCGGGGTCCCGCCCCGGGAGCCGCTGATGCTCCTGATGCGCGCCTGGGGGTCCCGGGCTGGACCCGCTGATGCTCATGATGCGCGCCCTCTGGGGGCCTCCGTGGCGACGCAAAAAACCACGAAAAAAAAACCGTTCACCGGCGGCACGCGGGGGTCGGCGGCACTGGCGTCCGGCCTAATTCTGCTTCGCAGAAGGCCAGAGGCCAGCAAGGCTATTCCCGGGACGACCCGGGCTAAAAGGTCCGCATTTGCTCGGTCCTTTGGGGACCTCGCGCTGCCCGATTTAATGGCTACCGCCAGTGCCGCCGACCCCAGACCCAACAAGACAGTCCTCTGATGTGCTTTGGGGTGGGGGGGGGTGGGGAGGGGGGGTGGGGGGGGGGGGGGGGGGGTGGGGGGGCGTGGGGGGGGGGGTGGGGTGGGGGGGGTGAGGGGGGTGGGGGGGGGGGTGGGGGGGGGGGGGGTGGGGGGGGGGGTGGGGGGGGGGGTGGGGGGGGGGGGGGGGGGGGGGGGGGTGGGGGGGGGGGGGGGGGCGGAGCGGGCGGGGGGAAAACGGAGGGGGCGCGGGCATGCACTGGAGCCCTTAAGAATGAGCTTCAAGGGCATGGGGCACAGGGGGGGTGGGGCACACTGGAGCCCTTTAAATCATCTAATGGGGCCAGTCCATGCAAATCATGGGGGTTGGGGGCCAGAAGGGGTGATGGGTTGGGGGGCGGGGTGGGGGGGCTTGCGGGGGGGGGGGGGGTGGGGGGGGGGGGGAGCGGGGGGGAAAACGGAGGGGGCGTGGGCATGCACTGGAGCCTTAGCTTCAAGGGCATGGAGGGTAGGTGGGATGGGTGGGGGTGGGGGGGTGGGGGTAAGGCTGGGAGGGTGGGGTAAGGGGGGGGGGCGGGGGCCACAGAGGGGTAGGGGAGGCTGCGCGGCACTTGGGGCGGGTGGGGGAGAGGTGGGGACGGGGTTGGGGTAGGGGGGGGGGGGAAGTTGGGGGGGTTGGTGGGGACGGGGTGGGGGGGGGAGGGGAGGCTGGGCGGGTGGGGGGGTGGGCGGGACTTGGGCGGGTGGGGGAGTAGGTGGGGACGGGGTTGGGGGGGGTGGGGGGGTGGGGGAGGCGGGGGTGGCATTGGAGCCCTTAAAACTCAGGGGGGGGCTGGGACTTGGGCGGTGGAGTAAGACTCAGCTTAGGTTCAAGGGCATGGAAGGGGGGGGGGGGCTGGGCCACAGAGGTTTAGGGTTTGAGGTTTAGGCTGATCAGGGGACCATGATGGGGCCATGAGCCACTAGGGGCCAGCAAACGAAGCGGGCATGCTTTAATGGGGCCAGTCCATGGGGGGGGTGGGGTAGGGGAGCATTGGGTCTTCACTGACGCCGCCCCCGGCTGGGGTCGGCGGATACAAGCCAGAGGAATCTATGAATTTCCAAGATGTGCAGGGTTGTCGTGTCAACTAGTATACAAGCCAGAGGAATCTATGAACCCGGCCAACCCACACTCCTGCACCAAGAGAAACCATTGGCAAATGCATTCTGAAGCAGCGGCAGCGTCACGTGGCAACTGAAAAAGTCGCTCTTGTCTCGCCACTGGTGTTGTCTTGTGCTGTCTTTTTGACCGGCAGTGGTCCGTTTGGGGACGAGGCTGTGTTTTTAAGAGTAATGTTCCCTGTTCAGGTAATTGGATTTTTAGGGTTATATACGGTTGGGTGTGAGGACTTGGGATTTAAAGGTGTCAAAGTTTGGTTTGGGCGGAGGTTGTTGTGACGTTGGGCTGTAAGTTTGGCCCGGCGAGCTCGGTTGTGGTTCTGTCCGACGCGATCGGACAAATATCTGAATGCAGCAGAGGGCTGTGTGTTGTTTGAGCACGGCCTGCAGGGAATTTGGTGTTGAGGGTTCAGGGTTTGACCATGTGATCCGGGCATGATGCGGCGGTCACCCGTCATTCGGTTGTGTTCCTTCCCAGGATTGAGAGACGACCTGGGGAGGCAGTGCAGGCAGCCGCGAATGCCCAGTTCTTGATTTAGGTTCCTCGAAGCCGTACTGCCTGACACCATATTGGACCAATCGGGATCGATCGAAGTTTCGCCCGACTTCCCAGGTCGTGTCTGATCTGGAAGCAGCCCAGGATGTTCTGCGCCCAGTATTGGCAGAGACCCTTGCACGCCTCAAATCCATAAATGCTTTAAACCTCAAGTTCAGCCATTGTAGAGGGATGGGGGCCAGGTCCGTGGCATCCTGGAGGCTGTGAGCAGCGACGCCGGCCATGCTGCTTCCAAGGGTGCTTAGGGTTTCTATCCTGTAGGGGACAGGATCTACCACAAACTAGTTGCTTCGTCGAGGGTACATGTTTCACTAGCAGACAACATGCCTGCAATAACAGCGCCGGTCTTGTGTCACAGGAAAAGCCCAACATTTCTGCTGCAACCACCAAAGCTCAGGGGCTGAGTTTGACAAAGACCACATGAAAGCACTGCTTCGAAGAATTGCTCAAGCTGCGTCAGGAAAGTGTGATTGATGGAAGCTGCAAAAGCCATCCGTTTGTTCATCCGTTTACTAAGCCCCTTTCCAAGCTCATCAGATGTCATGAACAGGCTTTGATTGAGGCGTTTATCTTAAGGCGACTATGGCATCGCACAAAGGAAGCATGCAAGCTCGCGAAGTTTGTCTGCTGGGCTGCACCCTCCTTTCGGCCCTTGTCGCCTTCTGGGAGCACCGGAGGCGCCTGCGGAGCGACCGGGACGCGCAGCGCTCGATCGAAGATGCTGCCCGCAGCCGGAAGCTGCGGGATGAGGAGCGCACAGGCCGTATCCGCGCGGAGCAGGCGTTGCGGCAGGACCAGGCACGTGCAAGCACAGACGCAAGCACCGACCAGGATGCTGCCAACCAATCGGACCAAAAACCGTTTTTGTTCCATCCCATTGGAGTCTTTGATTCTTGCTATCGCCAGCGCTGTGGCACACCCCGCCAGAGCAACTTGGTGTCTGGAAGCTTGGCTGTGCTGCGCTGTGTGAGAGATCTGAACCCAGGCGCCGCGCTACAGGGTTTGGAGGCCTTTAGCCACGTTTGGGTGCTCTATGTGTTCCACGAGAACACGAATATGCTGAAGGAGTCCAAGACCGTTTCGCGCCGAAAGCAACAGCAGGGTCGGGTGCCGCTCTGGCAGGGCCTCTGCATGAAGGTGGCTCCTCCTCGCTGCCCGGAACTCCGTGTGGGCGTGATGGCCTGCCGGACGCCGCACCGACCCAACCCCATCGGGCTCTCCTTGGCAAGAGTAATGGAAGTGGATGCGGCGCACGGCAAGGTGGTCTTGGGTGGTCTGGATGTGGTAGACGGAACTCCGTGCCTGGACATCAAGCCTTACTTGCCTGGCTTCGAGTCGATCCCCACTGCTCGGATCCCAGCTTGGGTGCAGAGGTCTTATGACGAACCCATGATGACAGTGGGCTGGCTTGAGGTTGCGGCGCAGCAGTTTGCCAACATGCTCCTCCCCCCCGACCCCATACCCCTCGCACCTTTCAAGACGGCGGCAGATCTTTGGGCAGCTATTGTTGATACGTTGGCCCTTGACATCCGCTCGCCCTTGCAGAAGCAGCGCCATCCGAATCCTGGACACCTGGGTCAGGGTGCGCCATTCTTCAGCGGTGACCTCTGGTTTCACGAGCTGCACATCATGTACTCCCTGCTGCCGACAAAGGCAGTGGAAGGGCCGGATGAAGGGCCGGCGGCCTCTGTGCGGATTGACGAGATTCTGCGGAGAGATCCAGAAAGGATCAGAAAGGTGTGCAGCGGCTCTGCGGCTCTGCGAGGGTGTTCTGGTGTTCATCGCGCAGTGTGAAGTGTCCGCAAGCTTGGCTCAACGGGGGGGAGCTCAGTTCCACAGTTGTCCTCTCGCTGTGAGGGAGGCGAGGAAGGTAACTAACATGCAAGGTTGACGGCTTTGGACTGAGATCCTCAGGCTCCTGGTTGGGCTCGCCATGAGCTCTTCCAAGGCGCATGTGGAAGGGTCTGCTTGGTTAAACTTGTGGCTGATTGTGGGTGTGTGGTATGGTGTGTGGTGTAAAGACATCGAAGATGTCCAGGGTAACAGCAGGTGTCGCACGCATGAGAGAGCCGGAATCAATCTGTTCATACGTGTTATATGCGGTTTCACGTCTCACGAAGTCCAGAGCCTCCACATCTCCGGACATTGCAGGAGAAATTCCCGGTGATTGTGAAATGGCTTCCGGCCTCCTACCAGAAGAAGTACCTCAAGATCCAGCCGTCAGCAGCTAAAGGGTGGAAGGGTGGAAGGGTGGAAGGGTGGACGCATTGAAGAGCACCAGCATACATTGAGAAACTTCTGAGAGACTTCAAGGATAGACAGATATGGACAGTGAGCGCTGATAAGCGCCGTCAAGAAGTGCCGGTAGCGAGTCCACGCAAAAAAATCCCGTAAAAGCGCCTTTTCGCCTCAATGGGATCGGGTTCATGTTCCAGATGTTCATGTTCAAGTCAAGGTGGTTCCCGTGGAACTTTCACGTGAAGGCCAAGCCGGCGGGGGCGCCTAGACTTGTCAGCTGGTCTTTGGGCTCTTGAGGCTGCGCGTCAACACATTCGTCTTGTAGGTGACCTGTGGCAACTGCAAGAAGGAGGCGGAGGTCTACTGTGCCACACCCCCGGCATGTGAGATGTGGGTCTTCGAGTATCCTTTGATTTCTGACGACTTTCGATGACTCTACGCTGGCATCTGCTGCGCTGCCAGGTCGACTGCAAGGTTGTGCTGTGCAAGTTCTGTGCGACGCTTCTGCATCATCCGGACACCAAGGCCGGCTAGCAAGGCCTAGCAAGGCCTAGCAAGGCCTAGCAAGGCTAGCACCTGCGTGTTCAACACTATTCTTCACATGTCTCAGCAAAGTAATTGTAAACGTTTGCGAGATCGAGCCAGGGTTGGCCCAAGCTGCGCTCGCGGGCTTGTTGCCAGATGAAGCTTGGGAAGGGGTAGGGGGTGGGCAACAAGGCCTCCCCAGGGTGTGGAGAGCGGTCCTAGTTTACTTTTCTTTGCCCCATCAATCCGTAGGACCGACCAACAAGCCCCCACGGCATGTCCCACGGCGTGCTCCCCCAAGCTGGCAATGCTGGCAGGTGTGGGGGGAGGGGAGGGGAAGGGTTGGGAGGTATAAGGAGACCAGATTTTGTTCCAGACGCTTGTCGGCCGGAGGCCGAGGCAAATTCTCTGCAGCTCTGGAATGTTGTCCTGCTTTCAGTACGAGAAGCACAGCCTGGAAGACATAGTGAAGCCCGAGGATGGGGCGGAGCGCTGAGTCCCGCATCTGCACTTGCAGTGCTTTGCAGTGATTCGCAGTGCAGATGTACCCAAAGCATCGCCAAGGTCATGCCGGAGGTGAAGATAATTAGTCGATCGCTCAGTTCCTGGACATTCTGACACTTTCGTGTCGAAAGGAAGTTTGGAGTAACACCATGCAACACAAAATAACAGGACTGCCTCGAACATCTCGAACAATTTCTGCCCTCAAGTCCACTCCGAGACTTCCTCAGGTTTCAGCCCAGCGTGGGCGGAAAGTCCGCTTAAATGCCTTGAAGCCCTAACACACCTTCGCCCCTGCCGAGTCTGCGAAGGTCCCATACTCTTGGACATGGTCCTCTTCGCTTCAGCCTGCTTCCTCTTCTCTGGTGCAGGTTCAACCTTGCGGAGTTTAGGGTTTCTTCTCCAGCTGCAAGCACTGTATGGAATGGACAAGCTTGGCAAGCATCTGCATGCAGCTCAGCACGGATGCCTGCCATTCTTAACTCCGGCTGCCCTTCTGACGCAGTTCTGACGCATACCGTGCAGGCATCAGCGCTGAGTACTTCAGTGGTACCAGCTACTGCCCAGGATTGTCCCGACTGAGGACAGGCCCTTGGTGTCATGGGCACGGACTCAAAATGTCTTAAGCACCGACTCCACATCCATCGTGAAGCCTCACATCTTTGACAGATTTGACAGCCGGGTTTCGGGTGAAGTCTTGCCGAGGGGCTGGCTGGTGTGGATGGATGCCAACGTGTTCTTCTACTGGAAGGTTGGGCCCCCGCAGTTGAGGTTCGGAGATGCTTGGACTTTGTGTGCAGTTTCGGCAAGCCTCAAGAGCACCATCGCCCCATCAATCCCAAGCTTCAATACACTTGTTGGTGCACGTCAGGGCATTGGTCTCCTTGTCTCCGTTCCATGACGAGTAACACCCAATCACATTCCAAATCAAACCGTCTCAGAGAGGCCATCTGTTAGCATGCAGCAGTCTTGGACAGAACGAGCTGGCCCAGTACTGCGACTGGGAGGACTCCTACTGGAGGCCGGCTTCGGTTTCGGATTAGGCGGCCAACAAAGTTTGTGCTGACAGTGGTTCATGCAGTGATCACACAACCTCCGTAGCCACTGCGGTTGCAGGTTCTTCATGGACGCTTGGATACGCAGCGTTCTGACAAACACGGACTGCTGGTGCCTTCTTGATGCGAAAGAGCGGGTCGAATTACCCCATCCTCACACCGCGAGTCCATAACCACACGCCCCATGAGCTCCATGTGGCCGGAGGACAGTTGGATCCTGCTGATCGGCTCGTTCATAAAAGCCGGCAGCCGAGCAATGCTACCGGTACCGCCTCCAGACACACAAGACTTCTCTTGACCGACAGCACCCAGAATCACTGGATTGCAGCATGCTTGAACTTTGGAAATTGATCCCAAGGCGTTGACCTTCGAGGAGTACGGTTCCTGAGATCTGGGAGCTGTGAAATGTCGTGTGGTGAGGTTGCAATTTACAAGGGCTGTCGTTGGGCTGTCGCTCTACAGCAGGGCCAGAGCAGACAAGGATCTGGGTATGGGTGCAGAGTGCAGGGTGCAGGGTCAAGTTGGGGGTATAGGGTTTGGGGGTTGGGGCCTTGGACAGCATCAACGACCACAACAACAGGCAACATCAGCAAATCTGGAGAGGTCCGTAGTGAAACTCACCAATACGATTTGTTGTTGCTTGGATGCCCACTCAAGCTTGCAGCGACAGTCTGGTCGTGGCACTCTGCTCCACGGAGCCTTAGCGGTATGAAGCTATTTGGCCAGCTTCTCCAGTGCCGGCTGGAGTTCTGGCGTTGCCGACGAATACATCCACGTAGAACGCCACGCTGTCACTAGTCATCTCCTTGGTGAGCTCTCTGCTGCTTTGGAAAGTCCGGGGAAGAGCTTTGGGAGTCTCTGGGGACCCCGAAGCTCGCTAGGCACCAATGCATATCCCGAGCCATCCTCCTTTCCAGCTCAGGCTTTTTCCCATTATGGCAAGCTTCATGCATAAACCGCATTAAACCGCTACGTTCCCATCCCCTGGGACCTGTCTTCATGGCTAACGGGGGCCTGGGATTTTGGTCGGGCCAACCCCGACCCTTTTCTTTTTTGGAGATAAGCTTCTGAACCCATCCAACACGCCGTCAAGTTCGGCGGACACAGACAAGAGAAAGGGTCATGCACCACTGCGAGCACCAGTGCACACCAGCGCATTGATCGAGTGCAGGGTCCCAACCTCAGGTTCATGCGAATCATCATCACCCCTATTGCGGCGCATGTCTATGCCGTCGCCTGGGGCTTGGTTGCAAACTGTGCCGAGGACAAGAACGAAACACATACCATCTGTTCTTCCCGCAGTTCTCGTGATAGCTGCAGAACGGAAACTCATCGCCACCTGAATCAGACCTCTTGTGTCAGTTGGCCTACATCGTTCGAAGTGTCGAGTCGGGCACCAAGCATAGTGCAGCACATGTTAGCCATTAGTTGTTCCTTCACATGTCTTTGGGGGTGATTGGGCCGACTGAGGTTTTGGCTTCACAAGATTCTCTACGAACGACTAGAAGGTTTCGCGGCCTGAGTTTCGCATCTTGGTGCTTCGAGTGGACTCGCATATCATATCTCCACCATGGGTCATCATGAGCGGCCTGTGCAGGTTCTGACCACACCTTCACGAAGATCTTGCAGGTGTTGTCTAGGGCCCACATCTCGGCTGTCTTAGAAGAAGGCTCTGCATCCCTAAGCCCCCTGAGCCCATGAGACCTCACATCAAGCAATCTGCACTTGCCAAGATGGTCCAGCAGATCAAGTTTGCCCAGAAGCTAGGGATCACCGACACCTCGGTGAAGCTGCTGGCGCCTTAAAGAGTTATTGCTGTTGGGGGTTGAGGGCTGGGTCAGACCCGTTATGACCTGTTTGAGGGTTTGAGAGGCTTGAGGTTTTGGGGTTTTTAGCTGATCGCTCATGGAGGATGCGGTCCCGGCACCTTGCGGGTTTTTCCTGCTTTATCATCCCTGTTCGATCTGCGAAAGTTCCTCAGTCCTCGCGAAGTAGGCCTGACATGGGCTTGAATGTCCAACAAAAGCTCCTGACTCGAAATATTGGCGGAACGTCCCTCGGCACGCTTGCTGCAAAAGAGGGCTCCACCGACGCACCGGCGGAAGAGGCCGGCAGAGGATTGGGTGCGATGCCCAGCTTAAACGTCTGCTACAAGCATTTTGATATACGTTGATTCTTGTTCGTTAGGTGGTTGTTCTGGGGTTTGTACAGTCAGAGCCAGTTTTGCAACAGGTTTTCGGGTTTTGGTTAGTCACTGATTGTTTAGCCTTCAGCATGTCATGTAGAAGTTGACGAGTGATTTGTGCAGTGGGTATTGTGGGTTTCCGTTTAGGGTCGGGTGGATTGCTAACAGCATGGCTCTTAGAGCCTTGAATCCATCGACGCAGCGTGATCGCACTCCAGCAATTTAAACTTAACTGCAGAGGTTGCGGGAGAGGCGAATCATGTACCGAGGGCTTGCTTTTGTGGAGTGCTGAAGTCTGTGTGGGATATTTCATGATATTTCGTGGTACGGCGCATAACCACAATCCCACGGCCATCTGCCCAGGGAGAATACCTTGTCTACATGTGGGGGCGTAGATTTCGGCTTCTCGAGTTTCACAAGCCCTGGCCTCAATTGGAGTTCGCTTTGGTGTATCTTCCATTTGCCTGCGTCCCAATGGAGGTCTGCCTGTTACGGTCTGTTGGTCTCCTTTTCTCGCTGTGCAGAGCGCACGGTCAGCTAAGTTGTGTATGCGCATAAAAGACTACTTCGTCTCAGACAGTTGACGTCGTGGCACTTGCATGGCGCTAGTTGCGTTTGGGGTATGTGGCCTGCATGGATGCTGACCAAGGGCCCAGGCACATTCAGCCTGTGGCGCTCTGCTGAAGTATTCGCTGTATGCCCAAAGCTTGGCTCTGCCGAGGCATCAGCATGGCAACTGTTGTAAGAGCTGAAGGCACGACACCGTGTACCCTGTGGAAGGTTCCTCTTTTTCTGAGGCGGCACTGTTCCTCCGCATCTTCTGCATCATTTTCGGTCCATGCCCCAGCATTCCTGCACGTCCTAGAGGACATCCGAAAAGTGTCCAGTTGAGGTGGAGAGACGCTGTTGAGCGTTGCGTACCTCTTGGGGTTCGGCAACCGTGCAGTGGGGGACTGAGCTCACCGCGGCCCGAAGCGATGTTTGGAACGAAGAGGCTCGGGGGTTCTCGAGGGCAATGCCCCGCCCAGGAGCAGCATCAAGCTTGGTTCACACAGATGACAGGCGCATGCACATGCCATGTGTGTTCCGAGTGTTGTGGCATGTTGCGGCTGTGTGCACAGTTACAACGTGTCCATGTCCCGTGTTGTTTTGTTGGTACGGCCCCCTGTACAGTCACAGGTGCCAGCATCAACAATGGTGGCGCCAAGTGCTGAGATCGTCATGTTCACACCTGGTACACGTGGAGGGGACGTAGCTTGCTAAATGAATGCATGTAAGCGAAGCTCGAGCATCCGACCCCCATCCTACGCAACAGCATGCAACAGCATCCTGACCCTGGTCCCAGTGGGATCCAAGGCCAACTACTACTACTGGACGGACCGGCTTCTCTCTGCGGTAGTTCCGCAGGCAACCGAAGAACCGAAGCAAGCGAGGAGAGCAAGAGCAGAGCAGTTGTGATAGCAGAGCGGAGTTTAGTTGTCACATGTTTGTTAACCACCGGCTCCCAGTTTTGTAACCGGAGCTTCCGAGCCAAAACAAGGTGCTGATGAGTGTGCCCCTCTTCAGAGACTTCATGTCTGAGGCCAGCCATCAGTAGACACTGATGGGCCACAAGCCGTTAACGTCCGGTAATGCTAAAGCTGCTAAAGCCTAAAGCACCACACATTTCTTTTTGAGCCGCACAAAGCTGCTAAAGCCTAAAGCACCACACATTTCTTAATGAGCCACAACGCATGCAGACGGCGATGGGCCTGATGCGCACCGCCTGGGGATTTTGCCCCGTGGTGCTCAAGCTGATGGCTCAGATCATGTTTCCAGCCCTTGGGGTTTTAGGAGGGTGCAGGCTAGTTACTCGAGCAGCTTCCAGTCCGATTCAGGGCTTAAGGACTTCTTAAGGCGTTGCGCCGGGCCACGACCACAGCGGTTTGGAAAGTTACCCGTTTGCCCTTTGGTGATCGAGAAGAACAGCGCTCGGTATGTGAACGTTCAGGTGTGAGTGAGCAGCCAGACGCCAGGCTTCGAAGATCAACGCTCGGTCCGTGATTTTCGGGTATGGGTGGCCGGACTCGGGGCTTCGCGAAGGTCACATGTGCCAAGACTATTATCTACTACTATCGCCACTGAGTAAGACGACGCTAGCCTGTGCGCATCATGGCCTGCTGCTTTCCGCGGCGACGTGTGGAAGCTGGTCTCCCACAGATGGATCGCTATTTAAGCCCTTGCCATGTGTATTGAAGCTGGCGCCAGCATGTTGGGATTGTGTGAGGTTGTGGCCCATCTGGCTCTTCCTTCTCAAGCGCTGGGGGCCGATCCAGCATGTTCTCGGCCGCTCTTCATGGCTTTGAGTGCGCGTCTGCCAGGTGGAGCCGGCTCATGAAGAAACAGCAGACAGAGTTCCTCACGAAGTGGAAGTCCAAATATTGCAAGGCACTGGAGCATGCGTTAGCCTGATCGTTAATTCCCAAGCTTAGAGCAGCTGTTCACAAACCAGCGCAGCTGCGTGGCTGCGCAGCTTCCGCGTGCAGGAGATTTGGGGCGACATGAGCCGCGAGAATCCTTGCGGTGGAACCGCCTATCAGCAGGCGGCCTGATGTTCACGAAGAGAACGTGCCTGGAATCCCTAAAACCTCGAGCTCTGCACTGCGGGCAGTTGCACTTCTCGCCGGAGCCGGCGAAAATGCCGCGCCTTGGCCCCCGAAGTGAGGTGGGCAATGGTGGGCGGTTGGTGGGGACACGTTCTTGACATGTCTTGACAGTTCTTCCATGTCAGGGGTTGATCTAAATGATGGATGGGTCTTTTTGATTCCTCAAACGTATCAGGTGCTTTCGAGAATCTAGACATGAACCAGAAGCGTTTTTGAGCGGCAGGTCGGCAAAAGCACATATAGGCATTATTGTAGAGAAGATCCTGATACTCCTCCTTGTTGATCAGTATCCTGATTATCGTCATGATCGTCATATCGTGATCGTCAGTCGTGATCAGAATAGTCTAGCAGGCTTTTTCCTTGTATAAAGAGAACATTGAAGCCGAGAAGCAGAAACGACGACCTTATCGAAGATGACGAAGACGCGGAAAAGCCAGCAGTCTGCACATGTCGGCAAACTTTGCAGGAGCCCCGAATTTAGGAGGCTTCACGGGTGCACCAGTCCACCTGAACGAAAGGGCCCATGGTGATTTTCGACTTCGCATACGGTTGTACTGCAACAGACCGTCGATGCCGTCGATGCAACAGTGCGGACGTCATCTGAAGAGGCCGCCGATTGGCAGTTTCGACAATGGCGACGACCACGGCGAATGCCCCGAGAGGACTATCCACTGCTTTGGATATGTGAATGCCTGGTCTCAAAACGACGACAATCAGGATGGGGCTCGCCGAGACAAGCGACCTTATTAGACGACAAGACGGAAGCAAAGACAGAGTTGACATTCTTGACAAGCGAACGAAGATCCCAAAACCACAACAGTTTCGATACGTTCGATACATGGCGGGTCCCCCCAAGTATTGCGTGTCGAGGCAAAGCTTGCAACATGTCGTGTCCAAAATGTGGTGGTCCTCCGGCCAACCCCGCTCTGGCGGAAAACAGTATGTGATTGGAGCCATGATCACGGAAGCATCGAGCCATCACATGTCGTCAAAGAGTAGCAGTGCAGCCCACAACGGATTCGGGAACAAGATATCTTGGTTTAGAATGTTTAGATCGACCCCCCATTCAGATTGAAGGGCAGTGTGTTCTTCTTGCGGAAGCGTTCGGCCAGTGCTTAGTTGTTTGCAGCTCGCGATGGCATCATGGATGAATTGCATAGAATTGCTTGGCGGTCAGGAACGGCAAGGTATTTCGACGATCGCCGACCACCCTCTGAGCCGCGGCACCCTTCTTGATCGCAATGAAAGTCAAACGGCCGTTTGCCACGGCGATCTTGCAAAGCCTTGATATCGAGCAGTCTCACGCCATCTCGCGCCTTTGGAGCGTGTGATACAAGTACCCAGAACGACTCAGGTCGTCAAACCACAATGTAACAGGTAGTAACCCAATTCAGATCTTGAGAGGGAACTGTGCCCACTGAGCCCTCACTGTTAATATCCTGGGCTGCAGTCTGTCTGCCTGAGCCTTTGTCAGTTTGACCGTGAAGCTTGCTACGACTCCACTGTGCACTGGCGACAAAAGACTTGTAGGCTGTGTGGGACACTTCAGGAAGCCTACCCCGATTCGAGCAAGCTTGAAACGTGGGATTTTGACAGGTGCTTCGAAGCATCTTTTATCTCTTAGTGTGCCAAGCTGGCGATGAATCTGCCCCCCGAAAAGAGCAGGAAGGCCAGGAGAGTTCCTGGCCTTCGGGGCATCGAAGTTCATCCCCTTAGCATTCTGCAATTTGTGAATTGCCTGCTCCGTTCTCAGGCATAAGCCCCGTGGACGCTTAATTTTGAGGGATGCGTCTGCTCGACGCAGGACATGCTACGCAGCAGAACAATCTGGAATGGGTGGGTCTTTCATAACACATTCAGCTAGTCTGACGTGTGACGAAAGTGTGGCTCAATGTGCTGTCATCATCACATGCATTCCCTGTTTCTGCACATCTGCATCTGCAAAAACCTGCTCCCCAGTTGCGAACACTAGGCCGCACAGCAGGAATCCCAGAAACAAAGACGCAATGAGAAAATTCGAAGAGATACTTGGGATGTGCTCTGGAGTGGGCCTCTTCCAACATTTGCAGATGCAGGCTTTGTGGCTGTGGATCTGTGAGATCTGCGTCTCTACGCAAAAAGGGGCTTTGGGATCAAAAGCTAGTATGCACTAGCGATTCATGATTTCAGATTCGAACAAAGCACTCTGGAAAAGGCTGTGTGGTGCCAAGAGCCCGCACCTCTGAGAAAAGGTTGTGGGATGTTGAATCCAGCTGCTAGCGCCCCTTTGCTTCGGACTCACTCCTTTTCTTCACCTCAGAGCTGCAGAATGTTTCGCAGTCGTCGTGCTGTTTAACCATTCATTCCACGCAAGGCCGAGGGCAATCCCCAGAAAGAGTCCACGCCCGGAAGCTTCTTAGAACAGTCGCACACGTAGCTTGCAGCACCACTACACAAGCAGATAGGACAGGATGGCTGAGAGGTGTGTCGCCATGGCGCCAAGCAGCCAACTCATCTGATCTTTGTATGAAAGACAATCACGGGCATAGCAGACCTTTGCATCCATCGTCTTTGCTCCACCAATATCGCAGGTTTTGGCAACTTTTGATGTTCGTGCGGCTGCGTTTAGGTCGGACGCAGAGGCCGCCATCATGCCAGCGCGGTAGACACAGCAAGGCTCACGCTTTCAGATTTTCTTGCAGTTGTGAACCAAGCTAAGAGGTTCCTGATGCTTCCTGTTCTGATATCTTCCGGCTTACGGTTTCCCCTTGAACGTGATTCCCCCTAAACCATTTGACCCTGAGACATCCTAACCTAAGCCACTCCATACCGCAACATGCCCACAGTGCGACATCGTAAAGCCGCATCGCGCCCAGGCCCCTTTAGACCGTTCTGTTAACCCGAAGCCGCCTAAACACCAAGAAGCTTGTAGGAGACGCTGGTGCGCACGGCCATGGTGCTGGCAGTGGTTGTGGTGGCGCCGGGAAGGGCGGGTAGGACGTGGGGGCATGGGGCACCTGAAACACGCTTGCGCCCCCAAGCTTCCTTGTCCTTCCTGAGCCACATAAAGGTGCCTAAGCGACTTAGCAGCGAGGCGCTTTCCCACCAAAGCTGCCATATCTCAGGCTTAAAACTCACAAGCCCCTGTAGGTGCTCGGCTCCTCTGTGGCCTTCTCCGTGCCGCAGGCGGACCGGCCATGGCCTTGGCGAGAGCAGGGCAGGATGAGCTGTTAGGCTTAGTTTGAGGGCGGGGTTTATGTGGGTTTTTAGGTTCAGGACGGATTGTGTTTGCCAGGCGGGATGCAGGGGGCAGCTTCGTTCGGCACTGCGGTCACGTGAATCAGCCGAAGCTTGAGCTCGTTCTCGCCCGACGTTCTCTCATGAGCCCCCGTCGTCCGGAGGCTCGGGCTCCAAGCCTCCGTGCATGGCTTCGGCCCAAAGCTAGTAGCAGCGTTTTGACAAGCCCTCAGCTGGACTTTCCCTTCAGCGCGAAGCGCGTAGCCTCGCGAACTTGCAATGTATCAGTGAGGGTTTTGCCATGTCCGATCCGGTGAATTGCAGCATTTGCAGCCCGCAGCGGCGCCTGAGGCAGTACCGAAGTGTGCAGAAGTTTCAGCAGCCTTGAATCGAGCTGTGCTGCATCATGCTCCCTGTTAAGGGCACTGCTGCAGCATGTTGACGCTGGGTGGCTGGCATCGCCGGCATCGCTGGAACCCTGGCCGGCTGCCCATGCAGCCCATGCAGCCTGCGATGCTTGGACCGCATGGGCAGCTGCAGATGCGGCGGCATCCGAGCTGCTCCAGCAGCTGAGCCCTGACGAGATCGCCAGCCTCATTGCCGGGCGAGGAGACTGTCTGCTTGCTCGTCTCTGCTCGTGTCAGTCCCGCCAAGTTACCCTGCAGGGCCAGTCATCGACCGTCTTTTCATCCAACTGAATTCCAACTGATACATATATATATATATATACATTAAATAAATTTAAATAAATAAATAAGCATATATATATATATATATGTATGTTTTTTTTTTGGCGAGGCTTCTGGAGCAATGGTGGGGTACCTCGGCTGGGCCTCCCGCCCTTGCAAATGACCGATGGCCCAAGTGGTGCTCGTGGGCCTATCCCTGGGCTGAGCTCTGCCTGTGCACGCCCCAGTGCACGCTGCAACTTTTACGCTTGATGGCTTTGCTGACTTGTCGCATTTGGTCACATTCTTCTGCTACAGATGGCAGGTTCTAGTCTAACAGCCCATACGAGTTCACCACCGCCGTCTGAATGTCAAGCCGACCTTTGCCTTTTATCCAGGTGTTCCTTGTGGTGCTGCATTGGGTGCTACTTGGGACCGCGAATTGTGTCAGCATCTGAGAATGTCATATGTTATTCGGCCAGCATATCGCATGCCCTGCGCCTGTCGGTGCTCCACTCTTGGCTTTGAGCGCAGGTCGGAAGATCGGCGCTGTTCTTGGACAGGAAACGAAGGCGGGTGAGACTGAGAGCATCTGTGAGTTCTACAGTTGCTGGAACATGGCATGCCTTCTGGGCTAAGGTGAAAGGTGCCCACATCCTCCTTGGCCCCACTGTGAACCTGCAACGTCATCCGCTTGGAGGACCATGCACGGGGGATGAATGATCTCTCACAGTCTGGTGGCCCACTTTCTCCCGAGCTGACGCTGCAGGACGGAACTTCGAGTGCTTCTCTGAGGATCCACAGCTCTCAGCTGGCTTAGCGGCAGCGTACATTGAGGGCGTCCAGGCAGGTAGGGTATTAAGGAGCTGCAAATTCCGCATGCCCACGGTTGTCTCTGCAATAGATCGCAAGTAAGCTATGCCAATGATGCAGACGGCGTTCATTTTCAAACGGTCGGGGATTACATCGAACTTGCGGGCGCACTGCCTGCGCAAGGAGAATGGCGTGGCATGCTGTGTCAAGCACCTGGTTGCCAACGACCAGGAGAATCGGCGAAGTTATGTCAGTGCCGAGGTGTCAGAGTATCTGGTCTGCAGTTTGCAGTTGGCACAGCTCTTGCTCATTCTGGGGTGTGGAACGTCCTTCAAGAGTAACTCCTTGTATGGGTTGCCCTCACGGGGCGGAGAAGTGGTTGAGTCAGGGTTTGGGGCTCTGGGGCACCGGGGGTGTTCCTTTGTTAAGATCGGTTTGCAAACAGATTCCCCGACAGTTCTGAACCTTTTGGGTGTCAGGATCAAGTCCTTTTGGGTGTTAGAATTTTCCTTGTCCTAGCTTCAGCATGTGTGACTGATGGCGTGACTTGGGTTGCATTGTCTGTCTCCTGCCGACTTGCATCTTTGCATGTGCAATCATGTGCATCCGTGGGGAAAACAATGCTGTGAAGCCATTCTGCAAACAGGAAGGAGTAGGACAGTGTCCACGATACGCAGTACAAAACGGGGCAGAGTGCTCCTGCTCAGAGCGGGCAAGGCTTTCTTTATACTCACAGGTCTACTTACAAGGCTGCTGGTTTCTAGCTGGGGCGGGGGTGGGCAAGTCTTTTTTTGCATTCTTTTTGCATTCTTTTCGCATTCTTTTCCGTAGCTTGTTGTCAGGAAGGCGCTGCGCGAAGTGTATCTGGTTCCCTTCGAGGCTGCCGTCAAAGCAGGCTGCATGGCCGTGATGACCGGATACAACCGCGTGAACGGCACCTTCTGCTCCGAGAACCGCTTCCTTTTGCGGGAGATCTTGAGGGGTGAGTGGGGCTTCCAGGGCTGCGTCATCAGCGACTGGACCGGAACCCACAGTGTCTGGGGCTCTCTGGAAGCCGGTTTGGATCTGGAAATGCCAGAAGCACCTGGTATGTTCTATAAAGATCGCTTGAATCGCCTTTTCCATGGAGATCCCAATGGACGCGCCGAGATGACGAAGCCCCGAGCGCTGGCAATCCTCAGAGTGATGATGCGCCTAGGCAGGGAGGGAGGGAGGATCGAAAAATCACAGCAACCTCGGCAATTGCAGCAACCTCGGCAACCTCAGCTACCTCAGCAACTTCAGCAGCCTCCAACTAAAAACATCGGCTCGTGCGTGAAGAGTTGCAAGCGAGCCCAAACACAAACGGTGTTTACTTCTTTGTCCTATCGCCTGGAGACGTGTACATTTCATTTTATCTTGCATGCTCTCCAAACATCGCTAAACAGGTTTTTGTATTTCCCCAAACAGTCTAACTGTTGGGGTTCTAAATTCATTTAAGGATTGCCGACATTCTGAGGACTGTTGCCGGGTTCCTGGGCTCCTTTGTCTCCCCTTGTCTCCCTTTGTCTCCCCTTGTCTCCCTTTGTCTCCCTTTGTCTCCCCTTGTCTCCCTTTGTCTCCCTTTGTCGCCCCTTGTCTCCGTTTGTCTCCCCTTGTCTCCCCTTGTCTCCCTTTGTCTCCCCTTGTCTCCCTTTGTCTCCCTTTGTCTCCCCTTGTCTCCCTTTGTCTCCCTTTGTCTCCCTTTGTCTCCCTTTGTCTCCCCTTGTCTCCCTTTGTCTCCGTTTGTCTCCCCTTGTCTCCCTTTGTCTCCCTTTGTCTCCCTTTGTCTCCCTTTGTCTCCCCTTGTCTCCCTTTGTCTCCCTTTGTCTCCCCTTGTCTCCCTTTGTCTCCCCTTGTCTCCCTTTGTCTCCCTTTGTCTCCCCTTGTCTCCCTTTGTCTCCCTTTGTCTCCCCTTGTCTCCGTTTGTCTCCCCTTGTCTCCCCTTGTCTCCCTTTGTCTCCCCTTGTCTCCCTTTGTCTCCCTTTGTCTCCCCTTGTCTCCCTTTGTCTCCCTTTGTCTCCCCTTGTCTCCGTTTGTCTCCCCTTGTCTCCCTTGTCTCCCTTTGTCTCCCCTTGTCTCCCTTTGTCTCCCTTTGTCTCCCCTTGTCTCCCTTTGTCTCCCTTTGTCTCCCTTGTCTCCGTTTGTCTCCCTTGTCTCCCCTTGTCTCCCTTTGTCTCCCCTTGTCTCCCTTTGTCTCCCTTTGTCTCCCCTTGTCTCCCTTTGTCTCCCTTTGTCTCCCCTTGTCTCCTTTGTCTCCCCTTGTCTCCCTTTGTCTCCCTTTGTCTCCCCTTGTCTCCCTTTGTCTCCCTTTGTTTCCGTTTGTCTCCCTTTGTCTCCCTTTGTCTCCCTTTGTCTCCCTTTGTCTCCCTTTGTCTCCCTTTGTCTCCCTTTGTCTCCCTCTCCCTTTGTCTCCCTTTGTCTTTGTCTCCCTTTGTCTCCCTTTGTCTCCCTTTGTCTCCCCTTGTCTCACTTTGTCTCCGTTTGTCTCCCCTTGTCTCCCTTTGTCTCCCTTTGTCTCCCTTTGTCTCCCTTTGTCTCCCTTTGTCTCCCTTTGTCTCTCTTTGTCTCCCCTTGTCTCCCTTTGTCTCCCTTTGTCTCCCTGTGTCTCCCCTTGTCTCCCTTTGTCTCCCTTTGTCTCCCCTTGTCTCCCTTTGTCTCCCTTTGTCTCCCCTTGTCTCCCTTTGTCTCCCTTTGTCTCCCTTTGTCTCCCTTTGTCTCCCCTTGTCTCCCTTTGTCTCCTTTGTCTCCCCTTGTCTCCCTTTGTCTCCCTTTGTCTCCCTTTGTCTCCCTTTGTCTCCCCTTGTCTCCCTTTGTCTCCCTTTGTCTCCCCTTGTCTCCTTTGTCTCCCTTTGTCTTTGTCTCCCTTTGTCTCCCTTTGTCTCCCCTTGTCTCCCTTTGTCTCCCCTTGTCTCCCTTTGTCTCCCTTTGTCTCCCCTTGTCTCCCTTTGTCTCCCTTTGTCTCCCCTTGTCTCCCTTTGTCCCTTTGTCTCCCCTTGTCTCCCTTTGTCTCCCTTTGTCTCCCTTTGTCTCCCTTTGTCTCCCCTTGTCTCCCCTTGTCTCCCTTTGTCTCCCTTTGTCTCCCTTTGTCTCCCTTTGTCTCCTTTGTCTCCCCTTGTCTCCCTTTGTCTCCCTTTGTCTCCCTTTGTCTCCCTTTGTCTCCCCTTGTCTCACTTTGTCTCCGTTTGTCTCCCCTTGTCTCCCTTTGTCTCCCTTTGTCTCCCTTTGTCTCCCTTTGTCTCCCTTTGTCTCCCTTTGTCTCCCTTTGTCTCCCTTTGTCTCCCCTTGTCTCCCTTTGTCTCCCTTTGTCTCCCCTTGTCTCCCTTTGTCTCCCTTTGTCTCCCCTTGTCTCCCTTTGTCTCCCTTTGTCTCCCCTTGTCTCCCTTTGTCTCCTTTGTCTCCCTTTGTCTCCCTTTGTCTCCCTTTGTCTCCCCTTGTCTCCCCTTGTCTCCCTTTGTCTCCCTTTGTCTCCCTTTGTCTCCCTTTGTCTCCCCTTGTCTCCCTTTGTCTCCGTTTGTCTCCCCTTGTCTCCGTTTGTCTCCCTTGGTCTCCCCTTGTCTCCCTTTGTCTCCCCTTGTCTCCCCTTGTCTCCGTTTGTCTCCCTTTGTCTCACTTTGTCTCCCGTTGTCTCCCTTTGTCTCCCTTTGTTTCCCTTTGTCTCCCCTTGTCTGCCCTTGTCTCCCTTTGTCTCCCCTTGTCTTCCTTTGTCTCCCTTTGTCTCCCTTTGTCTCCCTTTGTCTCCCTTTGTCTCCCTTTGTCTCCCTTTGTCTCCCTTTGTCTCCCTTCATGTGTGTGGCTTCGCCGGGTTGCTGTGCTCCTCGTCTCCCTTTGTCTCCCTTCGTCTCCCTTTGTGTCCCGTTGTCTTCACTCTTTCTTTGACGTGCCTTTGACTGCTTTTTGACTGTTTGGGGTCTTCGGTGGTGTAATCTTTTTTAGCAAGTATCGCACGAGTAAGAACGTAAATATATTCGCTATTTGTATATATTTGGGGTTTCGCTCGGCTTTTCCTCACGGGCTTTTTAACTGAATTACGTCCTTCTTTGTTCTAGGTTTGTCAACTTTCTGGGTCACTTGCCAGGCCTCCGCGGTAGTTCGCCTGTCGCCCCAGCGGCCTCGCCCAACTCGTCCGAGCTGCGGGAGTTTCTGGCTGTGGCAGCCGCCGAGTCGGTGGTGCTCCTTAAGAACGGCCAAGGACGCGGAGGCTGGGAGGGCAGATCGCTCCACATCTTCGACACAGTTTGGGACAATGGCAGCTTTTAGCTTGTCAAGGAGCGCCCTTGCCACTGGGCCGTGGGCGCGTGGTGGTGCTGGGGCCCAGCGCCCAGCGCTTGACAACCCAGGGAGGCCGAGAAGCACCGTGCAACGGAGCGGAGTGAGCGCACTGAGAGCACACTCTTGCTTGCAGGTGGAAGCGCTGCGGTCGAGGCACAGCAGACAGACCGTGTCCATAATCTAGAGTTGACCTGGAAGTATCAACGTGAGTGACAGCAACTAAAAGTGCCATCACTCGTCCAGCGTACCTGCCATGTTCATGCTTTTGGCTTATGCTCATGCTAGGACAGATGCACTAGTGATGCACTTTTTCCTGTGGAGAGATTTGTTTGTGCAAGGAGAACCCTGGCTCCGTGGACTTGGTGGAAGCATTGCAGCGGCGGTTTGGAGCTGAAGTGCAGTATGCGTCTGGCTTGCATCAATGGAATGCTGTCCTGAGTTCTCCCCTTGTGAACACTGCGTTGAGGCACGGGGCACCGACGCTTCGACGCGGTTGCTGCCCCCTCCGAGTGCCGCAGAGCTCCGGGTAGAGCAGGGTCAGGGTACCTTAGCTGCGGACAATTTGACACCACAAGCGAAACCGAGGTAGGCTTAAAGGCGCACCGGCGAACGTCGGGTAGCGATTAGCTGTGAGTAGCACTGTGGCTTGCCCAAAATCCTGCTGCGACTATTTCTGCGTGCTGGCTTCTAATGGCCGAAGGCTTGCTCCATGCCGAGTTTGTGGAGACTGCACACTGGGATCTGTTTCCGGAGGATGGACAACCTCCTGCGGCGCGGGCTACCATCCACGCACTGAACTTCGGGTTTTTCACAGGGATCTACTACAACCAGGATCCCCCATCTCGAAAGTTCCGGCCCCGTGGAGCCTGGGCCGTGCGCTACCAGGGCCAACTTACGCCTCGACTAAGCGGCCGGCACCAGCTCAGCCTCGCCGGGACTGGCCGATTTCGGCTGCTGGTGAATGGCGAGTGCCTGATCGATGAAGTGGGAGCCTCCGGGAAACGTTGGCAGGTGTTGGTGTCGCCCGTTTGGGCGATGCTCTTATGAACTTTCACAAACTTGTCGTGGAAAAAGAGCGATAATTTCAGTAACGCAGTACTGTCAGTATTCCCAGGGTTTGGCCCAGTTTTGCCTGTAAGCGTGGAAGGAGATGGCGAGAGCCTGGAAATGGGTGGATTCCTGGGGGATCTTGGGGCTGAGTACCGCGCGGAGCTGGAGCTCGCTGGCCCGACTGACATCTTGGTGCTCTGGTCCCCGGGGCCCATTCGGCCCTCGAGGCTTCACTTGGGGTTTCGGCCCAAAAGCTGGGCCTCCGAAGAAGCGCTGCATGCCGAAGCCGCGGAGCTGGCGCGAGGCGCCGATGCCGCTGTAGTGGTCCTCGGTGGTCAAAACACGGAGTCCGAGGGCCACGACCACAGCTTCGGGCAGCCTGGCTTGGAGCTCGTTCGTGCTGTGGCAGCTGTGCAGCCGCGTACCATCCTCTGCCTCAACGTGGGCTGCCCCAAACAGCTTCCGACTGAGCTGCTGGAGCTGGTGGGTGCTGTGGCTGTATGTTGGCTTGGTGGCCAGGAGGCTGCCGAGGGGCTGGCTAGGGTGTTGTGTGGTGAGGGTTGGGGTCCTTCGGGCCGGCTGCCTGCCACCTGGCCCCACCAGCTGGAGGACACCGCAGTCCAGAACAAGCCTGATCGATATCCTGGAGTTGGAACACAGGTCTTCTATTCCGAGGGTGTCCTGGTGGGACACCGCTGGTTCCAGAGCCAGTCCATCTCGCCTCAATTCTGCTTCGGTCACGGCTTAACCTACACCACCTTCGAATACTCAGATGCCGACCTACAAGGACCCTTTGAATAATTGCATCCTGCTGGTCGTCAAGAGGAGTGAGTCAGCAAGAAGGCATAGGGGGCATTCGCTGCGTTCGCTGCGTTCGCTGCGTTCGCTGCGTTCGCTGCGTTCGCCGCGTTCACTGCCAGGACCTGCTGGTACCCTCAAGCAGCCGTCAATGTCCTCTTCCGCGTCCTTTCAGCCAGATGCCGAGCTCGAGCTGGCAGTCCGAATCCGTAACACAGGGAAGTTCTGTGGCAAAGAGGTTCTGCAGGTCTTCTCCGTGCCTCGGCGGCCTTAAGAATCGGCTGTGCATGTGCTGCATGTGCCGAATAATCGCCACCAGCATTGTGGAGCACTTTGGGCATCAACTCTTGCTGTCCCAACAGGAGCGGAGCTCTGGCACTGCATCCTGGCGGCTCCTGCTTGGCTGCTCGGAATTGCAGAGATATGCGGGGAGCCTTCTAGTTTTTTGGGGGGCATTCAGGGAACCTTTCGATGCGAACCGTGCCCAGTGCTAAGCTTTCAAGAAATGCGTTCAACGTTCGTTGTAGTTGAATAGCAGCAGTGGCATCGCGACATCGTGCAAGTATGAAAATCCAAGACGTAGTAGGAACGGAACGTGCGAAGTATCGGGCACGCAGGCTGCACCAGTCCCATAAACCTTCTCTTGCGAGACCTTCCGTTCCAAGACCTAGAACCAAAAGCTCACAAGCCGCAAAACAATTGTGGGCAAGTGCCAAGGCTTTGTGAAGCTGGCATTGCGCCCTGGTGAGTCACAGGTGGCGGCGCCCTGGCTTCGGAAGAGAAGCCGAAGGTTTAGTGATTTAGGCCTTGTTGGGCGGCATTTCGGAGTTTTGAGGGGCTGGGGGGGCGGGTTTGCGGAACAGCAGGATTAGGTGTCCTTCTGTGCCTTGGCTGTCTGGATGAGGAAAGATAGAACAGAGGCATAGACAGGCCCATGAATGAGAGGCTTTGGCTTTAGCTGTGGGTTCAGGGTTTGTGTTGCTTCCTTGCAGGCTGTCAAATTCCTGGCCAGGGAAGCCACGCAGCATTGGTGCGAGACAAAGATGCCTGGCTTGCAATCAGATGTTGGCGAGGGGGCAAGGGTAAAGGACACGCACCGACGAAGCTCATATTTAGAGCCTTGCAGAGCGTGACTCTCGTAGCTTTTGGATCGTAGTTCCTCTTTTGGGACACAGACACAGCTGCAGTGAGTCTCTGCATGTCCAGCTACCGATGTAGCACCTCCCACTATTGGAAGCTGTTCCAATCGCACAAGCATGCCATGTGCCGTTGCTGCCAGGCGCTCTTGGGTTGTGGAGCCCTGCTGCAGCGTGCTGGTTGCATCGTCAGGGCAGGAGCGTTGGCGAACGACGCTTCGAATTTCCGTGGCAGGAATGGCGTGAGAAAAATGTTGCCGGGTGGGCCTGGGTGGCCGAAGGGCAAATTAGCTCCAAAGCCTAGGCCCTTGGAAGACTTCGTAGGTTGAAGTAGGCTTCTGCTTGTTCTCGTGGGGCTCCGAAGAAATAAGCCCCCCGCTGTTTGAAGAAGCAGACCTCCCTGAAGCTGCCGTTCGGAGCATGTTCGCGTTCGACTGTGGATCATGGCTTCCATGGGGAGCCCTCGCTGCTGCATCCAGCGTGCAGGGTTTGTTCAAGCAGACGAATCCAGGTTTTTTGGCGATGAGGTAAAGCGAATGACCTGACGGACGAAAGCCTCGAAGAGTCATAAGATTCCGAAACAAGTGCATTCGTTTCAAGGTTTTCTGACATGCATATCCTCCTTTACGCCCCACTTCGAAGCGCCATATAGAGCCCTTGAGCCCCACAGCAAGGTCGAGTCTCCGGCGGCTGCTACTTCCAACCTCGGCGGGCTTGGCCAACATGATGCTGGATTCTGAGTTGCTACACTTTGGCAAAGGGCATTTCAGGAGATTCTAGGCTGCTGTTGGCTCAGGTTTGGGCCTGCCACAGCAGAGGAGCTGAAGCAGGGACAGGAAGGCGGGAAGCTCCCGCAGCTGCCATGGTTTTTGGACTGTCCCTTTTCTCACGGAGCTGTCACAACCACCGCGAACAGTTACTCTTCGCATCGGCGACACCTTCGTCGCCGGTGCCTTGATGTGGGTCCCGCAGAGAGACACAGTCGTCACAACCGTGCCGATGACGACGTGACATGATGTGAAATTTGATGACGGTTTTTGAGGTACCCTTCCCCCCCATGTCTGAATGAGTTGCAGAGAATCTAGATTTGCCTGTGAGAAGTGTGAAGCTGGAAGTCAAGTCTGCAGTGGTAGTGAGGTCTCATTGTGCTTGCAGAGGCACAGGCTTTGCACACAAGGGCTCTTGACAAAGACCGATCCGTGGTGGATATGGCAAGCGCCTGCCAGGAGGCGAAAACATATTCAACAAGCAGTCTTCAGAGCTCTTATTTTTCGAAGCAAGCACTTTGGCGAATTTGGCCTCCGGCAGCTTCTGCACAAAGGGAAATCCCACGCATGCTCCACGAGGCTGCAAGGCAAGCGAAGGGTTCCAATGTCGGAAATGCGTCGAGAATGGGCCAGGAGAGTGCTCCAGAAGATTTCTTGGATGCAATTCGCGAGTTTGAGAGAGTCACGCTGTCTAAGGAAAGAGATGCTGTCTCGTTCAGAATGTGTATGAATATCTGCGAGACTGCCGGCGCCAACAGACGAAAAAAAGAGACTTTTCTTGCCCTTTTGAAGCAGGCGGGTGTCTCAGTTTGACATCAAACAAAGGCTAAGCCTGAAGGGCCAGTCGAGCACTTATAGCTGGCCCGGCACGCTAGAAAGGTTTAAAGCCTTCTTTGCCCTATAATTACGTGCTATACGCCTGTAAGGCTTGTCATCTAGAACAGTGTTGAGGTCAAGTTTCGTGGTCCCATTCCACGTCCGGGTCCCAGCCGCCCTCTGGGTTCAGAGCCCTCCTGAAGCAAAGGCTGAGGAAGGGAGCTCCCCGACCACCTCCAAACCCTTGCCATTATCAATTATCTCCCACCCCAAAGCAAGAGCCTTAGATGGTGAGTTCTCAAAATCACAAGGGCCTTGGTCTGGTGAGGTGACGATTTCGTGCTCGGTGGCGGCGGGGACATGTTTGGGGGGACCCAGTTGCTGCCGGGGTCCGAGTGCGCAGCACCAAAGCAGGAGTTGGGGTGTGTAGGACCAGTGTAGGAGGGCCGTAGGACCATGCAGGACCTTGTAGGACTGTAGGAGGTGTCAACATTTCGAAAGTACTTCGGTTTTGTTTTGCTAAACGCTGCGCCCGCCTCTGCCCGGCCCGGATAGATGAGGATTTTAGGCTTCAGGGTTGTGGGCCGTGGGGTCGGTCCACAGGCATGTAGAATTCCAGACATTGTTTTGAGAGAGTACAAAAGCCACAGTCAACTCAGTGGCCCCTCCTTCGGCGGGGCTGTGGGGGGGGGGGTGGGGGGGGTGGGGGCGGTGAAGAGATGAATTCAACCACAGGCATGAGTCCGAAGTTCCAGCCGAGTAAGCGATCCAGGTAGAGTATTCAAGCCAGTTCAAATGCCGTTTATGGCGAGACCTAGGCTGCATACAATCGTTCTCTTCCTGAGCTTCACCCCAAAACACCTACAACGAGGTTGGGTGTCCGAAAAACTCCGTACCCCGGTAGGCCAAGCCGAGGAACCCTTCCCAGCATGTCAATTTCTCCGCCCTGAATTGAAAAATCGGGGGCTGGCAACAGTCAATTTCTTTTGACAACTTGGAAGAAGAAGAAGCAGAAGACTGAGAAAGGGGGTAAGAGAAAGAGAATCTATTGATAGGATGGGTGCTCTACTACTAAGAAGGATTATTGATTGATTGCACGAAGTTCCATGTCAATGTTCTTTCATTTCCTGTGTCTTCAGCTGGGGAGGGCGGGGGAGCCGAGGCGAATTTGTGAGTTGTTTAGCTAACGTGTTTGTGAGGGTCGGGAGCTGAGGAACAATCCGAAGGTGATCTACGTCAAGAAGGGGGGCATCGCCTATGTGTGGTGCTGAGACGTGCTGAGTCGGCATGGTGCTCAACGCAAGGTTCCATTCCAACTACCTCGGTCTTTGCAGTGTGTCGTGTGGGCATACCGACAATTCTGCCTCCTGCTGCATCTTGAGCAGTGAGAGTGGCCACAGCATCCGTGCCCGAACCATGATGCGTACACGCTACGTGGGTGGCCAGACCGCAGACCCTGGGGCCTAAACCCAAAAGCTTTACTGCCTTCAGGCAGTGTAAGTAAGCCCAAACAAACTCCTGAACCCCAAGCCAAGAACCTAAACCTCTCGCCCAACAGTGCCAGCCCAAAACCCTCAAGCCTAGTCTACCCCGCAACCGACACTGCAAGCCCAAGACCCTAACCCTAACCCTCAACTCAACCCAACACCGCAAGAAAACTGCAAATCCTCAACTCATGACTCGGGCCGCGAACAAACTCACAGCTTGAAATTCCTGTTAAGCACTTCGCACCATTATGTATGCTGTTTACCAGAACAGTTAAGCAAAATCCGAGACCAGTTTCTCTCCGATGCACTGTGCACCTTCCATACATGCTAGCCAAGCTTGTCTATGCTTTTCTGACTCTGTTGTCTTGCAGTGCGTGGGTTTTCATTGCGGCCGACTGTTGTTTAGTTGTTGTTGTTACTGCTGCTGTGTTATGAAGCTTCTGAAGCAGATCTCAGGGACAGGGACTGCGCGTGGGCGACGAGATCGTGGGCATCTCAGCCCGCTTTGCGCAGCGATGCGTATGAGTGATAGTGTGAAGTGTGTTGTGATCCGACCGCACTTCCGTGGCCAGACCGCTGCGCAAAAAGAAGACGTGAACGTCATCTTTTCGGCCGCTCTGCAGCAATTCTACGTGCCAGATGACATGCTCCTTTGCTGTACCCATGGCTGACACGCGTAGGAGAACACGAGGGCCAACTCTCCCAAGCCCCACTATCCTGCTAGCCCAAGCCAGGATCGCAGCTTCTGCCCCTTCAAGAGCCAAACTCTCCACCATGTTGAAAGTCCTGAAGCTCAACCCACACCCCCTGGCATGCAACTCCAACCCCCCAAACCCTGAATTCTGTCACTTGCCTGCCGCCCCAAGCGCCTCCTTCAAATCATCGCATTCCTTGAGCCCCCCAAGCCGTGAAGTCTCAAACTGTTCAACACCCTTCTGCACCAATGCCAAAACCACCCAAAGAGACCCGATCAGAGACTTCTGAGCAATAACGCGAGAGAGCCCCCCCTGAAGGAAGGCGAGCTTCGAAGGTTTCCCGACATAGACGGCATATTGAAGCAGCTCTCCGCTGGGTGCTTTGGCTCAGACTTGCCAATTTCAGGCTTCGTTTTGTGCCCTCAACCCGAAACATACAACAATCATACACTACTCATACACCACGCATACAACCTTAAGCCAGCAATGTTTGTGCGTTTGTGTTTCTTCTTGTCGATGGAGAAGAGAACAGCAACGAGGGACTTACTTCAGAATGATCCACTAGCAGACGTGAGGTGTTTCCCCAAACAGTGTACTGTAGGGGCTCCTGTTTCTTTCGAAGAATTCCGACCTAGCCGGATGCTCCGGCCGGGTCCCTGGGCTGCTTGTCTCCGCTTGTCTCCCTTTGTCTCCCTTCATGTGGGTGACCTTGGCCAAGTCCGTGAGCTGCCTGTCTCTGCTTGTCTCCAAACTCATTTAAGGGATTGCCGACATTCTGGTGAACATTGCCGGGTTCTTGGGCTCCTTGTCTCCCTTTGTCTCCCTTCATGTGGGTGGCCTGCCCTTTGTCTCCCTGCCTTTGCCAAATTCCAGTGCTCTTTGTGTCCCTTTGTCTCCTTTGGTCTCCCTTCTGGACTGTTTGGGGTCTTCGGTGGTGCAATTTGGAACTTCACCGTGTGTTTGGAATTGCGGTTCGGAGACTAGTTTCCACCAGGTTGGTTGTGGAAAAGATTGACTGAGCTGAAAAACCTGTCGTATCCCAAGCAAATTCGGTTCCGTGTGGCTTAAGAGTGTCGCTTTTGCCAGAGCACAAAGCTTGCCACACTTTGGGGAAGCGGAAGTGCGAGGAGGTCACATGCAGAAGTATGGACACGAATGCAAGAAACCTTCTTGCGCGCGTGCAGACTTCGTAGGTACCCTACCTACCAATAGTCCACAACTCAGTCGGATTTGTTCCAGATTGCTCCGAATCGGTGGAGTGTCCTCGGCGCCCTCGGAGCCCCTGCGAGCATCCACGCGAATACGCGAAGACTTGACAACGTGGATTTTGCCCGCAGCCGCGAACATGCGAAGATTTGGCCGCAGATGCGAAGCCATGAAGGCTCGGATGCGTTGGCGACGTCAACGGGGTCAAAGAAAAGAGCGGCTTCGGACGGCTTCAACGACTTCAGCGGCGTCAATAGAGTGAACGACCTCCACGTTAAGGTAGCTATCTAGCACAGAGGTTTAGCCGCAGGGTTGAGACGAAACTCAAGAACCTTCGAAAGCCCTAAACTCTTCCAAGCCCTAGAAGCCCCCAAACCTTGCTAAGAGGGCCGACAGTCAGCCTAGTCCCCAAAAGCTTTAAGAACCCTGGAGCTTTCCAGGAAAGAAATCAAAGGAGCCGAGGCCGGTCGGGCCGTTCGGTGGCCGTTCGGCGGCCTGTCGGTAGCTTTAGGCAAGCCTGGGAAAGGTCCATAACGTCCCAAGTTTTCGATCCGGCGCCAGGGGTTTAGGCTATTCGGGTTTTCCGGTTTGAAGGTTGAGGGATTTTAATTTGGTGTAAACATGCTCCAATTGAAGTTAACATTAGATGTAATTTGATGCAGTTTAATTTAGAAAAGAATATAAGAATACATACATATATATCTATATATCTATATGAACACGTGAACAGCACCGTGGGTGTAGATTGTTGGTTTGAAAGACAGATAAGACAGGCTGCTCCTGGTCTGGTCATGGAGTTCCGTGCCCGGGGCACGGCCGGTTTCCCAGCCAATGCTCGGGAGTCACTTGAGAAGCCACAGACAAAGGGGCGCTCCCTTAGGGCGGAGCGCGACATGAAGGAGAGTCACAGGTGCATCGAGTGAAGAGCCTTGTGCCCACTGAGTTGACGCTCTGGTGCGCGGTCTGTTCAATGAAGGGGGCTCACATCACACACTCAAACCACATCTCATAGTCCACGCCTCGTTCCCCGGCCGCAGTTCTGTTGCCCAACAAAGGGGCTTTCTCAGGTGCAGCCCGGGGATCTCGCCCCAGACTTCAAGCTGCCTGCCAGTACTGGCGGCCTGGCCTCGCTGACGGGTGCTTGCTGACTTTGCTGACTTGGGTGACCTTGGTGCCTTCGATGGGCCTAGGCAAGTTCCTGACCTGTCAAACCGAAATCCCGAACCCACTGAAGCCTCCGGCCAGCTGTCCCTCAAAGAGCTCCTTGAGGGCAACGAGCCCAGCTCCCAGAAGTGGCTTCGTGAGAAGGGTAGAGGGTCCTCGAGCCTTACAGCCGCGCATAGCTACGCATAGCTGCGCCGTTCCCACACACACCCAAGTCGTAGCGTAACTTCTCCTGTGACTTCTGTTCATCCAAGCCATGTGTTTCTTGCGGGTCCGAGCTGGCTGCTTCAAGCATTGAGGCGCACGTTCGCAGAACCGTCTAACTCGCTACCCCTAATGTCCTTCACCGCTTGAAGACCTTTGCAAGCATCTGCGAATGTCACTGAAGGCATCGCAACATGGAAGCATGAAGCCCTAAACGAGAACTTCAGGCTTTGGCGCGTTCCGAGGTACCTGGTAATGTTCTTCCGCCCATCCAGCCGCTTTCGAGGCCGAGCCTGCCTCGGGGTGAGCAGGTTTCGGGGTTAGCAAAAAAGTTTGAGGTTAACGGATTTGAAGGGTTTAGGGGTTTGCTGGTTAGGCGTTCAGTGGCTTAAACGGGCTTAGGCGTTGTCATGTTTGGCGGGCATTGGGTGCAAATGCTTCATTACACAGCTGGGTGTGCCATTGTGGCTTAAGTGGCCTTGACCCAAGCTGGCCATTTGATTTGCCTTGTGGGAAGGGATCCCACTGCGACTTTGCAGAAGTGATCAAGTGATCCCCTGTCCTTACCCTGGGGAAGTGATCCCCTTCGTGGTAGCGGATACCCCAGGCTTGCTGAGGCGTTGGGGCGTGTCGTTTTCGCTTTGGTCTCCATGTACTTCGACGACGCCTCCCTCACCGATTGAGCATCTTCCCAGGGATCGGGGATCAAGGATCGCCAGCCTGAGTCCGTCAACCACCTCGCACCAGCCATTTTGCCGAGCTTCTCTTTCAAGTGATTCTCCGCTCAAGGCGTAAGGGCGTATCAGCGTAGGCTGTCCAACCTGGCTCCGCTTTCTTGAGGCATCAGACACCGGAGGTATCGGGGGTTGTACCATTGTGTGGTTTAATCCCAGGGCAATGCCGGGAAGGCTTTGTCGCCAACATCGAACCCTGGTGGTACGAGGTGTGACAGCCCATGTTCGAATCGCGCGACTTGAGTTGTCCACGTTGCTCTTCGAGTCGTGGAGTCGACCACAGAGCCTTCGCGATAGGAAGGGCGATTTTTGTTCATTGATAATATTGCTGCACTGATGTTGCTCATTCGGGGACGTTCCGATTCCCCAGATTTAGAAAGGTCTTAATACCATGATGTACTGGAAAGTATGCCCCATCCTCGCCAAAACGGGTTGACGCTATCAGCCGGCTAGGCATGCGTGACTCATGGCAGATCATCACCGAAGCTACCCGTGAGCAGTCGCGCATGCCGAGAGACAAAGGGAGCGTAGCGAGTGTCCGCCGTGTCAAGCAGCTTTGGGGTACTGATATTTTAAGGGGCTGCGCCCATGGGCGGGCAGCGCAGGCAGAAGCGCGGGGCGAGCAGTTTCTAAGCATTTTGAGGCCCCTAATCTCTAAGCGTTTGAGGCTCCTCAACCCCCTCAAAGTTTCCAAGCATTTTCAGGCCCCTAAACTCCCTTCAAATCTCTAAGCGTTTGAGGCTCCGAAACTCCCTTAACGTTTCTAAGCACTTTATAAGGCCCCTAAACTCCCTTTTCCCTAGCCCCGGGCTTAGACACGTCGCTTATGCCCGCCCTTTGGGGGGCATCATGCTCCTGATGCCCCCCCGCGGTCCCGCCCCGGGAGCCGCTGATGCTCCTGATGCGCGCCTGGGGGTCCCGGGCTGGACCCGCTGATGCTCATGATGCGCGCCCTCTGGGGGCTTCCGTGGCGACGCAAAAAACCACGAAAAAAAACCGTTCACCGGCGGCACGCGGGGGTCGGCGGCACTGGCGTCCGGCCTAATTCTGCTTCGCAGAAGGCCAGAGGCCAGCAAGGCTATTCCCGGGACGACCCGGGCTAAAAGGTCCGCATTTGCTCGGGCCTTTGGGGACCTCGCGCTGCCCGATTTAATGGCTACCGCCAGTGCCGCCGACCCCAAAACGGCACGGGGTTAAGGGTTTAGGGTTTAGGGCTCAGGGCATAGGGTTGAGTCGACCGTCTGGTCGTGTAGGGTTTAGGGTTTAGGGCTCAGGGTATAGGGTTGAGCCGACCGTCTGGTCGTGTCGGGTTTTAAAGTCGACTGTCTGGTCGCTTAGGGTTGAGGGTTTAGGGTTCAGGGCTCAGGGTTTAGGGTTCAGGGTTTAGGGGTCACGTCGACCGTTTGGTCGCTTGTGGTTTTGACGTCGACCGTCTGGTCGCTATAGGGTTTAGGGCTCAATCGGGTGCCGCGGTTTAAGGGTTTGGGGGGTTGCTAAAGAAACTGGAACAAGGCATCGCCAAAGTTAACATTTTTTTGTTAGTTTTCTGAGAAAAAGTAGGGCAAAAGTAGGAAAAACTTAGGCAAACCCAGGAAAACGAGCCATGCTGTCCGTAGCTGAGGTTTTCGTGTATTTTTCTTGATGGTATTTTTCCAAGGACAAAGAGGGAAAAATATAGAACAAAAAAACAAGCCCAGGAAAACGAGCCCAGCATTCTCGCTTCGCAGGGTGTCCGACAGTCTGATTGTTTAGGTAATTGTTTCGCAAGTTTTACAAATTTGTAGGAGGAAAAATATGCTTCCGCCTCGTCTTCATTTCTTGTCTTTCCTATTGGTCACCTATTTGTGCCATTTTTGGCAACTTATTTCCGAGATAGTCTCGGCAATCGAAGGTCTATAGTCGTTCCATTTCTGCGCAAAACTTATTTCATGTTGTCCGTGCTTTCCAGTATAGGAACATCGCAAGGTTAGTGTTTCTTTTTTGTGTGTGTGTGTGTGTGTGTGTGGGAATTCCCTGCTGGAAAACAAGCGAAGAAAGTTAAGAACTAAGCATCTCGAAGGACTGTTTTTAAAAGCTGTGCCGAGGGACAACAAACAGTCAAAAACCCGAAAAGAACATTGGACAGACGTGGTGAAAGCAAACAAGCGAACAAAACAGATACATTGATGTGAGAAAGAAAAGTCCAAACGACTGTTTTGAAAACCGTTCTGAAGGACAACAAACAATGAGACAGTGGCACAAAAGCATGGAATGGTCCTAAAGAAACAAGCGAACACATCAATGCAGCAAGTACAGATTGTAAAGGACGGTTTTAAACTCAGTTCCGAGGGACAAGAAACATGCAAGCGCCGGTCGGCAATCGAAGGTCTATAGTCGTTCCATTTCTGCGCAAAACTTATTTCATGTTGTCCGTGCTTTCCAGTATAGGAACGTCGCAAGGTTAGTGTTTTTTTTCTTTGTGTGTGTGTGTGTGTGGGAATTCCCTGCTGGAAAACAAGCGAAGAAAGTTAAGAACTAAACATCTCGAAGGACTGGTTTTAAAAGCTGTTCCGAGGGACAACAAACAGTCAAAAACCCGACAAGAACATTGGACAGACGTGGTGAAAGGAAACAAATGAACAAAGTAGATACATTGATGTGAGAAAGAAAAGTCCAAACGACTGTTTTGAAAACCGTTCTGAAGGACAACAAACAATGAGACAGTGGCACAAAGGCATGGAATGGTCCTAAAGAAACAGGCTAACAAGAGAAATACATCAATGCAGCAAGTACAGATTGTAAAGGACGGTTTTAAACTCAGTTCCGAGGGACAAGAAACATGCAAGCACCGGTCGGCAATCGAAGGTCTATAGTCGTTCCATTTCTGTGCAAAACTTATTTCACGTTGTCCGTGCTTTCCAGTATAGGAACGTCGCAAGGTTAGTGTTTTTTTTGTGCGTGTTTTTTTTTTTTTTTGTGTGTGTGTGTGTGTGTGTGTGTGTGTGTGTGTGTGTGTGTGTGTGTGTGTGTGTGTGTGTGTGTGTGTGTGTGTGTGTGTGTGTGTGTGTGTGTGTGTGTGTGTGTGTGTGTGTGTGTGTGTGTGTGTGTGTGTGTTTGTGTGTGTGTGTGTGTGTGTGTGTGTGGGAATTCCCTGCTGGAAAACAAGCGAAGAAAGTTAAGAACTACGCATCTCGAAGGACTGTTTTAAACGCTGTTCCGAGGGACAACAAACAGTCAAAAACCCGAAAAGAACATTGGACAGACGTGGTGAAAGCAAACAAGCGAACAAAACAGATACATTGATGGGACTCTGGGGGTGAGCCCTAGCCATGGGGCCAGAGGGCCATGGGGAGCGGTCCGGCGGAGTGGAGGAAGCGGGCATGCGCTTAAAACTCAGCTTAGGGCCTAGGGCCGCTGGGGCCATGAAGCCATGAGGCCAGAGGGCCATGGCGGAGTGGGCGGAAAGGGCGGGGGGAGTGGGGGTCGTGGGCATGCACTGGAGCCCTTAAAACTCAGCTTAGGGCCTAGGGCCGCTGGGGCCATGAAGCCATGGGGCCAGAGGGCCATGGCGGAGTGGGCGGAGAGGGCGGGGGGAGTGGGGGTCGCGGGCATGCACTGGAGCCCTTAAAACTCAGCTTAGGGCCTAGGGCCGCTGGGGCCATGAAGCCATGGGCAGAGGGCCATCGGAGAGGGCGGGGGGAGTGGAGGAAGCCATGGGGCCAGAAGGCCATGCAGAGCGGTCGGAGTGGGCGGAGAGGGTGGAGGGAGTGGAGGAAGTGGGCATGCACTGGAGCCCTTAAAACTCAGCTCAGGGCCTATGCTAGAAGGCTGGGGCCATGCGGACCATGGGGGTAGGGCCCTGGGGCGCAATAGGCCCTATGGCAGAAGGCTGGGCATGGGACTATGGGGGTGAGGCCTAGTCATGGGGTCAGAGGGCCATGGGAGCGGTCCGGCGGAGTGGAGGAAGCGGGCATGTGCTTAAAACTCAGCTTAGGGCCCAGGGCCGCTGGGGCCATGAAGCCATGGGGCCAGAAAACCATGGCGGAGTGGGCGGAGAGGGCGGGAGGAGTGGGGGTCGTGGGCATGCACTGGAGCCCTTAAAACTCAGCTTAGGGCCGAGGGCCGCTGGGGCCATGAAGCCATGGGGTAGAGGGCCATGCCGGAGCGGGCGGAAAGGGTGGGGGAGTGGGGGTTGTGTCCCTTAAAACTCAATGCAGGTGAGCCCTAGCCATGGGGCCAGAGGGTCATGGGGAGCGGTCCGGGCCTTAAAACTCAGCTTAGGGCCCAGGGGCGCTGGGGCCATGAAGCCATGGGGCCAGAGGACCATGGGGAGCAGTCGGAGTGGGCGGAGAGGGTGGGGGCATGGGCCAGTAGGGCTCTGGGGCGCTCCAGGAGCAACTTAGGGCCTATGGCAGAAGGCTGGGCCATGGGACTATGGGGGTGAGCCTTAGCCATGGGGCCAGAGGGCCATGGGGAGCGGGCCGGCGGAGTGGAGGAAGCGCATGCGCTTAAAACTCAGCTTAGGGCTGCTGGGGCCATGAAGCCATGGGGCCAGAGAGCCATGGCGGAGTAGGCGGAGAGGGTGGGGGGAGTGGGGGTCGCGGGCATGCACTGGAGCCCTTAAAACTCAGCTTAGGGCCTAGGGCCACTGGGAGATGAAGCCATGGGGCCAAGGGCCGGGCGGGGGGAGTGGGGGTCACAGGCATGCACTGGAGCCCTTAAAACTCAGCTTAGGGCCTAGGGTCCGCTGGGGCCATGAAGCCATGGGGCCAGAGGGCCGAGGGCCATGGGGAGGGGTCGCGGGGAGTGGAGGAAGCGGCGCCCTTAAAACTCAGCACAGGGCCTATGCTAGTGCCATGGGACCATGGGGGTAGGGCCCTGGGGCGCTGGGGCCATCATGGGGGGGGAAGTGGAGCAAGTGGGCATGCACGGAGCCCTTAAAACTCAGCTTAGGGCCTATGGTAGAAGGCCCATGGGACCAGGGGGTGGGGGGTGGGGGTGGGAGCGGCAAGCCTGTCATAGATGAGGTGGAAGGTCTAACAAGCAGTGGGTCTTCACTGACGCCGCCCCCGGCTGGGGTCGGCGGATTCAGTTTCCATTCGGTTGCAGCCCGCAAGAACCCAATGAAAAGGCCACATTGCAACTTGGAATGGCCAGGTGGAGGCCTGGATGAGGTCAAGGCAAGCTTCCGCGTTCCCGTGCAGTTGCTTGTGTCACTTAGCTTGGACATGGAAGCTGTCCTCAATTAGGGCCCGTCTCCGCAGACGCCAACGATGCCCCCTATTCCTCCACTTCCCTCCACATGCGCCAGTACTTCGATCGGGCGCAGAAAGCGGCTGGCCCAGCCTGACTGCCATTGCTTATTGGGCTTTCGGAACATACGCGGAGGCCCTAACACACTCCCAAAGTCCTTTAGGCCCGAAGCCATCCCAAAGCCCGGGAAGCACTGGAAAGTCCCGGCTGGTCAAGCTGAGGTGTTGGCGGAACGAGGGGCCACCATCGTCGGGGTCCGGCTGCTTGCTTGTTGAGGTTGAGGTACCTTCTATCGGATTCCCAAGCTTAAGATTCCTCGTAAACAAGCTTCCGCCGACGTCTGCCAGTTCTCCATCTGTTGCTGCTGTAGCTGCGAGCGAAGAAGCTCTGCTAGCACAGATGCCCGCACTCTTTTTGCCAGGTACAGCGCGAGCCGCTAAAGGCGCTCGAGACGCCACTGAGCAAGCAGATCTAATGAGAGCAGAAGCAGCAGAAGCCGAGTTGCAGCGATTTCGAGATCCATGAGTGCAGGGCACACAGACTCGAGCCAAGGCAGTCCAAGCGCATGGGCTTGAATTACCCTTTGCTCTGTGATTATGCCGGGGAGGCCACTGGGAGTTTCGTGATGGCCTCGAAGTCCAAAATGTCCAAAATGTCCAAACATTGGTGTGATGTCCGGGTCGTAGGATGTGTAGGATGGGTGCAGGGTCGTATTCTCCAGTGACCTTTCTTGCGTGTCGCAGGCAAGACGGAAGGCTTGAACGTGTTTGAGCATGCTTGAACATGAAGTCTGCATAGTTCGCGAATCCCGAATAGGAATAATGAAGCGAAATCATGCTTAGTTCTCTGCTTTGTAGGTCGCAAAAGCATACGGGGCCTACATCGAGCTCGAGGAGCAAGGCTTGTGCGCCGGGAAGTGGCCCTTGTAGCTGTTGCCTCTCGGCAAGCGAGATAATGCCCACACTTTAGACACTTTTGGCCCCATATCCCACGCCGGAATAATGTAGGTCGGAGTTCTTCTTAGGACATGCATGGCTGAGGATGGTTAGTCATCTGGAACTTGAACAGGACAGCATGAAGGAGGTCCAAAATATAGATGGGCATACGGTAACTCAGACCGAACGGCTCCGCGGATAGAAGGCCTGCCCTCCTACGGTACCGGTATGCCAGAAGGTGTCAATAGTATCGGCGGAGCCGAGAGACGACGACAAACCAAACTGATGCGCCGCCACCGCATTCTGCTATGCCACCGTGAGCAGGTCCTAACACGAACCGACTGACCTTCATCATCGGCAAGGATGGTTTCGTCAAGGCCGGTGCAAGAGCTGCTTGTCCGGCTCGCTCTGGCCCAGAGCCTTTGGGGCGGTGAAATGGCGTGAACGGTAGGCCTCTTTCGTGACCGTGGGCTACGACGCCGACAAGTTTCAGCTGCAAGACCACGTGGCCGATGCCGCGGGCTGAGCAACGCAGGCCGCATGCCTCGACCGCATCCCGAAGCCTCAGAGAGGGCTCATGAGGGCTCTTGTCCTTTCATGTCCTGTCCGAATCTGAGGTTGTTCGGGTCCTGGGTCCGAAGCCTGGGGCGGTGCCATCGACATGGGAGAACTGCGTGCTGTGTGCTGAACATGTTGGAGATTGTTGGAGCAACTTCAAGCGACTCCAAGAAGAACAAAGCTTCCAATTTTGAGCAAGCTCCTCAAGCTCCTCAAGGTGGCGATCCCAAGCAGGCGAAACTGGACATGCAGCCCAAGCCGTGCCCTTACTTGAAGGTTCACTGATTGTAATTGGGGTGCTCCAGCTGTACTCCAGTCTTTGTTTGAGGAACCTTCGCAAGGCCAGTATCTGGATTATAGCTACGACTATGACTTATAGCCTTGATGAGACCGAAACTGGTCACGTCCCACGAGCACGTTCTCGTCAGTTTCTCGTCCCAAACACCATTTGATTTATCCAAAAACAATACAATGCAACAAACAGCAATACTATTAGTGACTATAGGCATAAGGCATTTATATCCCTTACCAGTTGGAACCAGAAGAAAAGTAAGTGTAGCCCAGCAAAGCGCAAAAAACGTATGTGCAATACCAATAAGGTCCAAGTCGGTGGGCGACATGTTGGAGATCGCGCTGGGGGTGCAGAAGCCCAAGCTGTGACCAGGCCTGGGGCACTTAGCGGATCGTTGGGTCAGTGTATTCCCTACGTCGTGCCATGACTGCCTCTATAGACGTGCCATTGTCGTTTATAGCCCCCCTCTTGTGCTCCCGCATTGGGCTTTCGAATGCCGGTCCTGTTGAAGGCTGGCTGACTCCTGGCTCCTGGCTCATGGTGAGAGAGCCGAAAGTTTTTCATGTCTCGCTGCATCTATTCTTTATGCGAATAAGCTCAGCTCTTGTGCCGGCATCTTCCCTGCAGAAGTGAGACTGTGGCTGAGCAAAGGACATGCTCTCAGGATCCAGGAACCGTGAACACCCCTAGAGGGATTTCAGCCCAGCACTCACTTCCATCAGGGAGAGCCTGCCCCAACCCTATAACGGTGAAGCAGACCCCAAAATGCAGTTGCGATGGAGTCTTCTTCAGAGTTGCCCGCATGAAAAGAGACCCTGCGGATCAACAAGCAGATGTTTATAGCTTTGAGAACATCTGGCCTGCAGCTCTTTCTGGTTCTTGGTTGCAGCGACTTGCTGCCAAAGCCAGACCCCATGAGGCGCGCCTTTGAGGTTATCATGTTCCTTCTTGGGGCCCAGTGCCCCCCCCCCCCCCACCCACCAAAGAAAAAGACGCATTCGGACGCCAAGCTTGGTTGAGGGTATTTGAGGGTCGTCAACGGCTCTTGAAGGTGTTGGAGGGTATATGAGAGAGTATGAGGGTGTTTGAGGGGTTGAGGGAAACTGGTGGGACCCCCGAAACCAAAAGGACCCGTTCCACCCTTGGAGCGCTCAACAGGCCTGGTCGCCGAGCTCCACTGCTGGCGCTGGCGGCCGCGCCTGCCATGTCTTAGAAAAAGCGGCCATCGGATAAGATGGACCGCAAAAAGGGAGCGAAACTTAAAGGATTTTTGGGGAGTGTGTCAGGCGCAGGTTTAGGGTTCAAGCTTCGGGTTCATGGTTTCTTGCTGAGAAGGGTCTAGACATCTGCAGTACGAGACATGCTCGGGTCTTGCAATGCTCTCAGGAACTCGTGCGTCGACTTGCTGCGGTCAACCAAAAGACCTGACCCGCTTTCCAGGTCAACCTCCTTTAACGTTCGAACGTGTGAGCGGTGGGGTTTGAGGATCTCTGATAACCCTAAGCCAGATGGACCTGAAGCAGCATACACCCCTAAGCCTAAACCATACACAAGCAGAATAGTCAGTTCCCTTCCCTAAACCATCAGCAGTTCTTAACGTTCTTCAAGGTGGGAGCCGGACTTCTGTCATCGTGCCGATGGTCGGCGCTGAGGCAGTCCGCGCGCACACGACTTCGGAACTTTCTTTTGGGAGCGTTTAGGGATGTTTTAGGGGTTCTTGGATCTTCGAACCTCGAAGCAAGACACCAGTGGACACCCTAAGGCCCCGAAACCCAACAACCAACAAACCCAAAATCGCCTCCTCCTAGACCTCCACGGACGTGGCTAGAGCCAGCCAGGGCCCGTCACTCAGAGTGCCACTTCTGCTGAAAGCACACCTGCCTGCGATTGCTCAGTTTGCTGTAGGCTGCGAGGGTTAAATGTGTAGGATTCTGTGCTGCAAATATAAAGGGCTTACTGCGCTGTGGAGTTCAGGGTGCATTTCTTTTGTGCGGAGGCCCAAATTTTCTCGCGAATCCCTCCGGGGTTGGGTTCTTGTTTAGCATCAAAGAAGCTCCGGTCGCACGGGGGGGATAATCAAGAGCCACTGGGAGGTGAGTGAGAACGGGGTGGATGGTTGGTTGCCGTGCACCGTCCGGGATGAAGGTCGGTGCCGGTCTGTCGGGAGCCAGATCGAAGCGCAAGATCTGGCCCAAGCGGACGGGTGCCGAAGGGCCACCGTGAGATGTGTAGGCAAGCAAGATCGGGTGGACGATGGGTTTTACCATCGTTACCTGTGCCGGTGGTTTTTTTTTTGCCGCTGGACCCGCAGCCCAAAGCTTCCTAAGCCCTAAAGACCGAGCCTTCATTCTGCCCAAAACCCTTGCTTGAGGACTTTAGGAAAGGGTTCGGGCATGTTCGGGCGCTGAGGTGCCTCAGGGCTTCTGTAGAGCTCTTGCTTCCTGAGGCTGCAGACAAGCTGCAGCTGCCTTCGAGACGGCGCGAGGCGCCGTGTTAAGTCATTCCGAAGCTCTTAGAATCTTAGGTGTCAGGTGTGCGCAGCATACGTACTACTGCTGCTCTCTTGTCTTGGAGCCCAACACCACAATGCACCATAAACCTTAAACCAACCGCAGCACCCACCGAGCCGAAGCCATCCTAAGCACTTTGTTTGGGCGCCTTCTACGCCTTTTGGCTCACCGGAGAGACGGCCCGGTTCCCCGCCAGCGCCTGGCGGTCGAGGTGCCGTGTCCAGATGCTTTTTGCGCCCGCAGTGGCTGTCGTGGCCATGCTGTCATGCTCTGCAGGTGGTCAGGCGGAATGCCTGCTACAGCCATGGGCGAAGATAAGGCTCCTGAAAAGTTGGTGAAGTTCTCCGCCCTGTAGGATGTCCAGATGCTTATGCCGTGTATATTGATGATGGCCTCACTCTACCCTTAAAGTAAGCTTGTTTGCAGGGCAAGGGTGTGGCTGCCGACATGGAAGTGATGTTCGACATGTCGAAGAAGGAGCAGGCGAAGAGAGTAACTCCGAACATGTAGTGTTGGAAGCGGTGATTGTGTCATGGCATAGGACAGTATCAGGAAAGCAAGGGGAAGATGAGCGCACTTTCTCCGCCAGGGGAACCCAGCCAACAACTACAAAAAGCTACACCGGCGCATCAAGCAAGACTACAAGGCGCAGCATCTCCACTGCTTGCATCCTGCAATGCTTCATGTGGGCTGTTGGGGCCTCTGAACTGTAGAATAGTGCCTGAAAGCACGCTGCTTTGCTTCTACCAGCTTGACCAGCTGTACTGGCTTTACCATTTCAGGTGTCCACCAACAAGGAGGTCATCAACCTCGAGAGGCTGGGCAGCTACGATCAAGAGTTCTTGCTTGGCCGTGTTCAGCATCCGAAAAGGCCCCCCTCCCGCCCCCCGCCAGCAGAGAAAAACAAGCAAATCCAGGCTGCGGGCCGCCAACCTCGTGATCTTCGCGGGGCCTCGGGAGATGTTCACCGTCGATGAGTTCACAGCCTTGAAGGCTTACTTGGGGCTTACCGTTTGGTTACTTAGTTTTGGTTGTTTTATGTTGCTTCTGGGAGAGCACAGAGACTGCCCAGGGCGCATCTGGCGATTTCGGGGGATTTGGGTAACAAATCATCGGCTGTGGGGGTTGAATGAGCTTTCGTTGGTTGCTGGACGTTCGCCATGATCGAGACATGTAGTGATGATCTTGGACGTCACTCGGCGCAGCAGCTTTCAGCGCACCGCATGCAGCGCAGCTGGATTTGTATGTGGGGTGCATGATTGTCGCCGTTGTTGCAGCGAGCATGGCTGTGCGCAGGACTACCTTGCAGATGGTGGCAGCGTTCTCTTTCTGGTTGGAGAGGGTGGAGAAGGCCATAGGGTGAGGAGCCTTGTAGTTTTGGAGCCATTTCCCGCCGGACTCGCTCAGACTGTCAGAGCATCTGATAGCAAAAAGCTGAAACCCCCAAACCCTGAACCTTTCAGAGAAGCAGGGATCGAGTCAAGGCGTTGTTCGGACCACCATTGACCTTTCTTTGGATGCTACACTCGAAATCTGGTGCCCGCAGGCAAAAGCAACACCAACGTGAACTACCTTCTGGAGGAGTTCCTGGATGACAATTCTCACGAAGCATACCCTTTCCTGCTGGCAAGAGTTCTGTCTTATCAGGCCTAGGATCCAGGGTTCAGGGACAAGCTGAGGTTTGGGATGAGCGTCAACAATGATGCTGTTGTGGGTGGCCCAGACCTGGCCCGTTCCACACGACGTGTCCTTTGCAGTGGCAGGGGTCTGCAGTTCATGACACAAGCGGCCTGGTTGTGGTTGTTTTAGGCTAGGGCCTTATGCATGGCAAAAGACACCAAGAGGGATCTTGGTTTAGGACCTCGTGCGCCGGACTGCGGCTGTGTGGCTCGGATTTGCCAAGCACCCATCCCCTTGCCTGAACGCCGATCCCTGCGCTTGATTGTTCGGGCACTGCCATGTGCATGCAGTATCGCCTTGCCGCATGCTGCTTTGTGCTCTTCGGCACAGGCTTGCTAGTCTTTGATCTGATGCCGGACAGATCTGAGAAGACTAGAGCAGACTTTGCAGTCAATGACGTCTTTGAAAAAGCAGGGCACGCCGTGCGCATGAAGGCCGCGAATTCGACAAAGCCACTCAGACGAAATGCCGCCCTTTGCTTTACGCAAGCAGCGTGTTTAACCGCCGCCTGAAAAAATGAGAGTTTTATATTGTGCAAGCAAAGCAACTCTAAGGAACGTGAGCCACAAGCCCGAGCTCCTCTTGAGCTTCGAGGCGATGATGGGTTCAGGAGAACAGGTTGTGAACATCACTGCAGATCAGTCGACGATGATGATCCGAGTGGAAGACCCTTGGAAGGCGATCGGGTTCGTTTAGGGCTTGTAGAGGTCTGTGAAAGCAGTGAAATCGGCATCGGGATCAGCAGCCGAGGAACTGGACGCTATCACTACCCCTGATTCCCCTGATCCGAGACCCACTGACAAGATGATTGTGGATGTTGAGAAAGGCCTCAGGCTGGAGCAGTCCTAGAGCTCATTAAATTTTCGACCGTGTTTCAAGCTGAGTGGTGCAGGCATGAGCACCAGCGCTTCTTCTCTGAGACGGTGTGCTACACTTTTGAGCCTTCACGACATCATATTTCCCAGCTGCAGGGTGCTGAAAGGTGTTTCATGGTGCTGTGTGTCTGCTGTGTCTTGCGGCCAAAAGATGTGTTGAGCCCTCTTGGGGCACATGATTGCACATCGGCTACGGGGATGTACAGAGCAAAGGAGGTACTTCTGCAATGTTTTGGCAGCCACATTTCGCTCTCCGAGGACATGAACCCAGCAGGTGGCATGATGAGCTCGGGCATGCGCTGGAAGCATTGGTGCCTTGAACATATTGTGTCAATGCTCGGTCACAGGGCGCTTTCTTTTTGGGATTCCCGTTGTGCTATCCCACTTTCCCAGCCCAGGCCGAGGCGTGTCGACCGCCTTATGGCAAGGAATTCGAATTCTCCCAAGGGCGAGGAAGAGCCCGGCAACAGCTCGGGCAGCCTTGTGCCCACCAAAGCGCCGATGAACAAGACGAAGTTGCGGCGCACGATGTTTGTGGAAGCAATGCCGCTGGGCACAGAATGGCACGGAGTCTTAGCGGGGGCACAGCTGGTCATGGCTCTGGTTTCTCTCGACTCCAGCGACGTAAGGAGCGGAGTCTTTGAGGCCCCCCTGCACATGTACGAGCTGACAGAGGCAGCAGGCGGACTATATAAGCACATCATGCTGTGTGCTGTGGGCAGTGTCCATGTCAACGTCCATGGCTGTGTGATTGGTGCTTGGATGGTCGGTGGCAGGTACTAAGCAGGTTGCTGGGCTCAACTGCACAGCGTGGCTCCTGAACCAGTCGCACAGCCTTCGCATGACAGAGATGCTTCAGGCCTGAGGGCACATCGTAGCCGAAGGCCTCCGAAACCCCGAACATCCCGAAATCCCAGCCGAAGTGAAGGTGATGACTCGCGTGACCGATGCAGCAATCCTCGATCTCCCGGTCTGGTGGTTCAGCTGGGATGTCGAGGTGCGCAGATGCCACTGCTATAACATCATGGCATGTGCTGAAACATATTGAACATGCTGTCCTTCATAGGAAGCAAGTGAGAAGCTGAAGCTGCTGGAATCTCTGCTGGAGTCCTCAGGAGCTTGGAGCTTTGCTGCAACTCCTGCGCTCGCCCCGTTCCTGTGTTAAACGCCCCAGGAGTTGCCACAATGTCAGCCCTTTTCGAGTTCTGTGTGACCGATTCCGGCGAGCTCCTGTCCACGCAGACGCAGACCTTTGCTTGCATCCGTCGCTTTCGAGCCGGGTGTAGAGTTTAGGGTTTAGGCCTTCGAATTGAGGGTTTTCTGCGAGAGTTGGCGCCTTGCGGGGATCTTCTGAGCGCAGCCTTTCATTGCTAGTGCTGGCACGGGCTTTGCATGCCGCGCATGCTTCGCATATCTTTTCGTGATACGCTGAGGTATAAGCTGACGTATGCAAGAAATACCGTGCAGAACTCGACGAACAAGACAGACCTGGAGTATGCTGGGCAGGGCGACATGGACAACCAAAGCAATGTTCCCAGGCTGCTTAGAGCTAGGTACCTGCCGCGTGAATTGGCTAAGGCCCAGCCTAAGCTGTTTACATTTCCATCCAGCAGAAACGAGCAGAGACCCTGAGCCCGGTTCATGGCAAGCAGTCCAAATTCAGATTTCCCAGTGCCTGAAGCGCAGCCGTAAGATGCTCTCAACGGAGGGCCAAGCTTCAGGCTCTAAGTGGCTCCGGGCGTCAGCCCCCCTAAATCGCTAAAGCAACCCAAACATCCCTTACATCCCTTGAACCCTTCTTGAACCATACATCTCTTGTATCCGGGCGGCTAAGGCCAGTATGGTTAGCCCGCTGGTCCTGACAATCTTTGAGTCGGACAGCCAGAGCCGGCTCCTGTCGCCACCACGCAGGACGCCCGTCGGAAGTTAGCCGGAGACGACTCAGGGCCGCAGGGCGCTTTGCCCGAAGCCTTCGAGATATCGTGTGCAGGCCCGATTCGAGGCAAATCGCACCGAGGCCTACAAACCTCTTGCAGCTGAATGCCACCTACGGCGTCACGGGTGGCGAGTGCGTGGACCTGACGCAGGCAGTTCGGGTGGCACAACACTTCTGACGAAAACGGTGTTGTCGCTCGTGCTTGCAATCGTAAAGCCGACAAAAAGTAGAGCCTGTGCTGTCTCAATGTTATCCTGTTGTGTCTTTTCTGTGATTTTGCCAGCATTGCTCCCCCTTGTGGCGGATTTAGGGCTCCGCCCTTGCTCCGGTCAGGGAAGTGTGGGCGAGGCGGAGCTGGACTTGGATGTCAACGGGCCCGAGCGTCTGGCGCGCATCAACAGGGAGACCGTTGGCCCCCTGGCGAGGGAGGGGGAGGGGGAGGGGGAGGGCGGGGGGGTGTTGGCAAGGGAGGCTTCGGGCTTGGTGGATGTTCTAGGATCTAGGCCCCTTCTGAAAACCGTGGTTGTCGATGTGCAGAAGAATTGAAGTACAGGACACGTGCAACCGAGGCTTGTGGGAAGCCGCCCCATATGACTTTTGGGAGGGTGTGAAGGCCGGTTACAGAGAAGACGGACGGTTTTGAGGGCTAGTATTGTTTTGCTTCTGTGGGTCTATTCTCTTTCATTACCAATTGCGAAGGGCACCTGTAAGGGGGACGCTAGCAGCCGTCGCCACATCTGTGCCAGGTCCGCGAGATCGTGCCCTCCCTGGGCACTGAGATGGGACCGCTCCGGTTGCCACTCCAAACCGCCACGAGGCCAGTATGATGTTTCATGTGTTTGCACATGAAAGCTCACTAAGGCCTACTCGTATCAATCGGAGTCGTAGCAGAATATTTTTTTTTGACTCGGTATTCAGACTTTTCAGGCCCCGGCCGAGCCTTGTCCGCACGATGGGCTCTCAGCCCTCCGCGTCCGCCGGGTCTGAGCCGGCATCGTTTGACGCTCGCGTGCACTGGCCCAACTGCAACTCCATCGCGTTCATCCGCAACCAGGCCCACAATGGGGCATGGGGCAAGTGAGAGCTACGTCGGCGTTGGTCTCGGCACTTGCGAGTCTTGCGAGAGCTTGTCCACACAAGGGTCGCTGTGGGTCATGCTGGGCTGTAGCAGCGGCGACGGTGCCTGGCTCGAAGGGGTCGATCAGCATGTCATGAGCATGTCGAGGACAGGAGAGCCAAGATGAGCCAAAACCAAAAAGCATGGCAATAGCATGGCCCACTGAAGCAAAGGTGATGACGGATCGATTCTGCGTGGCGGCTTCGCAGTTCCTGGGGCGAAATGACAGTTCCGGAGGCAGCCTGTTGCAGCTGTCTGCCGCACGGAGGCAAATGTTCGTCTGCGGTTTTGGTCCACAGACACGATGCCTAAGCCCAACATTCCTAGAAACCCACTCTGAGGACATGCAGGGGCTGTCCTTGGCCCCGGAGCTTCTTGTTCAATGCGACGGAACAAACCATGGCTGTGGCGGAGGGCGCTTGGATGACGTCTGGCTCTTCTTGAGGAGTCACGGCGTGCCGCAGGCCGGGGCCCAGCAAGTGCAGAGCTGTAGGGAGTACCATGACTACCCTCTGAGCCTCAAATTTGGCGAAGTCGAGGAATCCTGCGCCCCCTACGAGCACTGCCGTGTGCCAACACAGCGCTCCTGCGATTATGATTGGGAACCAAGGCACGCCGCATCAAGATGCTTTTGAGATGTTTTTCAGGGCTGCCGAGTATTTCGGGATGCTAGGGGCTTCAGGAGGTCATTTCGGGTTCCGGGTTTCTCTCTCCAGAAGTCATACCCCCAAAGCGACCAACTAATTTTGGCTGCGGAGGGTTGAGGGTCTCGGTCTAGGCACTCTTGTGCAGCAAGGCCGACTATGCCGCTCAAGCCCGTGGAACAGGAGGAGGAGGAGCCAAAGGCGACCCATGACTTCTGCCACTGGGCTGGAATGGGAGTCGTTGCAGATTGTTGGAGTCCTCAATTCTTTTGAGGCCATGGGTCCTGTGCTGATGGCTCGAAGATGACGCTCTTCAAGGTGGCAGAAGCACCTGAGCAGCAATAGAAGGGCAGTCGTAGTCTCATCGTATCTTGTGCTCTAATCTTTGCTGATCGGAATAGCTCCTGCGCTGTCAGGCCTCGCCTCTGCTTTGCAAAAGCCTATGTAGAATCTATACGTGTGCATGCACCATCTATTTGTATGTATGTATGTATGGATGGATGTATGTATGTATGTCTGTATGTATGCATGTCCGTCCATGGGCTTCTCTCCATCACAGGCTGACGTTCTCTCATGTGTTTCCGCTCCGTGCATCCCCAGAGGCCTATGCCGCCTCGCGGCCGCGTGACGTTGCCGGCCTCCAGCGTGAGCTGATGATGCATGGACCGGTGGAGGTGGCCTTCTTCGCAGCCTGGCATCGAACCTTTGATTCTGCCCTTAATGCACATCCTAAACCCGGCAAGTGGTAAGGTCTTCTCCGACTTCATGAGCTACAAGCGCGGCGTCTACTTTCGTACGCCGGGCGCCTTCGGGCCATTGGGAGGTGCCCAGCTTCCACTAAACGTAGCCTGGCCTTTAGCTGACGTGCCTTCTAGACTGGGCTCCCATATTGTAATGCCTTGTAGATGTTGTGCATCGTTGCCCTGCTGACGATCCGTCAATGTTAGTTTTCCGTAGCTTGGCGGAGGCCATGCAGTGCGATTGCTCGGATGGGGCACAGAGGAGGCCTGCGTCCCACGTCACAATCGTATCATGAGTCCTGCGTTGATACGGAGCTAGCGTGACCCCAAAGAAACAAGTGACAAGGCCTAGGTATGCAGCCTTTCGGTTGGTGAAGAAGATCTGCATACTGCCACCAGTTGCGAGAAGCTCTGTACTTGGACCGGTACGGTTAAAGAGGGTCACGTATCGGCGTATCGCCATTTGGCACAGACTGGAGTCAGCATCTCTGTGCCTGATGACCTTGCTTCCTCTTCGAGCACGCATATTCCGCAAACCAGCCATGTCTGCAGCGTGAGGACTACAACCGCGAGCCCATGGATTATTGGCTCATTGCAAATTCCTACTCTCCTCGTTGGGGCATGCATGGCCTCTTCCGCATTCGGCGTGGCACAAATGATGCTTGGATCCATCTCGAAGTAAGCTGCAAGTGTAGTGCTTATGGGAGCAAGTTAGAAGCACGTTAGCAACCATTGCATCCAACGCAAAAAGTTCACAGAACCTTTGTTTGGCTCAGGAGTGTGGCATCGAGTCCATTCCTGCAGCGGGCACACCGGACTTGAGCCAGCTTCTCCAGTAGGTGCCAAGTTTCCGACTGGAACAAGGACGTTGCATACCCGATGCAAGACATTGAAGTGCGATCGGCTTAGTAAACATCATTCTGTTCGAGTTCTTGGCATGGGCATGTCGCGTCCCCCTGGCACTCCAAGTGGTGCACCTCTGCACAGTCGCCGATCTTTGCAGAGGGTCTGATTAGGCAAATGAGGCTCCGCTAAATTCGCTTAAGTGACCGACGTGGCAGCATGAAAAGAAACGAGTGCCACAGAACAGTTCCAGGCTGAGGACACAGCAAGCCTGTCCACCGCATCGCTAAGTTCATACTTGATCTTCATGAGGTCCGAACCGTCTACCACAAGTATCATCACCCCAAGGCAGGTCTTGCATTGCAGTGGAAAGATGTTGGATGGCGATGGTTTGAGGACGTGCAGTTTGTTGCAGGAGTGTCTCATCACTCATGGTACTATCTGCCGTGACTTAGCGCCGGCCCCAGGCCATCAAAGATGTCCAAGTGCGCAGGTAGGACGACCATTTCCCTGCTTCCGCACACAAGGTCCGATCGGCCAACGGGGAGAAGAAAAAGGAGAAGGAGAATAATGACAAGCTTGCTTTGAACATCACGAAGGCTGGGCACACGGGGAATGGGGCCATCAGCCTTGTTCCAAAGTTCTTGCTCTGATGGAGCGGAAGGAAGAACCCCATGCGTGGCATGTGTGGCACTGGCACTTGGGCACAGGAGGATGCAGAAACAGTCACCCTCACCAAGGATGGGAAGCGTTTGACACTTGCTGCAGCTCGGATCGTCCGCAAAGCTTTAGGTGGACTTCCAAGAAAAACCCACATCATCCCGTGATGACAAGGTCCCACAACCTGCCTTTTCACATAACACTCCTCATACAACGGATCCCAACCACCGACCTTAACTTAGAATATTGGACTAACCCCCATGGGAGGATGACGGCGGGCTGGAATTTGTTTTCCCATACGGGGCAACGCTCAACGCACAGAAGCCTGCGATTCCCATCCTCTCCTCTGGGCACCTTGGCTTATTGCAGGCATGTGTATGACTCTCTCAAAACAATTGCGCCGTTGTCAGGGTTTCCGCAGTGCAGCGCACTCTTCACTTCTGTCTGATTCTTTCTATGTCTTGAGGCCGATCTCATATCCGCTGAATCGCCCCATTGGCGCCATTCATAACAAGGCTGGGTGAGCGGCGGGCGCTTTGACCCTTTGCATCTCAGCACGAGCTGCAGTTCGTCGAAACTGCCTAGACAAGCTTAAGAACTTATGCATGAACGGAGTCTTGGCTCCAGCTGGCCATGAGGTGGGCATGGGCAGGATTTGCGTTATCGGCTCTGTCCACATGTTCGGTGTCCGAAGCTGAGATCTGTCTCAGAGACGCAGCCCCCATTTGCAGCAAGCCGCCACCCAGTATCCGAGGATGACTTCCTCGACTGTGAAAAGAACAGACAGCTAGTCGACACCCTTGTGCGATGGTGCCGTGTCTTAAACTGAGCGCGAACACACCACGCAAGCGAATGCAAGCGAGGAGCCGTGCTCGCACAATCTGCCCTCTGCAGGTTGTTGAGGCTTGGGGACTGTGAGCTCAGCTACGCGTATGGCGAGGAGACCTGAAAGAGTTCAAACACAGAACCCCAAACAGCTGACACAGCTCCTGGGGCACAGGAGCCAGAGCTCAGCGAGTACCATCACATCCCTCACACGCAGGGACTGGCCATGAACCTCAGGCCGATCCAGGGCCAAATGTGTGATTTTCTGCGGGGGCTTCTTACTCTGAAGATGGCACGGGTCCCTTTGGGGTTGAGTTAGGCCCTTTAGGCTTTAGGTGATCCTTTTTGGGCAGCCCCAAGGATGCGTAAGGTCTGTGAATATCGGGAAGCTTGCAGGGCCGATGAGGGGCAAGTAAGTATCGAGCTACAACAATCTTAGACACGAAATACGGCATGATTTAACACAATCTCGGACTTGCACTGCCTCTCTCGTTCAGTGCACCAGGTTGGAAGTCCCCGACTTGGTTCCGTGGTCCCCCACAGTAATCCTGACCGTCGCCAAAGCTTTCAGCAGCCCAAAAAACCCTTAAAAGCCTTAACCTAAGCGGTATAGAATGAGCCACAAAGCACCCCGCGGCCCTGCTTGAGGAGCTGTCTCCAGGCGCGAAAGCCCTTGGCAGGGGCATGGCGTTTCGTGGGTATCAGTTGAGATGCATTCGCTCCGCATACAGATAGATACATAGGTAGATAGATAGTTTTATATGTATATATGCAAATATGAACGCAAGAATGTATGTATGTATGTATGTATGTATGTATGTATGTATGTATGTATGTATGTATTTATGTATGTATGTATGTATGTATGTATGTATGTATGTATGTATGTATGTATGTATACATGCATAGTAGGTATCTATGCACACATACATGTACGAAGATAATTCAATATACAATGACATGGAATATGTAGATGCACGTATGCATGTGCTATGCATATGCATGCGCAGCATGGGGCGCGGTTTAGGGTTGGGGTTCTACTTAAGCGTTTGCTGGCACCCGAACATCGAGCAGTGAGCTTGCAGAGAACTTTCCAAGATCCTAGGCCCTAAACGAACCCCGTCTGAAGCTACAGCTACAGCACCTGCGCCCTAAACCCTAACCCATAACCCAATTGGGGCTGCCAGGAGAATGAGCAGCTGCCAAGGGATTTCACCCAGCTCTTCGATGACAGCCTCTTCAAGTTTGCCGCTGCCTTAAGGGCTTGGTTTTAATGAAACTCGCTCGAACCCCTATCTCCAAGACTCGTCAGCTTTACAATGTTAGGAAGCTCCTCTAGCTTGTCTGGATGGTCACAACTGCTCAGGACACAGACTTGATCCCAGAGGCGGCCAACGTTTGCGGTACTCTTTGACGTTTGCAATATGCTTTCCCGTTTAGCTCGGGTGGTGGTGGTGGTGGTGGCGGTGGTGGTGGTAGTGGTGGTGGTGGTGGTGGTGGTGGTGGTGGTGGTCGTGGTGGGCGTAGTTGTCGAGATTGTCGTGTGGACTGCATTGAGCGTGCATGGCCGCTGTTTCATTTGCCGCTGTTTTTTCCGCTGCAGTTGCTCAAGTTTGTGATGTTCCGCAAGCACCATGCCAACAGACAGCCGAGTCAGCCTTTTTACCCGGGACACAGGCTCCACCTGTCAGTAGCTACACAAGGGCCATGTCGATGTACAAGTTGCCCAGTGTCAACTCGCCATATGTAACTCGGTCTGCCTCAAAAGTGTTTCGTGTCGCCTTCTTGATTTGGACATTTGAGGTTGCGGGGGCGGGAAGGCCTGTTCCAGCCCCCAAACCGCATAGCCTCGCCAGTCCACTGAGGCGAGACCGTACATGACCAACCACCTGTGCTACCAGGCCAGCCGTACTGCCTTCACAACGGCTTGCAGCAACCGGTGCAACTAGGCTCCAAAGCTAAGAGTGTTGATTTCCCCAGGACCGGATTCGCAAGGAGTTTCAGGCATCGGTCCCGACAGAGATGCTGCACATGCTGGACGCGCCACTCTCCGAGGCGAGAGGGGTTGAGAGGTGCACGGACTGAGGCGATTGAGGTGCTGCGGAGCATCACATTCATGAGCATGAGGGAGGCTCAGATGCGCTCAAACTCGCCCTTATTTTCTGGGTGGTAGAGGAGGGAGGGACCAAGGAGGGAGAGTCCGCATGCAGAGGCCTCGCGCAAGAAGTTCGGCCTTGCCTCGTCAGGCACCGAATGCTTGGTAGGGGGAGTTTTGCTAAGGAGAAAGTACCTACAATCTTGTATCCACGATCTAGGAATCACCTGAAGCACCTCAAAAAAGACCCCTTTTTTGGGCTCCATGATGTAACAGATTTAACATTGAATAACAGGAGTGTGTAATGCTTGTCGGTTGGAGGGTTTCATTGTAGTTGTTTTTTTTTGCAGTTTTCTTGTTTGCACACCTCTCGTGCAAAAAAGTAGGTACTCAAGAGAGCCTTAGAAAGCCTCGTGAAATGCAGGGTTTGTTTTGTGTCGCTGGGTACCGAAAGGTGTACCTTTTCCTTCAAAAAGGCAAAAATTCCGTATCACAGCAGAAGAATACTCTTTCATTTACTTTCTGACAACATACGTTTACCGTTCGTTCTTGAGTATGACAATGTCTCTTAAAGGCGCGCACCTTATCCTCTTAAAGGAGGGAAAGCGAATGTTGTGCTGAGATTGCCGAAAGGCAGCGTCCTTCTTGTCCGTACAGAAACGAACTTTGTCCTGAATGAAGAAGCATCAAAGAAGTTCCTTCTATCTAAATCTGCTTTCAGTGGAGAAGGTTTAACATGAGAGAGGCTCCTTCATGCATGATTATGAGTGCAGGGCATTCTCTCGTCAATCATTTGGCGCAATTTTGCTCTTCTGAAGCTGATAAGACTTTCCTTGGGATCAACGAAAGAGGAGAGGTTCTTCGTTTCTTATGTCCTGCTATGTCGTTCTCCTTGACAAGACACTGAAGAAGTAGCTCTCAAAAGATGGCGTGCCATAGATTTTGACGCTACACGATCAGGCACTCCAAATGCGGGAGTCGTCGGGCTGGGGGTGGGGACGGGGGGGACGCTGGGGGACATTGGGGGTCGCTGACAGACGCTGGGGCAGGCGGGAAAAGCGTTGGGGATAGGGAGTTATCGGAATTACCCATTCCAGTTGAAGAAGTGCCAAATAGGGTCAGTCCTGCTTCATGCGGCAGTCTCGCACTGCACGCTGCGAGAATCTGCGCATTGACTGGTCGACGGGTCGCCACAAGCCCCTTTGAACCCGCGGCCCAATCTCCATTGACCAGCTTCGAACTGCGCCTTCTTTCCTTTACATGTTCAGAAATGCTACATGGTGTTGCAGGCTCTGCTCCCAGCCTCACACAGGCTTCGAGGGGCACGTGCTGGGCACGTGGTGGGCATGTGGTGGTCAGTAGTTTGCTTTCGTTGTTCGGGCGTCCCAAACACAGCTCCTGTATCGGTCATATCCCCGCCCCAAGATCGAGGGCTTGGGTTCAGAAAATAGCAGCGCCATCGCCCTCTGCCGCTCTTGCAGGAGAGATTTCCGAAGGGCTCGTTCAACAGGATGAACAACGACTCGAGTGGGTTTTCGAGGCCATCAAAGAAATTTGCATGTCAAAAAGAAGTCAAGCACCTTGTAGCAATGGTTCATGACGATGTGCTACCCTGAGGATTGTGCTAGTGGAAGGACTGTCAGCCCTATCGTTCGCAGACTGAAAACACCTGACGAACTGTGCCCCGGATCATGGATTCCTGTTTCGCTCTTGGAACTCGGGGCTGCCTTGAAGATGGGTTCCCTCCGATAGAGTTACAATGCTGATCCGGTGTCTGGAAGAAGGGTCCTTGAGCAGAGACCTTCAGGGTTTAGGGGGTTGCAGGATGTTGCAGGTTTAGTTCCGGCTTCACTACAGAGCCCGCATCTCAGTCTAGAGCCTGCGCGCACGCATGGAAAGCCTGCACCCTGTGGCAGGTCTCTTCTCGGAAGCTGGGAGGGTACCTTGGGCAGCCAGAACTAGGCCCGGATTGAAAGCTCCTGTCAAATCAGTTCAAAGCGTTCCCCGTTGCTCGAGGCCAGCTGCAGCTGCAAACCAGTTGGTGAATACAAAACCGTATTTGTTGCCACACGGAGACGGCTATGTGGACCTCTTCCTGCCAGAATGTTTGAAATAGAGATACACTGGATAGTGTTTACCCATCTAAGCCCAAGATTTTCAAGCCTTTCCCCTCTTAAGCTTTCAGTCCAGCCAGCCGCCCCCAAAGCCCTTTTCCTTCAGTCCCCGCAAATTTATGGCCCCTCATGCCAATTACACCTTCAGAACTCAGAGCGGCCAAGGATCCGGGGGGCTCAACTCCCTGCACCGGCAAACCTTCGGGCCGGCTCGGGTGCCCTTTTCTGGGTTTGGGGATGTTTAGGGGGTTCAGATTCGGGTTAGCTTTCAGAAAACTAACTTCCCAATCCTTAAGCTGTAGTCCAGTGTGGATTGATTGGGGCTGTTGGGTTTCAAGGTGTTGGGGTGGTTTCGTCGGGTTTGCCATGAGTTTGAAGAGCACCGAGGGTTCAGCGTTTGGCTGCCCGCAGTGTTTGGCGCTTGTTACAGTAGCTTCAACTTCAGGGTATAGGAACCCAGATAACAAGAAGTTGCCATAGGAGCACGCCCTGTGCACTAAGCCATGCCATAGCAACAGAAGTCTGTTAAGTGGTGCATGTGTTGCATTGTTGACCAAGTCAGAGGCACGTCTGCACAGCTTTGCCTCACTGTTCCCGAGGTCGTGAGGCCGGGGGAGAGCTCGAACGTTCGGCATCTGCTGCATTCCCTGAAGATGGACAGGACAGGGGATTAGTGTGTTGCAGGGTTTCGTGGTGGCTTTAGTGTAGGGGATATATTCTAGGGCAAATTTCATGGATTGTGCCTTCTCCGCGTCGCCCAGGATGAGGGCAAGCTCACTGCCTCGGTCCTGTTGACTGCCGGCAGTCAAGGGCGATGCCGACGTTTGTACTTAGCTCCTGGCCGTCACATTTGTTTCTTTCGATCCGAGTGGTTTGAAAGCATCCCAGCACTTTTGTGCGGGATGCGTTTCACCGGAGCAGTGCCGCAAACTGCGCACATTAGTTGCTACTTTGTTCTTGTGGTGATGTTGGACTATGCACTTAGAAGTGAAGCCTCTCAGCGGGATATACGCATACCTGCTAAAAGGCCTGGCAACCCCACCCCATCCACCTTTTCTGTTGACATACGTATTTGCCTGAAGTGTCACCGGTCTGAAGTTTCTGGCAGTCGCACCGCCGCGCTTGCGAGAAATGAGGATCGTTGCCGCTTACATCTTGTCAACGAGCTTTGTCTTTTAAGTTTTCGCGTGACCTGTGCCAGGCTGTCAAGCTATACCATCAGCTGGGTGTCAAGCATGAGCCGTTGGGGCCTCACTTGGGACGGCAGGCTGCTTGAGGAGGGAGGAGCGCACCAAGCTTTTTATATCTGTCTTGGCGGATATCCCTAAACCCCAATTGAACCCAAGCTTTAATCCCAATTCCAAGAGACTTCTCTGGCACCTGAAGAGACTACGGCTTTACTGTAGGCCGAATTCAAAGCTGAGGTTGACACTCATTCCCCCGCAGTTTGAGACTCCGATGCCTGCGTTGCAGCCAGCAGCCTGGGGCCAAGACAGCTCAGGCTTCTGGGGAAGCGGCTTCCGTTCTGGGCTTCTTTCTACCCAATCACACTGCAGATGAATCGTCAGCCTCGTCCCAATACGTACTGCATCTGTGTAACTCCAGAGCCTCTTCTCAAATTAGATGGCGCATGCCTGTGATGGGCCTCTACATGTCCCGCTCAAGACAAAGAAGTTGACAGTCACGAGGAGATGCATGGCTGCATATCTGCCGCATAACCGCCTTACCCCTTAGCCCTGCACCGCCTGCACCGCCTGCACCGCCCGCACCGCCCGCACCGCCCACACTGCCCACTGCCTACATCCTGACGGTGGCTGGTGTTCCTTATCGAGGTGTTCCCTCCGTGCCTGCGGGAACCGCCGCCGCCCAGTCTCGACTTGTTCGACCTGGACACTTTGCTGTGGGGTCCGGAGTCCAGGCATCCAGGCTTTTGGTTTGTTCGGGGTTTCGCGGGGCGCGATTCCTACTTCTGATGACGTGCGTGCTGCATGCCGGCTGCGGAGGACGAACAGTTCGCATCGGAGCGGGTGCGTTTGGCACAGCTCACCAACAAGCTGTGGCCTCAGATCCTTGGCCTCAGTGGCGCCTCAGGCAGAGCTGGCCTATCAACAGCGCTAATTAGAACCCGAGAGCCGGGCACCTCTCTTCAGGTGCACGGATGACGACCTGGACTTCTACATCCGTCAGGCAATTTGTCCGAAAAGGGTTAGGCAAGCGAAACAGACTTAAAGTCCTGAGACGCTGTTAGACAAAGTTACAGCCAGGCGGGGGAAATCCTCGGCGTCTCGCAGAAGTTGGGCGACAAGCGATCTTCCAAAGATCCGGCCAAGAAGATTGTGGAGCAGCCGCCCTAGCAACGGCTTGGATTTGGAGGTTTTTTGAGAATTATTCACCAAACGCTGTAGCCGCGGGTTCTTCTTTTGTTCAATGACATGGTTTTCCATTCGGGTCTGGACGCTGGATGTTGTGACGCCAGTCTGGGACAGTCTGCGACTGTTATTGTTGTCTCCCATTCGTCCGCCCCGCATCTCCCTCTGTTCCCCAAACTGCTTTGGCTGGGTTTTTTGGTTCAAAGAAAGTGTTTCTTTGACGTTGATTTTGGTTTCACATTTTAAAAAGAGTACTGCAGAACCTGCACTTCAGCACGAGGAGGAGAAACCATTGCCAAATGCATTTTTCGGGTGCCTCAAAATGCAGATGCCATGCTTGGGGATGCTCGTCAGATCGTGGTTGGTGGCAAAACGCTCCTCTCTTTGTTTTTTTCTGTTTGGTTTTGGCATGGTTCGCAACACCAATCTATTCGGTTGAGAAGGCTTCGGTGCTGAGAGGCCTGGAAGACCGCAGACTGCCCGAATGCATTTCGGCGCCGGCCAGCAACGTGAATTTGGCTTTCCATCCCTGAGGCATCTTTTAAAGTCGGGCGGTATGTAGGAAGCTCCAGTAATGCATGGGGGTATGTTGCTCTTCATGGCCTCTGTCCGATTCCTTGTGAAACGCCGAAATTTTTCGGAAATGCATTTTTGTTTTGTTTTTTTGTGTGTGTGTCGATGACAAATACAAGGGAAAACCGCAGACTCTATGAGCCCGACCAAGGACACTCCATTCCCAAATCAATTTCTTTTGGATGCCGCGATGGCAGATGTCAAGTGGCCACAAAAAGTCGCGCATTCAGAATGACATGCAGTGGTCCTCAATTGCTGTTTGGGATCGAGGCTGGCATAATGGGGTTGAAATTGGCACGGTGGTTGGGTTGCAGAGTTGCGAGGAGTTGGCCTTGTGCTTGGTGTTCCTGAAGACGAGCCTTTCTGTCCGCTGTGCCTGCCAAGGTACATCTTCAAGGAGCTAGTTGGCTTCAAGAAAATGAACCAAGACATGGTGCCATCCGTTGGCATCTCTGAGTGAGCGCAGCTTGAATTCGAAGTGCTGGTGACGGCAAAGGCTCCAGAAGCCCAAAGCCCAAACCCCCGAAACCCGAAAATACCCGAAACTTGCGCCTCTTGCGCCTTGGGCCGCCCCTCGTAAACGTACAGCGTGTCGAAACGGCGAGAGCCCGGGGCGGAAGTAAATGCAGATGCCCCACTTTCCCTGACATGCGATCATGCAGGTTGTAGTAAGAAAAGCCATGCCGGGTGGGCCATGAATGATGCGATATCTTGCAAGAAGTAATAGCACATCTAGGCACCCTTATGTCCGCGACAACCCAGTACAGCTGTTCTCAGAGCTCAAGCTTCTTGAACGATATGCAATGCGAAGCCTAAGATGATCGTCCCACCCGGAAAGATGTGTCAGATGCCAGAAATTCGTGCGAACTCCGCCGCCCGTAGTTAGTCTCTTGTGGGGGCCTCAGGCTCTCCACGCTCTTAGCATTGGACTTTCGTTGAACTGTGAGTCGTTGCAGGTCTAGTCGACGTTGACGTAAGCAGGGCGCATCCGAGCGCTGAGCCAACAGGCATATGAGCATCTTCCGTCTTCTTAGTGCAGCTTAGTGCGGCATGTGCACCCAAGTGAACAAAGTGTTGGAACGTAAAGATCTTGGAGCCAGACAGTGTCACACCATTGAGGCCGGGAGCTGCATGGCAAGGTTCAAAAAAAGTCCCGAAAGCGAGGAAAGCGAGCCGTCTGCAGATCCCAGTCTCCTCATGCATGTCAAGAAGACTGCTGTGAGCAAAGCTTTGCTCCAAAAAAAGGGCGGGAGGGGAAGAGAACTTAAATGAACAGGGCGGGGCCAAGCAGAAGGACGGGGAGCGATGTTTGAGCGAACCCCGTGGCCCAGCTGGCTCAACTCAGCCGGAATCGAATCCGCCCTTCGGGCACCCGAGATTCAGAAAATTCTCTCAATGACGGACGTCCAAGAGGACGAGAGGCTTTTGGCTCTCCTGCACCATCTGCGCGATGACGGGTCGCTTGAGAACAAGTCGCTTGAGAACAAGCTGCTCAGAGAAGCGCTTCCTGGCCATGCTCACAGGGGTAGAGTCGGTAGAGTGTGCGTTTTAGGGTTGAGGGGGCTTCGTGTCACAAAAAGAGGCTAAGGTGCCAGACACGCTGTTTGCCTTCCTCAGGCTGCGCCCCGCCAACCCGCAAGAATCGGACGAGGTCGATGTCGGCAACGCTGACAACAATGGACAGGTTGGACAGGCCGAGCCTGGTTCGTGCTTCGAGGAATCCGCCTAAGCCAATGTCAAGCAATGTCACAATGTCGTGCGGCAAGCCAGAAGACCTGAGCCACTCGCGTCCAAGCATTGTTCTGCGAAGAAACATCTAGGAGCTCGCACTCCTACGTCTGAGCCTAAACTACAACGAATGTACTCTAGTTGCGAACACCCCCCCTTCACACCCCTCCCAGTTCAGCAGGAGAGACGAAAGTTGGAGCACGCCGCGTATCCAAAGGACTCTGCGGCAACAAAGCATGTGCCTCTCAGATGCAGATGCAAGCTTCAGGCTCATGATTTTGGCTTGACCAGGGGCGGCTACATGCTTCAGGGCTCATTCGCGAGGTTTCTCAGCGGGTTAGGCGCTGTTTTTGCAGTGTGTCTGGATCTTCCTGTCCGATTCCGAGGAACCAGCACATTCCATGCACAGAGGAGGAGTGGTGCAGACTGGAGGGAGGGGTGCAACTTGGTCTATGTTAATTAGAGGTTTGCTTTGGGAGCTTCAGTGGCTTAGTGCAGACCTCCTGCACTGACTCAGGATGAGCTGCATCACGGGATGCTTGCAGGAGGGAGTAAGACCGACACTGAAGGGCCTCCGCTCCATGTGCTACCTGCTGAAGGAGGAAGACGAGTTTCCTTATGACGTCTTCATGTCTGAAGTTCCAATCTTCCTCCTGGTGCAGAGGACAGAAGGTTTCTGCCTACGAGAGGCTGCGGACTCGGAAACCGAGTTCCTGCTGATCCACCCTCCACCCTGGGTCAAGAAGTACGACAACGAGTGCTGTGAGTGCAGCTTCACTGACCTTCTCAACGCATGTCTGGTTGCCCTTCCTGTGCGTTGCCCCAAAGGCGGGGACTGGCGTGTGGGGCTAGCAGGTGCTCTTCGCGCCAAGCTGGTCAAGAAACCGCGCCTGTGTGAGATCGTGGTAGCGGTGCAAGAGCTGTTGGATTCAGAGCGGGCCGCCGTGATCCCTGGCGGGCGGTGGAATTGGGCGTTGGTGAAAGCGGGAAAGCAGCCCTCTGCCATACCTGTCGCCGCTGAAGAAAGAGATCCGAGCGATGCACGAAGCTTTCCAGCTGGCGCAGTCCCAGGCGACGCAAGCGGAAAGAAGCGGAAGAGAGGAGGCAAGTCGAAGCGGTCAAAGACCAAACCTACACATCTCAAGTTGCCTTTCCAGTGACGCCCCCGATGACGAGTATGACGCCCGCTTTTTCACAGGTCGTGTGTGTGTGCGTAGAGATCGGGTTCGGCATGAGCTTTGCCAACGCCATATGAAGCCGAGGGATCCCTGTCTCACTTCATAGCATGACACAGCCGGTGCCAGATGGCCAAGACACGCAAAGACTTTCCGTGATGACAGCCTTATATCGACGTTCATAGGTACGAGTGACCTTCCCGGCCATGTGATCATGGTTAGACTTCCGACAGAAGATTCAATGTGCATGGAATGCCATGCATGCTGCACAATGATGTGCAACATGATGTTTTGCGTTTTCCTGTATTGACACTGCGTGTAGGAGCTGGGCATGATCAGAAGTTGACTCAGCAACCGCCCCGTCTCCAAGATATCCCATGTTCATGTTTTCATTATGTTTCTTATGTTGCTTCTAAGCACTTGTTTGCATAGACGTACATACATCTATATATGTATATTGTTTTACTTCTGGATTTGAAAAAATCTGCAATATGCATAGATGATGTAAGCTTGAAGCAATGCCAGCTCCTCATCTCCCGAATGCACTTGACGTGGCTGCTGCACATATCTTACCGTTGTTTTCAGTTCCCTGGACCTACGCAGCCTCGTGCTTCCCAAAGCTTCCGAACCGCGAAATGCCACGCAGCCACAATTTTAACTAGTATCTTCGTCCGAATCGGTTTTTGCAAGGCCAGGCTGGGCAACTCTCTAGGTCCAGATCGCCGAGGAAGAGGGTTGCACGGCAAAATGCTAGCATGTTGCGGGCGCTCTATATGGGCTTGAAATGTGGGGTGCATTGAATACCTACAGGCAATCCTTGGACAACCTACCGTGCACTTTGCCGTGCAGAGACGCACATAGCTGAATGCAATGCATTCAAAAAGCGTTTGCATCTACAACTGTCGTTTGAGGGCGTGATGAACAAGAAGGTTGTTGCACCACCGAGATGTCCAGATGCCTCAGGTGCTCATAGCAGGTGCCGGAATGATGCCCGGCTCCTAGCCATCCTAGCATGTCCTAGCATATCCTAGCAGCCCTATGACTGCGCGAATTCAACTGTGCTCTGTGTCAGGAGGTGAAAGAAACAGGGACATCGGTGAACGGTAGTTGTTTACCTAGCATGAGCCAGAGTACCGGATTGCAAAGATGGCCTTGAAATGAGCAGCTTGAAGACTGGCCTGGACCAAGTTGCCGTTCTACATGGGATGATGCTTTCCAAGGTGGCCAGTAGGTGCATCCGCGGAAAGCAATGATGAGCTCATCGCTTTGCTGAGGCCGGTCTTTCCCCACACCCGGAAATCACCTTGATCCTCCCTACTGTAAGTTCAAGCTCGGAGGCGCAGCTGCAGAAGCAACACGCGAAACTCCTCAAACTTAACTAGGCCATGACTACTATGCCACTGGAGGCAAGATCGAGATCTCCTGGAGCCCCTTCCGAAGATGCTCAAGGAGACCTTTTGGGGTTTAGGTCTTCTGCGATGTCTGGTGTTGTGGGGTTGAACGGTAGCAAGTCTCGCAGTCTGGTTGAAAGTGCGCTGGATTTTGATCCTGGCACCCCTATGCGACTCCATGCCGGACAAGCGGTATCAATCCATGTAAACCGTAACGGCCTTAAGCCGTTGCAAGGCTTACACACCCAATGCCAGGACCAGAAGTGGGACAATGTCCGTTCCATCCTCAAGGCAAGGCCACACATTCAAGAATTAGGGGTCTCAGCTGGGTGGGTGAGGGTCTGTTCTAAGTTCGGGTGTCCTTTTCATAAGGGCCATCCCCTTCTTGATTGGGGAAGTAGAGGACATCTGAAAAACCCCCTCATCTGGGTCTAGCTCGTCAAAGCAACTGCCAGACGCCGCCGGTGGCCTACCTTTGGAACCTTGGGATGGAGAAGAACACCCTGAAGAAGGCCGATGGGGAAGGTTTTAATCCATGGTTTGTTTTTGACCCTCTGAATATTCTTTGCAAGCACATTTATGATCTTCCCGATGCATGCTGTACCGGAATGTTCATTTTATTGTTTGGATGGGGTGGGCGAGGGGGGGGGGGGGGTGTTGAGGGTTGAGGGGTGAAGGGTTCGGAATTAGGGGTGAGGTTTGAGGCTTTAAGGTGATGCCACGGCAGAAATTGCGGGGAGGTTTGACGGGATGTAGACGAGCAGAGAGGCACCTGAGCATATTTGGATTGATGCCCTTCCGATTTGCGCGTAGTTCGCAAACCTGAGCATTTATCCGAAGAACCCCGCAACACTCAGCTTCCTTGATGGTTCTTGATGCTGTAAGGCTTAGGTGTTCATAGTGGCGCGCCGCAGTTGGGTGACAGCCTGGGCGAGATTCAAGTCTTGGAGCTCATGGATGAGATTGCTTCGTGCCCCTGCCGCTCTTGTGTCCCATCCTTGATACTGTTGCACGTCGATGTCTAGCGAAGCTGCAACACATTCGTTTCACATCAGTGGAACCTGCGTTGTGAGCTGGTTGACTTGCCAGGGACCTGCAAACGGCCGACGAGATCTCATACGCTTCCCCGGCTGAGTTGTCTCATGTGCGCGACACTTGCACGGACTGGAAGCCTGCCGCTGACACTGCACTGTCCAGAGCCCAAAAACTAAGTGCGGGGATGTCACTGGGTATGGACTGTCGTCTTGAAGCCCATTGAAGGGTTTGGATGATTTCTCTCCCTTGGAACCTTGCGAGTCCAACAACTACGTGTACGGACAGCCGGGAGAGGGCAAGGTGCGGACCGCTACGGATCTGAGATTTGAGAGAGAATGCCTGCGAAGTGGTTTAGAAGCAGGTCAAGATTAAGGAGCCGATTGAGTACATGAAGATGGTCCATGCCCCAGCTGGCGTCGTGCCTCCTGACATATCGGTCTGTGGATGGACTGAAGCCTGAGTGGCATCTTGCTCGTCAGAGCTGCTTCTGGCTCCCAGTGCCAGAGGATATCCATGGAAGGCTCATGGCAAACCTTCCGTAGACCCCGCCTAACCCCCCCCCCCCCCCCAAAACAAACTCCAGAAACCCTAAGAGTCACTGAGAGCATACTGAGAGCATACTGAGAGCACCAGGCCATGTCCAAGCTCGACGAGGTGCTCAAGGCCCGCTTAGTGTGGGGAGGATTCACGAGTGGTCTCCATACAGCGTATCTTTCGATAGCTCGTGCGAGAGACCATCTCCTTCCCACTTCTTCGGTGCAGATTGTTGGCTGATGATGTGCGTCTACATGCCCAAATGGAGGAGTGGATGCTGCCAACGTGTCCGAAAAGATCACTTTGAAGTTTGGGCTTGATGGATGTATGAGGTAGTGTGGAGCAGGCACATGGGGGTACTTGCATAGGGAATGCAAACCCCAGTTTCGATCAACCCCACCGATCCTGGTTGCACGCACTGCATGAGCGCATCCGGCAAGCACAACCACATGCCACATGTTGTCAGCCTTGCTCCTTGTCAGGACATCCAATGTAGACGCTGCTCCGCCTGAAGGACTCACTGATTCGTATGGGTTCATGTGCAGAACAAGCAAGGAAATTATCGAACAGTAGATGAACCTTATGTCTTTACATCCTGAAGACCCAGGTCCTAGCATAGCCTTGAATGGTATCCTTGACCCCATCCGCAAAAACCCGCATCTGCTGCTCTTCAGCCACAGGAACAAGCATGGGAACAGCATAGGCAGCACAGGTGCTCGTTGAGCCAACAACCTCCTTGAAATGGAGGTGCCAGCTCGTTTGTCTCTACAAGAGGGATTGATTGGCGTATGTTTCACATAAGTTTTCGATTTCAATTTTCGGCGACCCTGCGGGTGCAAGTGGACATTGTTCCTCAGCCGCTTCAAGCTACGGGCGAGGAACCCCTCCGGAGCATACGAGCCGTACACTGTTTCTAGTGCGTACAGCCATGTACTTCTTACCTGTCTGCATGCACGCGTGCTGTGGCAGCTGCGAATGAGATGCAACTATTGATGCAAGCGCATCGTACGACACGCTCCCGGAACAAAGAGATTGGCTTGGATGGGCAATGTGACAATGTGGCGGCATCAGTGCAGGGAACATGAATCAGTGCCGCTGCTTGCATGTTGTTGCACTCTAGACATTTGCACAGCATGCACCGGCAGCTGAAGCCACATCCCCGGGGCAGAGGTTGGGGGTACTTAGGGGACTCGTTATATCTCGTTATACTTGCCAAGCAGCAGATCTTGATAGGTAAGGATGCGCGGCACAAGCAGGCTCTAGCCATGGGTCGTATGGCCATGGCCACGGCCCACATGCAACGTTTGCTGAGGCTGGTCTCTGTGCTTGGACTCTCTCTTTTTTTGTTTTGGCGAACTTCTATTGATTGAACTTTGCTGCCTTGGCCTCTTCATTTCTCGGCGCTACTGGTTTGCCAAGCGGCAGGTGCAACGGGGCAGGTTGTCAGTCCCACTTTGCCCGTTTTGCGGTTGCTGCCAGGACCAGGGAGAGGCAATCTCAACATTCAGTGTGTTTAACTAAGAAGAGCAGTGCTGAGCAGAGCGGTTTCAACAGACGCGCTGGTTAGCTGAACAGAGCTGTGATGCTTGTCGCTCATTCTGCCTTCCTGGCACTCCTGTCTCTACAGGGTCTAGTAGGGTTTTATAGTTTAGAGGGATTACCTGCTTTTTCTCCAGAAATTCTACACAAGCCCTCAGCCCTGGAGGAGGGGAGCCTCACAACGGCCGAGCCGGCAGTGGCTGCATGTTCCTTACCTTGCCGTAGCCATGGGCGGTTCATGGGCGGTGTCCGTGGCGTGCTGCGTGAACGCAAGGAGAAAATATGTTGTGAGTTGGGATGTAAAGTCAAACTTTAGGGGTCTATCTGCTAAGGGAGCCCTCCGACCCTCTCAGTAGGCGTGATCTTCACACCCCCGAGGTGAGGAGAAGGCACCATCACTTCCGGTGGGCCGATGGCGCCTAGAGAAGGCAATGAAAGACAACAGGGCTCAGGTTTTGTGGGTGTAGGGTTGGGTTCTAGGGGCTCCAGGGTGTTGGATAGGGTCAAGGGAGATTCTTTAGACAGGTGTGAGGATACTGACGGGATGTATGGGGCTGGCATCACGAAGCCTGTCTTGCACTCGTCTTCCTTGGATGGGACGTCCATGGTAGCCTAATCGATATGGCGTGCTGACGCACACGAGCTGACTGAACGCTGAACATTACAACTCTTTCAACTACAGGTGCGATGGGGGCATCAGCAGAAGCAGATGAAGTAATGTGCTTCGCTCTGGCTCCTCGGTCTTGTATACCGGAACTTCCATCAGGCAAAGAGCGAGTCCATGCGCCCCTACCTGGAAGGGCTTGGGCTGCCAGGCTTCGTGGCCAGGACCTTGCGATTTGGCTTTAGGACCTTGGGATTTGTGAGGGCTTAGGTGGGTTCGGTTGCAGGGAGCTTGTGGCAACGTTGGGTTTAGGCATCTTGTCGCAGTCCGTCGCAGGATCATCGACCGCGTTCCCGTGGAGCTTCGTATCAGCAACCTGTCAGCGCATAAACTGGCTGTCCGGGCTTTGTGAGGCAAGACACGCTCTAGCACGATTGAAAACGATTGAAAACAGACGAACCCACAATAACCCACATGTTGACGTACCATTGAAAAGCAGCTCTGAAGGTGTGGAGGACAAGCTGCTCACGGTCGTCGACAAGCAGTCCGGCTGTGCACCCATGATCGTGGCTGTTTACTTGCACCACTCTTGCACCACTTTGCAATTTCATCGCGTTCCAAATCTCAGGACTTGGTTTGGAGAGAACTGCACGACCATCGAGTTAGGCGGTGTGGAAGTTGAGAAGCTTGGTGTGGGTGCGTTGCGCTTCGTGGGAAGATTGCTCCCAAAAGGTCAGGTGAGACGTGTGAATCGCAGCATCATACAGCATGTTACGTCAGTGAGCGCAAGAGCCGCTGCAGCTCAGGAAAGAGACGCGCAACAAGCGCAAGAAGTTCATGCTCTCTGCATTTGAAGATGTCTCAGAGGGCAAGCCGCAGGTGACAGTGAAGTGCAGACTCTTCCAGCGCGGAGATGGTTGGCACTCTCTACAAAGTGGCCCGACTCAAAAAAGTTCAGTCCTCAAGCAACTCAGGATTTGATTAAACGGGCTGAATCGACAAACAGCTTTGTCACTTAAGCAGAGCGGTGCATCAAGACGGTACAAGTCGGCCGGTGCTGCCGAGGCTTTGTTGTCCTACCAGAGGCCCTTTCGCATGCGGGTGGGTAGGGCCTACTGTGCCTGCGTCCCGAACAACCTGCTACTTAGGGGTTTTCTACCTTTTTTGCTGACGGCGTGGTTGCAGGTTTTGCGTGTTTTCGGGTCTTCCGCTCTGTTTCTGCTGTTTGGGGTGGCGGGAGGTGATACGTAGCGTACAGACCTGAATCATGCAAGCCCAAAACCCTACTCTCTACCCTAACCTTGAAACAAAAAACCGATCCTACACAGGGTGATTCGTAGGTACAGCTTGACCCGTGGCACCGCCGGTTGGCCCAAATGCCGCAAGTAGACTGAACCTGCAACCTTGAACCACTGCTTGTCTGCTCGTCCAGAACCGTGTACCCCAAGCCCTTTCACGAGAAAATAGACGTCTCAAAAAACCTCTCTAAAACCTGCAAGTTCCCTGTGAATACCAGCATTTCCTAGAAAAGCCTTCTTCAATAATGAGGCTGCTGAAAGTCGCAAAATCGTCGATACACCAAAACGCTGTTACTTGCAGTGGGTTCGGGCAAAAAGGGGGCTTGTCGGACCTGCACTCCAAAGCAACCGTGCGCAGAAACATTGAAAAACCCAGGTTTTGCACTTCACAGCCCCAAAAAAACATTTCATATTCGGCATGGTCGTGGACCAAGCCGTGACCTAGTTTTTTGGTATAGTGCTTGGGTTTGGTACCCCCCCCCCCCTAGGGTTGGCAACAGTCGCTTCATTAGCCCTGTTGCTACTGTGTCAGGGCTACCTGCGCGAGTGTGGCCTGGCTGCTGATATGAGCTGTGAGAGCCGTTGCCATTTCTGCGCCCAAACTCTTAAACTCTTGAGGCCTTGGCCGGACCCCTTACATGCTTCAGCATGTGTTGTTTCTCAGGTTGTTATGTGTACGGTGTGTATTGTTGGCCAACAAGATACGTACTAAGACTATCGAGTAGGCTCACCAAGTTTGTGGGAGTTGGTTGACAACCACGTTCCAGATCTACATCATCTCAATATTGTAGCCGATGTCGCCCAACCTTGGGTTCCCGGACCTCCTTCACATGTATTTTGGAGCGTGCGTATGTGTGTATGGTATCAAGGTTTGAAGTTTGGGGTTGAGGGCTCGGGGTTCGGGTTCAGACTGCAAAGTGTTTATCACGCTCCGCGAGGCTACACGTTGAAGCGGCCTGGAGCAGAGGACATCGTTGTGACACGCCTCTTCTGCAGCCTGGACCGTAGGATGACGCCTCGAAAGCAGGCCTGGTGTAGAACTCCAGGGTTGTTGAACAGCTGAAGTCTGCAGGATGATTTTTGGTGTGATGTTGTAGAACCAACGGAGCCGTCATGCAGTTGGGGGTGTAGGCTTTGCTATACTGCACCTCCTGCAACGTCCTCATGATAGGAGGGCATCGTGGCAGCGGAGTCCCGGAGGTCTGAAAGAGCCCTGCACCTCTTGGGTGGGGCAGCTTGGCCAATCGCATGCGGTAAGGCGCATGCGGCAAGCCATGAATAGGCTCACATGCTCGGCTCCACTGCAACATGAAACCTAAGCCTTAGCAGCCTTGAGCCCGAAGCCTTAAAATCTTCAAGCCTTAAGCCTTAAACCTGCAACTCTCTTGAAGATCCGAGGCCGGCATCGCGGCCGGATTCTTCGCGGCAGCTGTCTGTATCCTCTCACCAAAGACGCCCCAGTGAGAAGGGCTGTGAGAGGTGAACTACATTTAAACCTTTGTACTGGGGCACCGGTCAGAAGAAGATGTTAACGTGCACCTGGATGATAGTTGTGCGAAAGTGTAAGCAGTGGGAGCTATCTTTCAACAGTTGTTTCTCGAGTTCAGCATTAGGTTTAGGAGCGAAGCCGGCAAGTTCCGAAACGATCGAATGCGTGCAAGCACGAAGAGACTCAACTCGGCGATCCCGAATCTTGAGGGCATGATGATGGTATTCCTGGCTCAAGATTTGTTCCAAAGTTCCTGATCAACCTGATCCACTCGGGCCAGAAGTACCTGAGCACCATGTTTTCACGTTTGTGCTTGTGCGCAGTGCTCGCAGCTCTGACTGCTGCATCGCCTGGACTCCGAGGCTTAACAAATACAAGCAACAGCACCGCGGCACAGCGCTCCGCAACGGGCTGCGACTGCTCCTGGCTTGCGCGCGATGACTGCATCAGCCAGGATGCCTGTGCAGTCTCCTGCCGCCAATCGCATGGGTCACCTTGCACCGCGGGGACACCTGGGGCCCCCGCTGGGGCGCCAAGCAATGCAGCATGCCAGGCAAGTTGTGATTCCAGCTTCGGCAGTTGCAACCGATGGTGTCACATTCCACCTGGCGGTGGTCCGTACTACACAGAAGCAGAGGAGGAAGCGCTGAAGGGCCAAATCATGCAGTGCGAAGGTGCATGCACCGTGACGCGCGGGACGTGCTACGGGAACTGCTAGCGGAGTGACCTGGTAGCTCATTGAGATGGGTCAAGAAAAATGGACTTTGAAAGCCGACTGTATAGCTGTAAGGCTGAACCCCCCTTCATTTGTGCCAATTTGTTAGCATCAGTGCCATCAACAGTGTGGCATCTGTTAAGTTTCGAGGTTGACGCAGAGACAAATGAGACAAAATCTTAACGACCTTTCTGCAGGCGTGAGTCCGTGCAGTTTTTGTAGTTCAATTGGAGCACTGTCTTTCGAGCATTGCTGCAACTCGAAATTTGCCTAAGCGCGAAGAGACGCAACTCGGCGATCTCGAATCTTGAGGGCATGATGATGGTATTCCTGGCTCAAGATTTGTTCCAAAGTTCCTGATCAACCTGATCCACTCGGGCCAGAAGTACCTGAGCACCATGTTTTCACGTTTGTGCTTGTGCGCAGTGCTCGCAGCTCTGACCGCTGCATCGCCTGGACTCCGAGGCTTAACAAATACAAGCAACAGCACCGCGGCACAGCGCTCCGCAACGGGCTGCGACTGCTCCTGGCTTGCGCGCGATGACTGCATCAGCCAGGATGCCTGCGCAGTCTCCTGCCGCCAATCGCATGGGTCACCTTGCACAGCGGGGACACCTGGGGCCCCCGCTGGGGCGCCAAGCAATGCAGCATGCCAGGCAAGTTGTGATTCCAGCTTCGGCAGTTGCAACCGATGGTGTCACATTCCACCTGGCGGTGGTCCGTACTACACAGAAGCAGAGGAGGAAGCGCTGAAGGGCCAAATCATGCAGTGCGAAGGTGCATGCACCGTGACGCGCGGGACGTGCTACGGGAACTGCTAGCGGAGTGACCTGGTAGCTCATTGAGATGGGTCAAGAAAAATGGACTTTGAAAGCCGACTGTATAGCTGTAAGGCTGAACCCCCTTAATTTGTGCCAATTTGTTAGCATCAGTGCCATCAACAGTGTGGCATCTGTTAAGTTTCGAGGTTGACGCAGAGACAAATGAGACAAAATCTTAACGACCTTTCTGCAGGCGTGAGTCCGTGCAGTTTTTGTAGTTCAATTGGAGCACTGTCTTTCGAGCATTGCTGCAACTCGAAATTTGCCTAATTAAGCACGAAGAGACGCAACTCGGCGATCTCGAATCTTGAGGGCATGATGATGGTATTCCTGGCTCAACAAGATTTGTTCCAAAGTTCCTGATCAACCTGATCCACTCGGGCCAGAAGTACCTGAGCACCATGTTTTCACGTTTGTGCTTGTGCGCAGTGCTCGCAGCTCTGACCGCTGCATCGCCTGGACTCCGAGGCTTAACAAATACAAGCAACAGCACCGCGGCACAGCGCTCCGCAACGGGCTGCGACTGCTCCTGGCTTGCGCGCGATGACTGCATCAGCCAGGATGCCTGTGCAGTCTCCTGCCGCCAATCGCATGGGTCACCTTGCACCGCGGGGACACCTGGGGCCCCCGCTGGGGCGCCAAGCAATGCAGCATGCCAGGCAAGTTGTGATTCCAGCTTCGGCAGTTGCAACCGATGGTGTCACATTCCACCTGGCGGTGGTCCGTACTACACAGAAGCAGAGGAGGAAGCGCTGAAGGGCCAAATCATGCAGTGCGAAGGTGCATGCACCGTGACGCGCGGGACGTGCTACGGGAACTGCTAGCGGAGTGACCTGGTAGCTCATTGAGATGGGTCAAGAAAAATGGACTTTGAAAGCCGACTGTATAGCTGTAAGGCTGAACCCCCCTTCATTTGTGCCAATTTGTTAGCATCAGTGCCATCAACAGTGTGGCATCTGTTAAGTTTCGAGGTTGACGCAGAGACAAATGAGACAAAATCTTAACGACCTTTCTGCAGGCGTGAGTCCGTGCAGTTTTTGTAGTTCAATTGGAGCACTGTTTCTGCAAGTCGAAATTTGCCTAAGCGCGAAGAGACGCAACTCGGCGATCTCGAATCTTGAGGGCATGATGATGGTATTCCTGGCTCAAGATTTGTTCCAAAGTTCCTGATCAACCTGATCCACTCGGGCCAGAAGTACCTGAGCACCATGTTTTCACGTTTGTGCTTGTGCGCAGTGCTCGCAGCTCTGACTGCTGCATCGCCTGGACTCCGAGGCTTAACAAATACAAGCAACAGCACCGCGGCACAGCGCTCCGCAACGGGCTGCGACTGCTCCTGGCTTGCGCGCGATGATTGCATCAGCCAGGATGCCTGCGCAGTCTCCTGCCGCCAATCGCATGGGTCACCTTGCACAGCGGGGACACCTGGGGCGCCAAGCAATGCAGCATGCCAGGCAAGTTGTGATTCCAGCTTCGGCAGTTGCAACCGATGGTGTCACATTCCACCTGGCGGTGGTCCGTACTACACAGAAGCAGAGGAGGAAGCGCTGAAGGGCCAAATCATGCAGTGCGAAGGTGCATGCACCGTGACGCGCGGGACGTGCTACGGGAACTGCTAGCGGAGTGACCTGGTAGCTCATTGAGATGGGTCAAGAAAAATGAACTTTGAAAGCCGACTGTATAGCTGTAAGGCTGAACCCCCTTAATTTGCACCAGTTTGTTAGCATCAGTGCCATCAACAGTGTGGCATCTGTTGAGTTTCGAGGTTGACACAGAGACAAATGAGACAAATGAGACAAATGAGACAAAGTCTTAAAGACCTGTCTGCAGGCGTGCATGTGACATCATGTGACATCATGTGACGTCATGTGACATCATGTGACATCATGTGACATCATATCATGTGACATCTGCCATCGATGTCGTGTCAATGTTGCTCAAATTTAGCCCTCGGCACGGTTCTAACTTACGGGCTCTGGTTGCATCAGTGAGTCCGTGCAGTTTTTCTAGTTCAACAGGAGCAGTGGCTCCGCAGCTGAAGAGTAGAAACACCTTGCTTTTGAGCATTTCTGCAACTCGAAATTTGCCTGGTGCTGTTTCTCAAGCCCACATCTGTCACGACCCTCGACGATTTGACTGAAAACGGAAAGCGGAGCCGCATGCAATCTGCAGTTCCAGGACTAGCCGTGTCTTGCCAGCCTACTTCAGTTCAACTTCTGTAGTCGTGTTCCGCTAAGCCTGAGCAACACCTAGAACTGCGAAGGCCCCCTTAGACTCTTGGCCAGCATTCGGCAAGCTTAGCCGGCTGAATTGCAAAACTGAAGAGGCACATGTCCCGTTTCCTTTCGTAGTCGCTGCTGGGACTGAGCGGCTGAGCTGAGGCACGGCTGGTTGAGTCTTCTGAGCTTTGCTTGTGCTCATGCATGCGATAGCAGGGTTTGGGATCAGGATTTTCTCACGGACGATGACAAGAAGGCCAAGGGGCTTTGGCTGTGTCGGGAGGCTAAAAGTCGGGAGACAACATCCTGCACTCCAAAACGTAAGCGAGGGCCACCCTCTGCAGGACCCCGCCGGTTGTCATCGACATCGGTACAGGATGTACCAAGATGGGCTTTGCTGGAAACATCGCCTGTGTCTCAGACGAGAGCACTGCAATGTGGCTTAGGTGTTGAGACAGATGAGGCAGTTGAGGCTTCACGCCCTGCAGGAGCCAACCTTCATGATCCCGACAGTCGTGGCCAATGCTGCCAAGAAATCGACTGGGAGTCTGGGTCTCAAGCTGCACTTTGCCCGTCTGTCGAGTGGCCTTGGCTCCATGGCAAGGTGTACATATCAGCCAGACGCCATCCGCGCAAGGGCTGGCCGATGCAGACTTCTACATCGGCGATGAGGCGTTGCAGACACGATAGGCGGAATCTTTCAGAACCCCGGTGGTCCAGGTCAGCAAAAGCTGCCAAAGACCGAAGCGCAGAACGCTGTCACGCCTGAACCCTGCTCTCCGTATCAAGCCTATCGGCCCTGCAATACCTTGCAATAACTTGACTCCCTCAATCCTCCCCTCAGCCCTGTGAAGCCCCTGAGTAGTCGCTTGGTACCACTACCTTTAGCCCATTTCCACGGAGGCCTACAAGCTCAAGGTCTGGCTTGGGATGGGGGGCCCCACCACGTAGGCGAAGTAAAGCAGATCTCCGGATTTTCATCGGCTTCGGGAAGCTCAGGGGACATGGTTGTTGTGTAGTGGATGGTTGCCACCACGAGCGTTCTGGAGAGAGAAAGAGATGCCAATCTAAGATGTGCATAGCTACATAGTCCGGGATTGTTCCGGTCTTAGGTTGCGTGCTCCGCGTCTATAGTTGCCACCCTCACAAGTAGCATAGGCTGTCCAGTCGTTTAGACTTTTTGTGTTTTGGTTCTGCGCTTGGGGTTTGCAGGTCTTCATTGCTTGGTCTGCCAGAAGATTGCATTCATACGCGTTGAAAAGTGTTGAGCCCGTCTGAATCCATCTGTGCAAAGCTATGATACCTGTGATTCTTCAAACCCAAACCGTCATGCCTCCGCCTTTCCCTCTAGCCTTCGAGAAGCCGCACCCAGATGACTTCTAAAGCCGATCAGCCGATCGCCCAAGGGCCGAAACCCAGAACCGAAAAAGCAGCCAAGATTTCGTCCGATCCATGCCAGGACTCCCCCAACTATCTGATTTCCTCGCCTGTGTCGAAGGGAAGGCATGGCCTTCATTGTAGGGGCTTTGGGTTTCGGGGTTCAGGGACGAAATGTTCAACCATGGCGCCCAGCCAATGTGAGGATTCAGCGTCGCGAACTCCATAGCAAGTTCTCATGCTTCCTCAGCGTTCTCCCAACTTCAATCCTCTTATAGCAGCAGACCCTCAGCTCTCCCATTCCCCGCAGGATCGAGCATTGGGATGACATGGAGCGCTTCCTACAGCAGGCCCTGCCCTGCTTCGAGGGGACGTGTGCCTGGTCTGTTTCTGCCGATCTCCACATTCTGCTTTCTCGAACTGAGCAAGGCGATCTTTCGGAGCCTGCGCTGCATTCCGGAGGATCACGTGGCCAGGCTGCAAAGCCCTAAACCGTCAAACCCTCAACCCCTAATAGGCCCTAATGCGCTCTAAGACCCCAAAACCCTGAATCCTTAAACCCAAGCTCCCAAGCTTCCGGCCCCCCAAGCCCTTTCCCTAAATGATCTACAATGTGAACGCCCCCAGGACTTCCTCCTCACGGAGCCGCCGTTCAACACCCCGGAGAACCGGGAGCTGATGGCGGAGATGATGCCTTGGGCCTGGGCGCTTCCTCTCATATGTAAGGTCCCTCTTTCGTTTTTGTTGGCACTACTTGTTCCCCACCTTCGGTGTGGGGTTGTTAGATTTAAACTCAACTCTTCTCCTTGCCCAGAACTCTTCTCCTCGCCCGGTCGACTCCTAGAGACTTCCTGGGGTGCCCAACCCCAGCCCTGGGGTGCCCAACCCCGAGACTCTCTGAAGTGCCCAACCCAGAGACTCCTGGAGTGCCTGGAGTGCCCAACCCCAAAGTCTCGGTGGAGTGGTCAAAGAGTCTCCCTGAAATTCCAAAGAGTCTCCCTGGAGTGCCCAACCCCAGAGTCTCCGTGGAGTGCCAACCCCCAGAGACTCTCTGGAGTGCCCAACGGAGCCAACTCCAGTTGCAAGCACATACTAAGAATTTGCGCTCTTTCCTTTTAACGAGGAGCAAGGTGGGGACGTTCGAAGTAAAATATTTGTTTTGCAAAAGGATTCAGGATTGAAGGCGGGGTTGGGGGGGGGGTAAACAAGTAATTGGTTTATCTTCGGGATTTGACTCACGACAAAGGGTATTTTTTGGTCGGGATCTAGGCTTGAGGGCTTTACGGCCCCTTAACACTCATAACCCCAAACCCTGCAAATCGGTAGGTAACAATACCCGTAAACATGAGGTATGACCTGCGGGACATTGGGGGCTAAGCTAGCGCTTGTAAATTGCCTGGGGTCTCACTGGGCTTTTTGCGGTGCTTCTTCAATGTGCACGAAGGTTTGAAACCTTCAATGTGCCAGACTTAGTTGAACAGCAGTCTACACCATCCGTCCGAGAGCATCTGAGAGCAACTGAGAGCATCTGAGAGCATTCGGCATATTCAAGGTGACTAGGCCGCTAGGTTGCTAGGCGAGGCGAGCCCGTGCTGTCCTGAGGTTAACGGCCTCTACATCGGCGTGCAGGCCGTCCTAGCTTTGTACGCGCAAGCCGAGCGAGCCCCAGCTGCTCCTTTGTCCAGCCAAAAGCACTCTCGCAAAACATCTCAAAACCATCACCAAAGTCAGGTCAGCGAGGAGCAGTACGAGGGCACAAGCCCCAACCTGACCGGCTTGGTGGTGGATTCTGGCGATGGCCCCGCACCCAGCCTTCGGCGAGGTCTTTTCTTGGTCATGCGTCCCGTCTGGGTACCACCTGGGTGCTCACGGCACCGCGCGGAGGCCTCTCCCACGTAATCCCTGTGGCGGATGGCTACGTCATCACGTCTTGCATCCAGGTGCAAGAGCTGTAGCTGACATAAGCTGACATTGTCTCTTTCACTTTTTGCAGAGAGGATCTCCGGCTTTGGTTAGCGTCTCTTCTCATTTTCGCTTGGGTCGGTGTGGAAGCAGCGGGTCGATCAGTACTTGCGCTCGAAGTGTGGAGCTTTCTCAGTTGGTGTTGAGAATGACGCTGAGATTCCGTGGGCATCTTGAATGATCTTGCTAGATGTGCTGCAGGCCAGATTGACAGGCACACCTGAGGTCTTGAGAGTTGTTACGAAGAATTCCTTGACCCTTCAAAGTCAATTTACACGCGCGCTTTCAGCTGTTTGGCTCACTACTGTAGCTGCTGGCTTCGTTCCCTTTCAGTAGATCGTGCCGTTTCCCCAGCGCTTGGCTATTGATGGTCGCTTCTGCAAGTCATGGTTCTACTGGTTATATTTCGGACCCTTATAGGCTTATATTTCAGGGTATCCATAAGGGACCAATAGTGTAGGGAGCAGATGACAAGACGTTCTTGGTGTCCAAGGATTTCAAGGCTGGCCAGTTTAGGAGACCCCAAAACCCTAAACCTCCTCAAGCCTTAAATCCCCCCATCCTCCCCGCTTCCTCTATTAAAGCAGTCATCAGCAGCTCACTAAAAGTAGTCATCAGCAGCTCACTTATGGCCCACCAATTATGCTCCGAAGTCGAAAGCCCCTTCGAACTCTCTTGTGGGATGTAGGCTGATGTAGGGTTTAGGGGCTCCAGGATTTTTTTGACTTGCAGGTTGAGGGCGTTCGGGGATTTGGGAGTTTCGGTCCGGGCCGCCTGCCAAGGCTTGCTGAGATGGCTCTGCAGGTTTCCCAAAGGCAGAGACCAGGAGCCTTTTTGAGAGTGGTGTTTTGAGAGTGGTGTGGGGATGTGTGGGGTTGGTTCTTGAAGTCTTAGCGTGCCGAGGGCAGCTGCGCACCAAATCGCAGTGTTGTTCCCAAAGGCTGCCGCCCTAGGTCTCCTAACTTTTCCCCGCCGAATAAACTCGAAGTCCTCTGTCACTGTGCCGGCTTGTTCCTCTTTGTGTCCGGGGTCTCAACCGTGAGCCCTTTACAAGGCCTCGACGCCCTCCCAGTGTTTGTTCATTCTGTAGTCCTGTGGTCCGAGAACACCGTGATTTTTCAGGAAACCTGAAGATGGCAGGGGGTTGCTCTACATTAGATCATCAGGGTCCCTTTGTAGGTGCCGCGGGATTGCTTATAAGAAGGCCCCGCCACCCCACCAACTTGGACATTCGCAGGGCTTTGTTTGGGTTTGGGATGTGCGGTTAGAGGTTTGGGGCTTAGGGTTTCCCCCTCCATGATGAATCTTGAAAGCCATCAACAGCTTCTGGCTTCGGGTTTTCCCGAACCCCTGAATCCTTATTTCAAGTTCTTCAACCCTGAATTTAACCCTTGAGCCCTCAAGCCCATGTTTCGGTCCCGCAGGAATCCCTCGCCGCAGCGGCCGCCTCGCTGTGCTCCTGGCGGCCGCCTTGGCTTGGGCCGTGCTTGCAGGCGGGTTGGGAGCTGTGGTTATGGACTCTATGGACCTTTTCCTCATTCTGTAAGCAAGCTCTTGGCATGGAGTTACTGGAGCTATGGAGCAGGGTGACCTGCGGTTGCATCAAAGGCTGGTGCTCTGCTATGGAAGTCCAGTCGCCCTTGCATGCTACACTGCCTGTCAATGCAAGATTCTATTCCCTTCTTCGTGAAGGTGCTTTCGCGGCGTTGTGTGATATGTAGTAGTTCGCTTGCTTCTCGTTCCACGCAGGATGTTCCGCGATCTCAAAAGCATTTGTGCAGCCGAGCCATCGTGCCCCTGTTCAGGCAGCGAGGGGGCTTGGGACTTCGGGGGCTGATAACGTCTCCGACATTCCATCTGCAAATGCTCGGGATGTGCATCAGCCAGAGTGATCGCAGCCGAAACCGCCGGTCCAGACATGATACCCTCCACACAAAGCACGCATCTTTGGAAGGTTTTGCGACCCCCGCTGAATGGAGCCGATCACAGTCGCGTGCGCGACGATGGCTTCTCTTTCCGCTTCTTGGCCGAAATCCTGTTTCTTTGTCCATCTGGCACATCTGGCACGAGCCTCAAGCACTCCATCGCGACATGTCACTGCATTTGTTGGGGTTGGTTGTGATATACACAACATTCTCACGCCGCAGCGGCTGAAATCCTCCATGGTCTCTGGATAGCCGAGTGTAGCCCCACGCCGGGTAGTCGGGCCTAAGCTCGCCAGGAGCTGTAGGGTTCTCCCCCGGAAGTACTTCGCTAACTTCGCAGTGGCCTGAAGCCTCCATCCGAAAACCCCCTAAACCTCCCACCGCCCCATGCCGTAAACCCAAGGTCTGGCCGGAACCAGCGCCGGCTTGGTCCTCGCCCTCGGTGGAAGCTTGGCAGTACACCGAATCGGCGGCAGGACGGCGCGCAAGTCTCGAGGTGCCTGAGATCAAAGTTTGTGTTGAGCTCAGGCCTCTATTAACATGTAGTTTAGGGTTCAATTTTTCGCCACGAAAAGCCCCGTCATCAAAAGTTGTTCTATGGATCATAGTTCGTTCGTTTGATGTCTTGGCTTCTATTTTAGAACATTTATTTCTACGGTGCGAAATGTGCAATCAGGAGCCCGCAATTTGGAACAATCCTTGCGCTGACTTGAACAGCACATTGTTTTTTTGAGTTCTGGTTTCTTTTTGGGATCCTAGACCCTGAATCCCTGAGTCTTAAATTTTGTGAAGGGATTCGCTAGCGATGCAGCTCGAGCGCCTGCTCGAAGAGAGAGGGATGTGGAGAGGTGAGGGTGTCCCCGCATACTCCAGTACAGCGACTCGCAGTGGGGTCGCTTGGTTTTATCTGGGCTTGCCTCTTGCCCAAGTAGGAAGCTTCTAGGCCGTCAAGAGCTTTCTGAAGACCTTTCAGGGACTATGGGGTTCCAGCCTCCCAAGAAGGCCTCCCCGTTGCCGCCATCGATGTCGCTTTCACAACCGGTCGTGCAGTCGGTGTGCAATGGGTGTTCTTGGGCAGTTCCTACGGGCCCCCTACGCAAAGGGCCCGCATGGCCAGGTTTTCTGGGGCCCCCAACGGAGCGAGATATATTGAGAAGTTGAGAATCGTCTTGGTGGCGGGTGGGTTTGCAAGCAACACGGGCGCGCGGGCCGGGGCGCTTCACACCCGAAGCATAACCTTGCACGATAATCGGCATTTGAGTTTTAAAACAAAAATGCTTCAGGTTGGCTTGACTCGGGAGATTTGGGTTTGGGAAGCTTGGTTCGTGCCCCTCGCAGGTGGCTTCGATGCAGGTGCAGATCTGGAGCTGCCGGAAGGATGCACGCTCGGGGATCTCACCCCAGAATGTGTCTCGCACTGGGCCACACCCTGCCCGGAGCTGATCTGAGGGGTAGCTTCTGCTATGGTGGGTAATATTCAAAGCGCCTTGCCTTGGGCTTGGAGAAACTCTGCAACGAAGGTTCTGACCTGACGATTGGTGTGCTGAAGGACTTCAGCCCACGGGCCCACGGGTTCCGAATTTGCTTAGAATGAAGTACATAACATTACATAACCATTGCTTGTGACTATATCGAGATCTGCGCTGGATGATCGTTGTTGAGTTTCTTCACATCCGACATTCGCAACCTGAAGGAAACTGCTGTGCAGAGTGGCACTGGTGAGTTGGAGAAGCGGGTGGCCGCCACACCAGCCTCAATTGCCTTGCTGCAGAAGGAAGGATACAACGTGGTGCCTTGCCAGAAAATTAGGTTCACCGAACATCGGAACTCCAAAGCCTGGCTAAGGCACAAGGCGAGCTTCTCGAGCACATTGCTAGTTCAGCGCAGCAAGAAACCACAATGAACAAACTAAAGATTCCAAGGTAGGTAGGTAGTCTGGGAGGGGGTTGACTTAGACCTAAGTAAACAAACTCTGGGCCCGAACCGCCGCCCATGATTCAGAACTTGAGACAACCTGCCATGTGTGCTTCCATCCTGAGGTCGTGCAAGCACCCTGGTTGCAATTGCACAGACCTTCCTGGACCCTGGCAGACCTTAAGGTTTAGGGTTACCAGAAGATTCCTTGAGCCCTAAGCTCTAAGGCCCTCAACTCACAAACTTTCTGCTCGATGGTCTCCATACCTCAAATGGGCGCGAGAGGCCAGTGCGGGCTTCGCTGCCGAGATCTCCGACGAGGCTTTCGAGGAAGCAGGAGCCAAGGCCACTAAGGTTTCGAGGCTTTAGGGTTTTGAGTGCTTTCGTATTATCTACTTCAAGCGTTTCCAGGGTCTGGCTGTTCCGGGTCTTTTGGGGGGTGGGACGGTGGGAGGTTTGGCCTCAGCACTTCTCAGTAAATGTGACTCGCGGATGTCTGACGAGTGGTCCAAGCACAGGTGCTTCCGGATTCGTTTGCCGTGCTCCAGCAGGCGAACGCTACCGCTCTACACATTGAATAGTGATGATGTATGTGGTATTCGCATGGCTGTGCCAGGCAGACATCATCTTCAAGGTGAGGCCTCCAAGCTTGAACGAGGTCAACCACATGCGGGACGGCACCACCCTCTTCAGCATGATCTACCCGGCTCAGAATGAGAACCTGGTGAGCGCGATCCAGAATAAGAGAATCACATGCTTCGCGATGGTGCTGGTCTCAGACTTCATCTCTATCTGCAATGTGGCTTAGGTAGTGCTTGGCTTGCTTTGTCTGCGCGTGTCTGCACATGTTTGCACCATCCAGTGTGCGCGATGTTTTGTAACTGCAGGACCAGATGCCTCGAACTCTGAGCCGTGCCCAAGCCTATGACGTGCTGAGCTCGATGGCGCCTTGGCCGCCGCGCCCCAGTGCGTGCGCACATGAAAGGTCTTCAGAAACTCAATCGCTTGGAGGCCCTGCTGCCATCGGTCGCCTGCGACTTTCTAAAGCTTCTAAGTACTTCTAAGGGTATCTGTTGGTGGTGGTGCTGCTGCAGAGCAGCAGCCAGCACGGAGCTTCCACATGGTTCTGAACAAGCCCAGGCAAACATTGCCGGCTACCGAGCCATGGTGGAGGCAGGGGAAGCTACTGAGAAGTGAGAAGCACTGCACGAGGCTTTAGCCTCTGGACACTGAATCCAAATCTTCTAGGTTCTAGGCTGACACAGGGCCTGCACGCTAAACGGAACATAAGAATTTCGATTTCTGTGCAGTACGCGTCAGAGTTCAAAGCTCTCGAGACCCAAGAACCCAACAGGCCAGCCACTACTTTGGCCGCTTTTGTGCCGGGCAGTTCACGGCTGCTGGCAAGGTGGATCCGGCCAAGGCTCGGAACCGAGAGGGTTTGTAAAGTTTGGCTATGGCTCCATGTAGACTTCCGCTGTGGCCGCTGCTGGAAGACCATGTCATCTTGTGCAGGTCCTCGTGATTGGCGCGGGCGTGGCCGGGCTTGCTGCCATCCAGCACCTCGGCTCGGCTTTGCTCATCTCGAAAGCCGCCTCGAGCCTTCGATTGATTCCATGCTCAGGCAGGCGAAGAACATGGGTTGCATCGTCCGAGCCTTCGACGTGCGTCCAGCCACCCGCGAGCAGGTGGTGGCAGCAGGAGGTCGGCAGCTGGTGGGAATCAGCCCTGACCGCCCGCCTCACTAAACGTCCTGAAGCCCGAAAACACTCATGCCCTCTAACCCTGAGCCTCAGTCGGGACCGCGTGATCTGTTGCCCAAGCTTGAGTGCTGCCTGGAAGGTGAGTTCTTGGAGGTCCAGATTGAGGAAGATGGTTCGGGCACAGGCAGGACAGACCTCGCTTAGGAAGGCAACTGCGCGTTGTAGGCTGGCAAGCGATCCTAGACCGACCAGGGTGTCGGTAGATGGTTGTTCGGAAGAATGAAAGTTGGACAACCCTCCCGTGCATTCAAGCAGCGCCGCTCAAAACCAACAGAGGACCCAAAAGCCACTAGTGTCACTAGTGCAGAGATTTGAGTTTTGGGTCCTAGACAACATGATCTGGGGATACAGAGGAATACTCGAAGCTGACAGACAATGTTGCATCTGTGTTACGCAACGAAGCATCGCATACACCAACATGAGATACCACGACCCATCGAAGTGCATGCGGGAAGTAGGCGTGGCAAACTGTGAATTGCAGGTAGGACGCTGAGCAGGGGTTGCATACATTGGCATTGGTGCACTCAGACATGCAAGGAGCGGTTCATCGGTGTTATCACAGGGATGTAGATTTCTGCATCAGCACTCTAGGTACTTGCAGATGTCATTCATCCCAAAGTGTACCTGGACGGTTAGACCAGGGCAGATGCATGAACTGTGAAATCGAGGTGGCTATGCCAAGGAGATGTCCAAAGAGTTCATCGACGCGGAGATGGAGCTGTTCCGTCAACAGTGTGCAGAATGCGACATCGTCTTTGGACGCAAAGTTCAAAGACTCCGAGATAGAGCCTACATATACAGCCTACACTTTCTAACGCTTGCGCAGAAGATACCTGCATTTGAGGTCATCACCACTGCGTTGATTCCGGGCAGGCCTGCGCCGAAGCTGCTCACCAAGGACACCCTCTGCTGGTGTGGGAGGGGTTGGTAGGCGATTCATGCTGTACATGTAGACCGCCAAACTCCAAACTGTAAGCTGGATGGCCATGCCACGCTATGCCCTTGGGATGCCCTTGGGATGCCTTTGGACAAGGAGCACATTGATGGCATGAAACCTGGAAGTGTCGTGGTGGACTTGGCCGCCGAGACTGGGGGAAATGTGGAAACCACAAAGCTCCTTGTTCCAGCCCAGAACTTGCGAGGAAGAAAGCTCTTCTCAGAAGGGAGGCATGTTAAAGGCTTTTGTGCATATGTCTGCGTAAAAACTTTTGCTGCCTAAAAGGTCATTCGCCTAATGCGGCATGATGCTCAGGCCCGGCAAAGTCTATGAGTATAACAAGGTTACGCACATTGGCCTGTCTCTCTATGAGCATATGCCCAGCCGAATGCCTGCGCAGGCAGGGACTGCGTGGTTGCACACTTCGCATGCTGTTTTGACTGCGATGCGCCCATGAGGCATCGTTCCTCTATGCCAACAACATGGCGAAGTACTTGTGCAGCATGGGGCCTCAGGGACACTTCTTCATCGACTATGATGATGTGCCTGGGCTTGCAAACCAACACTATCATGGTCGTACGGACGTCGTCGCCACTAGGGCAAGGTAGTGGATAGAGTAGGGGGTAGGGGTTAGGGGACAGGGTGGGCGTGCGCTGGAACCCCTTAAAATACTAGAGGTCGGTCTTGGGCGGAGTAGGGGGTAGGGGGTAGGGATAGGGGGTAGAGCTAGAGAGGAGGAAGTGGAAGGTGTAAGGGGGTGGGGGGTGGCTAAGAAGTAGGGGTAGCGGGGGGGTAGGTGTAGGGGGTAGGGGACTTCACCTTCTGGCTTTACACGACTACTCCGCAGAGACGTGGCTTTGAGATCCTGTGTGGAGGTCCCGACCCGCGGGGCGATGATCTGCCGTGCTTTGGATGCAGGGAATCGCAAGAAGATACGCGAACCCCAACAAACTCTAAGAGAACCTGTTGTCAGTCTCACGTCTGGCCCAACTTGAGATCTGCAAGTCCATACTCAAAAGGCTCAGAAGGGTGGCGGTTCTCCTCAGCTTTCCAGACCCGAAGCTCTGCACGTCCGAAACCTCAAGCTTCCAACCGTAAACCCAGGCACCCGACTGACAGAACCGAGTGGGTCACCTTCCATCATCAAACCTCCCCCAAGCTCCCCCAGCCCAAAACGAGGCGAAGGCGACCGCACTTGGCCTTGGAGCCCGCCCAAGGTCGAGGCGCCACCTGCGAAGGAGGAGGAGGAGTGAGGGGGAGATACCACGCGAATTGGAAAGATAGAGAGCTTTCTTTCTGTTGAAGTGGTCCTCTTCTAAATCTTTTGCTTATTGTTGTTACTGTTGTTGTCACTACTATCTTATCATTATTCTAGCGTGTGCATCTGATTCTTCTTGTTATGATGCGACGCTGCTTCTGAAGGCGGACTCGAACATCCAAAGTATTCAGGATGCAAAAGTGCAAGACTTCAGTAAACACGTAAGGACCTGTGGATGCGCCCTTAAGAAATGGACCAAAGTGCGATCGATAGGATAAAGCGCATGGTGACTAGGAGGGGCAACCAGAATAGGGCCCATGGCATTTTCCCAGATCTTGAAGATCTTCACTGACTACCGGTTTCAAAGAAGTCCGCTGAAGAATGAAACCGTGTTATCCCTGAAGCCTGCGCCCCGTTGTAACACTTTCATGCAGAGTTTCAATGTAGTATCAAATAAGTAGCGCCCTACTCTCGTATGCTCACCCTAATGAGGATGGACTTGAATTGAACCATATCTCTCCCTTTGTCTGGACTACGGCAAGATTCGGCCAAGCACACTATCCCTCACCAAAGGATCTAGTCACGATGGCTATTGGCGACGTGCCAAATTGAAAGTCGAGTCCGCTGGAATTTCGCTGAACAGATATGATGTGTTTTGTCTAGATAGTAGACTGTATGCTCTAGCACTATACAATATAGTATACTGTCATACTATGTTATACTATGGCAAAATAAGAGGTCGGACTGCTCTATTCCTTAGAGCAGCGTTGCGCCTCGTTGGATGTAGAGCCGTTCCACTCAATCGTATTTGAGATTCAGAATTGGTTTTTGGGCTTGCCCTCGAGAACTGCTGCTGCTGCTGCTGCTGCTGCTGCTGCTGCTGCTGCTGCTGCTGCTGCTGCTACTGCTACTGCTACTGCTACTAATACTGTTACTGCTACGACGGCGACGACTACTACTACCTGATCCTACTAGCTACTAACTACTACTAACTACTACTACGACGACACTTTTTGTTTCCTATACTTGTTCTTGTCATTATGATGTTCCATATTGGGAAGTGTGATGCCCCTCGCTGTACCCCTGTAACCCTCAATTATGTGTTATTGGGTCGCTTTCGTCGCCCCGCAATCCACATATTCCCTGCAAGGACTAGAACCCTGAAGTGGCCAAAAACCCGTGGGGTGAAAAACTCAGCTTTTCCTTAACCTTCAGCCCAAAGACCCCCATAAGCCCATCGCAGGAGCCCACCGAGGAGCCCGTCGCCGAGTTGAGCCCCGAGGAGGAGCGCGAGACTCTTATAGAGTTTAGGGCTTCGGGTCTAAGGTGGATGGCCTGGAGATCCCCGGAGTGCAGTCAGCATAAGGCCTCTCAAGCTCGAAATCACCCAATCAAAATCCAGAGGACAATATTTCGGATTCAGTCTCATCTTGCTGCACTCATCCCACTCACCCTCGCCCCCCATGCAGCATGCTAGCGTTTCACATCAAACAGCACGCCACCAGCGTGCCAAATCAATATACGAGTTCAATGAAAGCCCATACCAATCCAGTCAAAAAACACATTTGTGATGCTCAAATAGCATCGTGCCATCAATTTTCAAAAAAGCTCCCATCCGCGAGCTTTCGTTCAAAGAACAGTTTTGCTGAATCAACATTAAGGGGGGTGCGAGAAGGGAGACTATCAGCTTTGCACTTCATTGGAAAAGGCCTATGAATATAGTAATGGTTTCATCTTCACAGCCCAGACGAGGGGAAGGATGCTAACTTTTCGGTCGCCTCCGAACCGCTGTTGCTGAGCTTTCCGTCCACCCCCCGGGCGCAAGTTCATGCTGTCTGAATCAACCCAAGACAGCCCCTGTTTGAGCTTCGCATGCTTGCTTGAAAGCATTATGCTATCACTAGGTTTGCATTCAGACTCTGCCAACAGACGGCCACGCTTGTTTAGGCCGAGCATGCTTGTCAATTGAAAATTGGTTCAAAGCCTGTGAACCCAGTCGGGTCACAACCCAAATGACACCATTTGGATTCGTGTTTCTCGAGCGATTAGAGTGTTCTCAAAGTTAAGGGCCAGAGGCTGTTTGCGGCTGCCCGTCGTCCCTCAATGGACCCGTGGTCTTAGACTGGATCGTGTTCCCTCCCCAGATATTTCACTGCTTCCCCTACCCCCTGTCCCCCCCCCCCCCCCCGCTCATCAGCTTCTCCCACAGGAGTCCTTTCAAAGCACCGCGTCCACGGTGGCCCTTGTCTCATTGATCGTCATGGCCATGTTGGCAGCGGGCGGCGTGCTCAGCCCGACCGAAATGCCGAGACATCATGGTGTACGGAAATCTCAAACTGACAAACTAGCAAGTAACATCTGGACAGCTTGAAAGCTTGATGCAGTACCCTCAGGAGCATCTGAGCTTCAAACCCCTCAGGCACGGCTGGCGAGTCGGTAACGACAATGCTCACCACTCTGGCCCTTGCTCTCATCGGAGGCGCTCAGGTTGTCTATGGTGCCCGGTCCTCGGGACCACGGTCGTAGCTCATGGTCGCAGCTTGTGGGAATCTGTAAAGTTTGTCAAGTTCTTGCGGGATGTTTCGTGCCTGAGCCTGAATCTCCGAGGTCGTGCCTGCGCTGCATTCGCCCCTGATGTCGGTCACAAATGCAATCTCGGGGCTGACAGTAGTCGGCGGCATTCTCATGATGGGGGGAGGCGGCCAGGTTGCAAAGGTTAATGAGCAAACGCCTTGATGAGACGATGATGCGGAAGCATAACTGTTGGGAAAAGAGGATGGAAAGGAGCAGGAAGAGGAGGAAGGAGGAGACGGCTGAACATGTCACAATGTAACTATCTTTGAAGATGCGAGTGTCCAAGGCTACATGCCCGAGACATTGCCTCAGTGGCTGGCGGCTGCCGCGGCGCTGATTTCCATGGTCAATGTAGGCTGGGGGGTGTTGTGAGAACGTATTATGCCATGCCCTGCACCTTGAGGTTGAACAGAAGAGGAATGACAATAAACCCTTGTTGTTGGTGCAGAGCCTTTCCATCTTTCAGGAGGAGGCTTCGTGATGACAAGGCGCATGATCGACATGTTCAAACGAGAGACGGATGTGCCCTGGGAAGGCACTTAAGGCCTGTGGGCTTCGTAATGTTGGAAAGTGTTCACAGATGTTCGCAGACCGTTCTGCCGAAAGATTCTGGATGGCTATGCTTTTGAAGCTTCAACATTCAGAGCCTGTAGCTGGAAGATAGACGACCTCCGAGTCATATGGCCACCTGGTCAAATGAACAGTTCTTTTTAGCAGAGGAACGGCTTGCGTACTGCGAGAACCTTCCCGTGATACTTAATTTGTTGTGACGTTTTGGGAGCAGCCCAGGTCTCACAGTTCGCGGAGCTGTATGCCCTTCCCGCAGCACTCTTCGTGGGGCTGTATGTTTTTGGCACATCCTTTGGCTACATGGACTTGGCCTCTGATGCTCACTTGAAGTAGCGGAGCGAAAGTCTCGTGGTGAAAGCAGTGTGTGGCAGCCCTGAAGCCCTAAATCTTGCTTAGCTCAGGAGAGCCAAATGGTCTACCTCATCTCCTCTCTCATGTGCATCGTTGCCATCGGAGGGCTGAGCTCCCAGCAAACTGCCCCTTTTCTGCAGGAGATTTCGGGGACAAGGCCCAATACCCTCTTCAAAGCCTGGGGTTTAGGCAGCCTACTTTGTGTGGCATCGTCAGTCCGTTGTATCTTGTACGAGACGGGCCATGTAAAGCCCTGCTGGAACTTTTGTGTGTTCGCTGTAAAGCCAACCAAGTTTGAGGGATGCCTTCTGGAAGGGGAAGGGGTTCTCAGAGAGCAGTATTTCGAACGACAGGGTGGACCACTGGGGTAAGACTGAAACAGTGATGGACAGTGTCGGACTTAGGGAATTCAAGTTTAGAAGCTTCGGAGGTTCAGGATGTAGGAAGCTGGCCAGGCTTCTTGAAAGTTAGTGTTGGGGGTTTATGGCGTCGCTCCGCTTCTGCAGTATTCTCAGGGCTTCTGTGGCCTGTTCCAACATTCCTGAGACCTTCTTGCATCTCCGTAGAAGCCTGTTAACCCAGACCAGTATCCCAAACACCAAAAAGCCCCAACATTCTCCAAACAAAACCCACAACTCCAGGCCCAGTTCGGCAATGCCATGGGCCTGAGCGGCGTGGTGGGCGCCCTGGCAGGAACGCTTGGCCTGGCCTACGCCCAGGCAGGAGCCGCTTAAAGGAGTAGGAGATACCAGTAGGGTTAAAGGGGATTGATCTGATCTGGTACTCTGAGAAGAGACGTTTACCATGAAGATCAACCCCCCAATTGAGAGCATTGGGGGGTTTAGATTCCTGGGTGTTGTTTTTGAGCGAGGGTGCCTTTTGGGGTTGGTCCAGAGTAGAAAGACAGTTCTGTAGAAGGCGCAAATAAGAGTTCAGAGCAACGTAGGTAGGTAGGGTTTCGGGCCAATGAGCTAGGGCCTCTAGGGATTGCACTGGGAATGGGAGATGGTGAGGAGGGGTCTGGAGAGTAATCTTCGGCTACTTAGTTGGGTTGTGGCAGGGGGCAAAGAGGGTCGTGTTTCTTCCTCTGTTACTGAAGCTCAGTAGCATGTTATAGTGGTAAGGGGCATATATATATATATATATATGTACACGCGTATACACATATATATATATATATATCTATGTATATACATATATATATATAGAAAAAATATGAGGAACACCTGATCTACACGCTGCATCTCGTTTCTGCCTTAAGCTGCTGAGATGTTTCAGCTCTGTCTCTGTGACTGTGTTTGAGTCTCTCTCTGTGTCTGTGTCGGTTAATGTCGTCTCTCTCTCTCTCTCCCTGGTGGGTGGGTGGGTGGTGGGAGGGGTTAACGCCAGGGAGCGAGTGCTGCAGTTCTCACTCAAATCGCAGCTCGGCAGCCAGTTTCTTGAACTTGAACTTCGAAAGCCCCTCGCAGAGGCAGTCACAGTCGTCCTACACCAAAGCTGGTAGCTGCATGGGCAGGCCAATCACCTTCTTGCTTTTTGTTTGATTCCGAGGCCACTGTCCTGGCAACTGGCACCGCTCTGGGCATGGCTGTGGCATCGCAGGCCCCGAACCTTAGGGAGGTGCAGTTGAGTTTGCAGGGCAGGCGCATGGTTGGTGGGAGCATGCTCCTAAGTCCTGAACAGGTGGAGATCACATCTCTTCCTCAGCTGGTGGCGGCATTCCACTCACTTGTGGGCAGGGTCCCCAGCACTACTCCTAGCCGGTGGCACCAGGCACGAGGAATCTACTGGACGGGTAGTTTTTAAAGGACCACCCGGAGCTTTTGCTTCAAGAAACCTACAAAGCAGGAACAGTTGGCTTTGTTTTTGGGGACAAGGTGGTGTAAGGAGGTGAACGTGGTCGTCCGATTCGTCAATATATGGGGTTGACGAAACCAACCTGAACCCGAGATGTCTTGAAGCCTAGAGCCCAACCCCCCCCCCCCCAACAGAAAGGTATGGCTGCCTCCCTCACCGCGATTTCTTCGGCTCTGCAGCACCCAGGGGCAGATGCTATGCATCCCGCCTGCAAAACGAAGCTAAAGAGCCTGGAGCTTGGTTTGGCTCCGGTTGCTTCAGCGCGGCTGAAACCGCCCAGCGCGTCGTCACGAGAGTAGTTTCCTTTTCTTGGAGAGAGGTGTCTGAGGCTTGCACTGCTGGTGTTGAGATCTGAATCTGGGTTGGATTGATAGTAAATGGCGCGTGGCCGCCTCGGCAGCCGGGCTGGCCCAATTCGGCCCAATGCGGGGTGTCCTACGTCGACTTGGTGCGGGGGGCCTGGGGCCTGAAGGCTCCGAGGGTGCCAGGGGGTGTCCCACAATGGTGCCGTGGGGGTAAAATGGAAGTTCCAGGGCATTGTTTTAGGAGGGGGGGTCTTCGAAGGAGGGAGGAGGGGGCTTGCAGTGGCAGAACTTGCTTGGCACATGGAGCTTCGCCCGGAAATGTAGAATGAAGCAGCCCTTGTTCTCCGAGGCACGCCACATCCGAGTATCTGGCAAGTGGGATTGGTGCGTTGACCGCAGCTTTCGCAGCACATAGGCTTCAACGTGCAATAGAGTGCGCAAGCTCAGACCACGTCTTTCTGCACCTGAGGTCACCGGATCTGTGGTCGCTTTTGCAAAGTTGCAGGGCTTGGTGGGTGGCAATGCCAGTATCCCGGGTGGTAACGTGCCTTCGGCGTCGTCACAACTTGCTTCTGAAAGGTATGTGCAGCACACAGCATGCAAGGTGAGTTCACGTCTGAGCACAGCAGGGCGTATGGGTACTTGACGGTAATTCGGCCGGTAGTTGTGGAAGCCCAGGTGTTGTCCGGATCTTTGACCGCTGCCTTTGCAGCAGGCAGCGGCGAGCACGAACAATGGACTGCGCCCGTCACATCGTTTGAGCCTGCGCATGACCCCAACTCCCGAAATAGCTGCTGCGTGGCCATGCCCTGTACAGGAGCATGAGAATCACTCACCATCCTTTCCACCTAGCTCATAGCATCTCATGACTTGTCACTGTGCCTTGGTTCATCCCCATCCGACCAATGCAGGGCTTTGGGCGTACCTCCAGCACCCCATGCCCGGCATGGAGCTCTCCACATTGGGATTTGGAACCCTCGCCGCGGCCGGTATGGGCTTGGTGGTGACGTCGCAGGCCAGTTGGCGGGGATTTCTGGCCTGAGCAGCTGCAGTGCTCCGTCCGTGTAGAATCTAGAGGTGTGTGCACGGAGCACGTGAGAGTGCTAGGGGTTCTGAGTTTGCTCCCTTTTGAGCCCTCCCTCCCCTCCTAAGGTGGGAGGCGCCGACATGCCGGTAGCCATCACCCTCCTGAACTCTGCATCTGGCTGGGCTCTGACGGCCGAGGGCTTCGTGCTCTCCAACAACCTGCCCCTCCGACTCCCCTTTTCTCAATTAGGAGAAGCAGAGAGAAGTAGTGGTGCTTTTTTTTTTGAGGGTCTAGCAAGGGGTCGGTTGCATTTTAATATATATATATATATTATATGTATATATATATGCATGTATGTATTTATTGAGTTTGATATTGCATGATGCTAGTATTACATTTTGCTAGCTGAGTACATCTTTCGGTCTGAGGCTGACAATCGTCGGAGCCCTGATTGGTTCGTCTGGTGCGATTTTGAGCCAGATCATGTGCGAGGCAGGCGCTCTGCTGGTGACTACTACCGAGCAAGGGGTGTTTCGTGCAAGAGACCTTTGGCGATGTTCCTTTTGCCGGTGCGCGACTGTTTCTGCAATGGAGGCGATGAACCGCAACATCCTGGAAGTGCTGGGTGTCACTGCGAAGCCTCAAAAGCAGGGAGGTTCCACTTATCAGAATCTTGTCATTAACGTGAGGTCGACAGCTGTTCAGGAGCATTTTGATATTATCATGAGTTTTTGAGCTTGTTTTCGCAGGGTTCAGGCTTTAGGGTTTAGGGTTTAAAAGTTTAGGGTTTGGGGTTCAGGGTTTACGGTTTAGGGTGCTTGAATTCGCAGGATTCAAGTGCGTATAAGTGTGTCGATCCCAATCATCAGAGTCCAGATCGTTGCAATAACGAGATTTGCTGAAATTACGGGGAACAAGACTAAGAAGAGCAAGAAGAAGAAGCGACTATGACTCTTAAGTCCAAAAGTACGAATGACAACCGTAAACGAAAAAGTTTGTAAGCATGGCGGTAACAGGGGTAAATCAACCTGGCAGCAACACTAGAAGTGAATGTTTTTTTCGCCTATTTACTTTCCCAATCTTTGTTTCTCGGTCTGATCATGATATCACCTGTTGATTTGGTGCAGCCACAGGATAGAAGGCGAAGTGACAACCACCAACAACGACCACGTCGCTGACCTCTTGGCAACTGCCAAGAAGGCTTGGAGCTAAACTCCATGAAAAGGCAAGGAATTTTCCTAGCGAGCTCTCGGGGTATAGTTGAAGGGTTCGTGGGGTAGACCAGGTTAATGCTGCCATATGCCTCAAAATGCCCAGAGCCCCCCAAGTTTCAGGATGCAGGGCCATGCGGATTTGAGCCGCGCTTACCTGAATTGCTCTGGGTTCCGCATCACATGTGGCCATGTTGGACGCCACTCCTAGTATCTCCTGGTGGCAGACGCAGAAGGCTACTGGAAGGAAGACTTCGAGCTGCCCAGCATTTTCATATTTTAGCATACATGCCATCAAGTCATCATCAGAAAAGGAGCCTCTGAAGAATCGTTGTGCTCTGGGCTCAGCCATGCTCAGCCCAAAATCCCCTAAACCGTAAGGACTCAACCCAAAGAGCTTGATTTGTTTTTTTTGGGGGGGGGGGGGGGGGCGCAGGCTTTCAGGGGGAGTCACAGCACAGGCAGTATGTATACAGGGACCCTAATTTAGAAGAACCCCTTCACCTCAGCAATGTGTGAGCCCTCTGTCTATTCAGGTTGTCATCGTTCCAGGCTATGGTGTTGCGGTATCCAAGGCCAGCGCTTTGCTTGACAAGGGCTGCTGTGGAGGTTCAAAGTAGTTTAGGATTTCGGATTTAGGACTTGGGACTTGGACTTTAGACTCGTTTAGTGGGTTGAGAGGGTTTGGCTTAGGGCTTGGTTGGGGTCTGGAAGATCGGAAGATTTGTTGCAAAACCATTTCAGGCTCAGTACGCCTTGGCACAGCTGATCGAGATGCTCACGGAGCTGGGATCTCAGCGTCCAGTGAGTAATTTGTTAGTGCCAGTAGCCGTATACAACAAAGGACTCATTCGATTGGCTTTAATGAGAGTAGGCACTGGAACAGACTCAACAGACCCAGACGAGGGGCTGCATGAGATTGTCCCTCTAGTGCTTCATTCCCGAGCCCGAAGCGCTTCAAGGCTTCAATCCCAAACGCTGAGGAACGGTACAGATGTGAAGGTCGCCATCCACCCGGTGGCCGGGCGCATGCCTGGGCAGCTTAACGTGCTGCTGGCAGAGGCAGGCGTGCCTTACAACCAGGCCGGGCCCAGAGAAGGGCTGATGGGACAATTTGGGCCAATAAGGTTTGGGGTGTATCTGGGTTCCCGACTTTGGCCCGAACCCCCTTCCCGCCCCTGTGCCGAGGCTTCACTTCATGTTAGCAAAATCTGACACCAAAATGCGGGACGTTTCCACTTGCCAATCCACATGCCAATCCATTCAAGACATGAGCGCCGCTGTCGGCGGTTGTCCCAGGTTACCAGCCACACTTGAAGACGTACATTCCCCCAAATGCAATGATGGAAGAGCCTTTCCATCAACCCCACATCATCATCAATGCATTGGCAGAAGCAACGCAGTTCGCCGCGCGTTGAAAGCCGCAGCACGTACACACTCCGCGGCAATGCGTGTTCCCGAATGCACAGCGAAGGGTTCTCGTTTTGGGAGCTGGGAGTCGGGGGGGACTTGACCAGAATTCGTGCATTCAGTTCACAAGCATCAGAAAGCGTCCGCGTGTTTTCGCGTGCGGCGTGAGGGGTCATGCGTCTCAGCATCGTGGTTCTCGTGCCTGTCGCTCATGTTGATGCTGTCAAATGCAAAGACGATGACAGTCTTGAGGATGCTCGCTTTGCATTTCGAGCATGTCTTTACGCTGTGTGTCCGGCGGTATTCGTGGCATTTCGTGTCCTCTCGTCGTGCCATCACGTCCTCGGAGCGTGTCCTCGTGTCATGTCCTCGTATCATGTCCTTGTGTCGCCTCTTCGTCTTCGTGTCGCGTCCTCGGCTTGCAATAGTCATACCACAACGCCGTTGTAAAATTGGAAGCTAGCCAAGTTCGACAGCGACTGACTTCCCACAACATCGTTCCAAAATTAGTACTGTGGCATGAATGGAGAAGCGGACCTCGTACCATCCTTGCATCCTTTGTGCGATCGGCGGTTTCGTCTTCTGTGTGTCTTAAATTTCATGTCTGGGCTAGACAGGCTACGTGTCTCGTTTGGGTTCGCGGCTCCTATCAGTTTTGATTTCTAAATTTTCTTTCCGGTGGCCGCGTAGTATTTCTGGCCGCTACATGACGTGACGTGGCAGGCAGCGTATCCTATGGGGTAGGGGCTTGAACAGGTTCTCGAGATGGAGGAGCTGAATGATCCGTCCGACTGGGAAGACGTCGATGTGTCACTGGTCGTGGGCGCCAATGATACAGCAACTTGTCTTTTCAAGGGGAAGTTGGACAAAGAAAAATGCAGGAAGGCAGTGCAAGACACGGACACGCTGCAGTACTCGTGCCACCCTCAGCCGCAAGCCTCAACTCCTAAAGCCATCATACAAATCCAGGTGCGATTAAGTTGCGAGTCCCCAACAGCCGAGCCTGGACGATGCCCGAACACTGAGAGACCCCAAGCCGTACACCTTAAGGCATGCTTGAACCCTAGACCATGTTGCGTGACTGTGGGGGCTGCTTTCTCACTAGATGATCGATGCCTACTAATGTTGATTCGTGCAGTTCCATCGTGAACGTAAAGAACTGTCAACTGACACATCCACCTAGATTCCATCCCACGCCCAGTGCTAAATCTGCTGCTCGCTCCCCTTTTCTGCTTTGGGGATGCTTGGGGGTCAGTCTGGTGGTAGACTGTGCTTCTTGCTTTGTCGAGCCCCGAAGCATGTAACCTAAGCTCTGACAGGTTTGTTTGGGTTTGGGAGTTCGGCTTTGAATGGGATACCTGTCGGATTCATGGAGTTGGGATGCTGCTTTTCAGAGCCTCCAGTCGAGGTCAATTCATTGGCGGAGGACGATCCGAACAGTCCGATTGCAGGAATGCCTGTAATCCGACGCTTGGCTCAGACATCTGTGTCTCCCCTGTCTACCAGTTGACCACTGTTTGCCGTTGCCACGAGCTGCCACGGCTTCAACAACATCAGCACGAGCTAGCCAATTCCTCAATGCAATGTCAAGTGCTGAAGCCCATCGCCATTCAACTGACTTGACACACAGGAACTCAAAACGGGCAAGTACCCAAAGCTGTGGGGTTGAGGGTTCGCAGTTGGGCTTTGAACTCCCCGACCCTAACAGGTCTGTTCCTCAAGCTCCTTGCCGATTGTAAAGGGTTTCGGTTCCGAAGTCAGGAAAACGCACGGGGCCAGAGTATCACCACAGCTGTCCGAGAAGATTGAAGTGACCAGAGCATCCACGCCCGAGCGATAAGAACATCCATGTTACCAGAGCATCCATATCCGTACGACAAGAACGTACATTGGCCAGAACATCCATGCCCATACGATGATCACGTCTAGGCCCGGAGGCCCCAACCTCACATAGGAGCAAACCGGGCTCTAGATTCTGCCGGCGCATGGTTGTCGATAATGTCGCATTTTCGTACACTCTATTGCGATTGCAAGCGAACAGTTCCAGCGTGGAAAATCTAAGACACTCACCGTACTTTTGCCATGACGACAAATGCGACCTTTGGCGCACTTAACAAAATAGTGTAAACAACAATGGCTTTACGACTGACATGTCAAGCAGTAACTTTTGGGACACACCGACTTATCCCTGCCAGTGGAGTTTCGTGACATTTTCCTTTTGCAAGTGACCAGCTCTGTCCTAGAACTCATGTTGTACGACGTGCCAAAAGTCGGGTAATGACGATACGGGAGGCCCATACATAAACGGGCAAACGAGCCGGGCGGGTCCTATCCCCAATGCCAGGCGTCTGGCTAGCAAAGAAGTGCATCGTCGTCAAACGCTCCCTGGGAGTGGGCTATGCGGCTTTGGACAACCCGGTCTTCTACAAGGACTCGGTGGAGGGATGTGGAGGGTGTAGGGTATGTAAGGCGTGCTTAGAGATGACAGAGTTTGGTTCCAGGGTTTGGTTTGGCAGCTCTGGCAGCTGTGGAGTTTGTGTGCAGTACATGTAAGAGGACCACACCGACATGCTCCTCGGTGACGCCAAGGAGGTTGGCCAGTCGTTGGAAGAGCTCGTGCACACAAAGCTTCATCAGCACAAGCTGCCTTAGTCTCGTTTCTCGGAGCTTGAGCGATTCTGTTTAAAAGTTGAGGGTGGCTGGCGAGCATGGCATGTTCCGTTGCATGTTCATCCAGCCACCTTAAACTGTGGCGGCAAAAGGACGCCTAGCTCTCAGGTTTGTTGATTTGTGCGATGTCAGGCAATGCTTGTCGGCAAGTCGCATATGTCGTCCATACTGTTTGCAGGCTTTCACGAACACAGCTGTTTGTGCTGCTGAACAGCTTTTATCACAAAGGCCCGCTTCGGAGTCCAACCTACTTTGTTTTTACCGCATACCGCTGTGCTTGGAATCCTGCCTGCGTGCTTGCAAGGCAGAACAGATGCCCTGCATGGCCCGAAGTCTTTAACTTCCCTTTTTTAACAAACAGTGCATCAGCGGAGCTTTTGTTTGAGTGACAGGTCTTCCAAGGTCACACCAACCCACTTCGCTGGAGCCGGTTCCCACCAGTCTGCCACCTGGGACGTTGTCGTACAACTCTGTCCATGGCTTCGCTTCGAGCTTCGTTAGTCATCACAGAATCTCATAAATCATCGCAACTCCCGGTGGCTGTGCTGCTTGCAGGCTACTGAGGCAGGGCCCATTTGTTAGATCTCTGGCCCAAGCTCAATTAGACCAAAGGTGACTAGGCGATGTTATTCGTGACTGGCAGAGATGCGTTCACTGTTGTGAGAAGCAAACGGGCTGCTCAAAACACCATGGCGTGGCCTATCGCGGCCTGCATGACATGTCCGAGTCGCCCAGAGGTGTAGATATTGTAGATACAGCGCCCCTGCAATGTGAGAACGGTCAGGAACTGCAGATCGCCGGCAAGCATGTCACGCAGTTTGTGCACGACATGCCTCTAGCTCAGCGAAGGTTTGGCCCAGTAAAGCTTCTTGAGCGTGTCTTGCAGGGCAAGAGAGCTGGCAGCCGGCCATTGCCCAGGAAGCCCAAAGCCCCAAACCACAAACCACTAAACCCCCCCACATGCAAATCGAGGGAAGCAGCTGCACCTAGGATCTGCGACCGAGGAGAGCGCAGGGCTTACAGGGGCTGAGGATCTCTGATCGTTGATGCGAATTCAACGCGACTTGCACCATGCAACAAGTCCGTGCAGTTCCTGACTGTGAACGTGTGATCTCCTGCGGTCCAGATCTACGTGGGTTCTGACTCAGGATACGAGTGTTCCGAATTTAGCGGGATGTTCAGGGGATCTAAAATGACGTAATGTGCTTAGGGAGGGCCGAGGGGCTTAAACGGCTCAAGCATCTTTTGTGGGGCTCATGCTCTAGGGTGTTCCTTGCAGCGTTTTGTCGTTCAGGCCTGTACCAGCAGAGCAGCGCATGGATGCTGCTAGACAGATCAAGGACCATGCATCTGCCGTTGCAGTTGGATTCATTTTTTGGACATGCCTAAAGATTAGAAGTCAGCCAAGAGGGAGCAAAAAGGAAGCTTCGGGAGAAGTGTGCAGAGGGCTTTTGCGCATGGTTTATCGCATGGTTTATCGCTTAGCAGCCGCTCCTCATTCCTTGAGTTCATCTAAGTGTCTCCCCTTCAAGGAGAAGCACGCCTACCTCTGCAAAGATGTAGTGACTTGGGCTTGTTGCTTTGCCCAGCGTTTCACATGCGTCTGGCTTAGGAATTCCTATTCCGAATCACTCCCAAAGCAGCTTACTGTCAAGGTTTCAATTTGATGAAGAGAAGCGATCAGGGGACCCTCCTCCCGGGATACAGGTGCATGTTGTCTCCCTTCACGTTTCCGTTTGTCTCCTTCGTCTTCCTCTTCTTGTCTCCCCTCATGTCTTCCCTCTTGTCTCCCTTGTTGTCTCTTCCTCGCCCTTTTGGAGCCAGAGCCTTGTCTTCCCTCTTGCCATCTCTTGCCTGTTCGTCTCCTTTCTGTCTTCTCGTCGCAACCGAGCCGGATCGGCAGACGCGCGCCCCTCCTTGTCGACCCTTCTGTCTCCTCCCATTTTGTGTCCCTTCTTGTCTCCCTTGGGAACTAGAGCCGAATCGGTGGACCCGCCCCTGTCTTATCTCCTGTCTTGTCTCCCCACTTGTTTCCCCTTTGGAACCAAAGCCGGATCGCGGATGGTTGACGCAATCCCGGTCCCACCGTGTCAGCCGAACCCTGGCCATGGGGCGGGATCGCCAACCTACTAGGAGGACCTCTACTTTCCAGTTGTTTGTCGAGCATAAGGAGGATGCGACCGGCAGCCAATATGGTGTTGGCAAAGGTTTTCCAGTCTCTGCATGGTCTTGGGTTCCGTAGTTGTACCGTCTGTCTGCGTGTGCCAATTGTTGCAAGCCTGCTTGCAGTACGCCAATCCCGACAGGGACCTGCATGACCTGCCCTGTTGCTTCCCACTGCTTCCTGCTCGTGACATGGCCAGGTCGAGGAGTATCAGAAGTTTGACCAGGCCCTGGCTTGCGGTGTATGGCAGGAACAGAAACACTGAAACACTTACCTCCATACTCGGTTTCTATCTCTCAGGCAGAGCTGTTTCAGGGTCCGGCTCTTGTCAGGGCATTGGAAGACCTTCGTAGACTGCAGCAGATCATTGAAAAAGTCCCCATCTCCTGCTGCTGGGCCAGGATTCCCGAAGGTTCAAGAGCCTCCAGGGGCACTTTCCAAAGACGAAGCAGGCTGACGATTGATTGATGTTCCGATATTGTCTACCTTGCACAATGTGTATATGACTCCGTATGAGTTCTGGTGAGTCCATCTATGCGGGTGTGTTTTGTGGGCATAATTACCAGTCATAAATAATAAAGCCCTACCCCGCATGACCAAGACTCTATGCCTGAATACCCTGCTGACCCATGCTCGACAGATGTGGCATGGTTGCACATTCATGGATTCGCGTCACGAATCTATACAGGCGATGTAGAGGCTGCTCTCTCATGGCCTTGGAAAGGGTTCAGATTACGATGCCATAAAGTTTGTTCGAAGCGATACAGGGTCCCGTGCCTAAGGACTCCTTGAACAACCCCTCCATAAGCCCCCCAAAATCCGAAAAACCCTCGCTGAGAGACGGACATCTTTGACGCCACAGACTCGGCCTTTCTCGTAAAGTGCTGAAAGCCCTCACAGCGTGCCAGGACTGGAAGATTCAGATTGGCTACGAGCGCTTCCTGGCCCCAGAGGCACCGCGAAGACTACCGTTCTTGAATTGCTCAGGCCTTTAAGAAATTTAGTGTGTTTAGGGATGAAGAGAGAGAAATTTAGTTGTTGGGGGCTTTGGGCAGGCGATGCCACTGCGGCTTTTCAAGGTGTGGCCAAAGAACCATCTGCTGAGAGCAGTCGAGTGTCAAGTGTCGCCGTCAACCAGAGGTGGATGACTCCGAGATGGCCTGTAAGGGTGTTTACACTCATTGGGAACCTAGGGTTGGTGGACTCTATGGTGCCTCGTTGCCTCGTTCCCTCCTAACAACGAGCCAGGAGAGCTCAACCCTGAGCTGCCACACCTGCCTTCTCAGATTTTCTTCCACCCCGAGATCTTCGTTGATGGGATGACGACGCCTCTGCCGCAGGCAGCCGCAAACGAACGACTGGCGGAACATGGTGAACTTCAGCTTGAGTGGTTCAGTGTAATCGGACCGTTAGTCGGATAGCAATGGTCTCGTGATGAAGTGATGAAGAGGTGGTGGACGAGTGCATCTCCCAGTGTCCTATCGACTATCGACGTCGGCCCTGGCCCAAGCTCTGATGTGTTTCGAACCCGTATACTCCATCAGCATGCAGGGCGGATTCTTGACAGTTCTGAAGGTCAACATGCTAAAGATGGTGCACATGCATTGCTAGGTTCCTGCCCCTCCACTGTCTGTGCGACCAGGTCATGTGTTGGGACTCTGAAACCTTCAACCCCAAAGCCAACCACACATCTTCTTCTTTGCAGTTTTTGTGTTCTCACCGTCATCTGTCAGGCTCTACAGCAACATCGTTCTTTCGGGAGGCTCTACGGCCTTTCAGAATTTCAAGGCCAGCACATCCTCACCTAGCTCCTAAAGTAGCCTGCGTGGCTCGATCGGCAGGAGCGCTTGCAGAAGGATGTGCAGCACCTTGTGGACGAAAGGCTGCAGAAGGCAACCCACGTCATGACGGTCTGTGCTTCAGCTGCGCATATCGCGAGATGTGGGCTCTTAGGTCCCAAACGGCACGCAAAATCCTGGGCCTCCAGCCCTCCACTGACTTAACTAAACCCTAAAGCCCCTTTCAAAGGCTCGGCGGCTAACCGTTTATGATTTATGGCTCCAAGTTCGCAGTAGGCAAAACCCTACCAGGATAGATATCCAATGAAACAGATCGATGCAAAAGCCTAGATAAATACATACATATAGTACCCTGCCTTACCTTGCCTTACCTTACCTTACATTATATTACATGACATGTGCTGTACCTTACACTACACTACATTACATTGCATTGCATTACATTACATTACAATACATTAAAATACATTCCAATACCTTACATTACATTACATTGCATTGCATTGCATTACATTACATTTACATTTAGATTTAGATTTAGATTTAGATTTACATTTACATTTACATACAAACATACATACACAGAGACATGCGCAAGCTCCGCAGGCTGAGCTGAGCACAGGCCGGCGGCCGCAGGACATCGAGGCTGAACGTTGAGTTGACGAGTGCAGCACGATCTTTTATACTTGAGGGTATCCAAAAAGGGATGCTGCTGCAGCAGCTAGAAGGAGCAGTGCCATGGGATTTGAGCATCTCAGTACAACAGGAGATGGGTCTATGCTTCGGGCTTTTGTTGAAACCCTAAACTCTAAACAGTATGTGGAAAGACCCCAAGGAGGGCCATGATTTGGATCAGCCCCTCAACTCGAGCTCGTCTCCCCCCCCAACACTCGCTGCTAGGTCCTCGTGCACGGCAGCAAGAAGAGAGCGCAGCAGCCAGCGACCGATCTTTTTCGGTGTGACGGTGCTTCGAATTTGGGTCCTGTCACCTGTCCTTTTTGCAGAGTTTCTGGTTGAGGGCACCTTTCGACTTTCAATCTATTGTTTAAGTAAACCTTTTACCCTTTTACTCTACAAAGCTGCGTTTGCGTCATGTGGCGCAGCTTCTCTCAATACTGACAAATGTGTCATCGTTCATTCTTTCTCATGTGGCTTTCAAATAATTACATGTATTACATATGTTCGCATAAACATATGCATGCATGTGTGTATGTATGCATGTATGCATGTATGTATGTATGTTTGTTTGTATGTTTGTATGTTTGTATTTTAAACGCGCTCTCCACACCCTCGTGAGCTGGTGAAGCTCCTTCCTCGCTCGGAGTGCTCTTCCCCGAGGCGCTATGCCGCCTGGCTGGGAGGATCCCTGCTGGCGCAGGCTCCACTGGGGTTGGTGTGGTTCGGGGTTTGCTGTTAAGGGGTGTCGGTTCAAGGATGAGGTGTGGGAAGAAGTTCCATCGGCTCTTGCAGCAGTCCAACTCTCTGTCTCCATGTTGGCTCGAAAGACTGGGACGTCACTTTGGCTCGAAAGACTTGGACGTCACTTTGGCTCGAAAGACTGGGACGTCACTTTGGTGTTCAACTGCGCAGTTGCCGAAGTCAGTCCGAAGTCGTTGGCTTTACATTTTATGTCGTTCCTCTTTTCGAGGGTCCAGTAACGGCCGTCACACGCAACGCCAGGAAGCAATTTTCTCCAAAATGGTGAAGACGAAGCGTGAGTACGAGGAGGCCATGGCATGTCTTTGAGCAAACGAAGAAGGTCTCTGAGATCTGATGCAGCTGTTGCGCTGTCTTCGCACCCGTGGCTTCGCCCAGGTTGGCCCTGCTTGCATGCGGAGCAGTCCGGTAGTGATGGGCTAAGCAGCCCGAGTGCTACCGACATCTACCGACAGCCCTCGACTTAACCCCAGAACCTCGAGCTAACTGCTTAGCCCGCTTGGCTGCCGCTTGAGCCTCAAGACTCAAAGCTTCCTTGCAGCCAGCGTTGCCGCTGCAAAGGTCTTCCGCTCAAAGTGGCGGATTCTGGCAGAGGGACCCAAGTAGGAACTTGCCCTAATTTGCCCTACTTTGCCCAGACATCATCGGCCTGAATCATCGGCGCACGCGCGTGCGCACACTCTCTGGCCTGACCAGCCATACTTAAGTCCGCCGTGGTGCCGTTGCGATTGATCGTTTGCGAGGAGAAAAACAGTCAACTTGTGGCGCAAAGCAGGGTCACGGAGCCCCCTAGCTGATGCCGATCCACCACGAGCCAGAGAGTTTCTCGCGGTGCTGAGGCCCACATCAGAAGATCTTGAGAACCAGACATGGCGTTGTGAAGCCATCGAATGGTAGGATATATTTCAAGGTTAACACCAAAGTCACGGACTTGGATGATCTTGCGGCGAAATCTCTGAAATCTGTGGAGAGCCATGGCTTGGCCCTTCCGCAGCCGCTGGCAAAGCACCGTGGCGTTCAAACAACAGTTCGGAATGTTCCCAGAAGGCAAAGCACCGTGGCATTCAAACAACAGTTCGGAATGTTCCCAAGATCTGAAGATGCAACTCGGGATGAAATTGACAGCAGTCGCTCTGGCAACTGAGGATCGTACCCAGCAGACGTGGAACAGGGACACAGGCACGGACACCACGACGAGCAGATCCTCAGCTGAAAATGCAAACAATGGCGAAGGTCTGTTGAAGAATTCCTTTAAGCCGAGGGGCAAGCTACGAAGAACCAGCATGTTGTCAGGGGTTCTCCGCAAGCGGCCTCTCCCACATAGGACTCTTTTGCGTGAGCCTCTAGCAACTCTGCTGCTATATGTGCAGCACTCTGCAACTACCTAGTCCCTAAACCCCTACACCTGAAACCCAAGCTGGGGTTCACAGACATCCGTCCGGCAAAAATTTCCAGGCGCCACAGCCACAGCCATGCACAGATCCTGGGCGCCAAATTGATGCTGCTGCTGGCCGCGACTTTCTTGCTCGTGTCCCCAGCGCTCAAGTCCGACTGGGCGGCGTACGTGCTGCATCTGGATGCATTATTCAGCACAGGCACTTGTGGGAGAGGGGTCTTTACGATGGATACTCTTGAAGGGCCTTGGAGGATAGGGTCTTGTGGGCTTGTTGCGTGTTGGGCTTGGCGGCTTGACATGTCGAGATACGGCTGAGGCCCTACGCAGCATTCCAGCTGCTGCTTCTGATGATCCTCTTGGTTCGGGGCGTTTGTACAGATGGTCCAAGCAAGGGCCAGAAAGACCCCGTGTTTCGGATCTGGGCCAAGGTGCCGGCCAGGGAGGTCAACTCACAGCCACCTGAATTCCGGGTCCACGAGATTGCTTGCAAGGACCTGAAGGCCGTGATCCAGCGGACCGGCACCTGTGTAGCCAATCAGGGCGCTTGCCCCAGGCTGGGGGCTTGCTGCATCTGCATGGAAGATGCAGAGATGGTGGCCTTGCTGCCCTGTGGGCACACCTTCTGCGAGCCCTGCATCGCGCAGTGGTCCATGTCTACCTCAGAGTACAGCGGCAAGTGCCCTGTTTGCCGCGCAGACTTCGCGGCGAGCACGCTGGACGGTGCCGAGCTTTGATGAGGGCGCTCACAAAGGATGGGCAATTTCAAGAATGCCATAGTCCCAAACTCTTTGAAAGAAGGAGATGCCAGCCCAGGGCCGGAAGCTGAAATCAGGGGCCTGGGTGGTACTTCGGTGGTACTTCTGGTCTGGTAGAGGTCTTTGTTGGCACTCTGCCCTTTTGCCCGTCGGTGACCCTGAGACAGCTTGAGCGACCCGGTACTTGGTCACTGCTTTGAGGCAGGTCCCTCACAAGAATTGCCTGCATCTCCATCTCGGCCTTGTAATGTTAATGTACTGCATGCAGAGCCGCAGAGCTGTAGAGCAGAGCATGAAATATCAACTGAGCGCCGAGCCCGCTAGAGAGAAGGACTTGCTGCTATTTCAATGTTTCCTCAACTATCTTGCCCCAGACAGCATGAGACAGCATGAGTGGCTTGCATGCCACTTGCGACTCCGGAACTTGGGAACTTGCAACCCATGATGGGGCGCAGATGTGCGGTCTGTGGATGGCCAGTGAAATTTTTGGGATCTGGACGCTGCTTGCCGCGTCTGAACAGGTACATGCAGCTGTGCTGCCGAAGTTCTTTCGGAGGTCCCTCATAAGAACAGACGCTTGGGCACATGACCGGGTTCTCGTGCGCTTGCATAACAAAGGCATAAAGAACTTCAATGATGAAACCATTAAGCTGAGCTTTACGACTGGTGGCCGCGAAGACTTTTGAAGCATTCTCGCGCCTGCCTGCCTTGCTCAGGCTCTTCTTTCTCTGGGACCCGTTGGGCTTTTCTGCAATGGTGAACTCATTGTTGATTCCAACTTATAGCTTACCCAGCCTCTCCAGTGTTTAGATGTCTGAAATCTTTACGCCTTTCCTGTGCTACTTTGAATGGCAGGGAAGGGCCTCTAATTCTAGGTCTCTAGGTGTTCGCTATACTCACATTGCGTCCCCACACAATCGGAGAATTCGCCTCGCTGGGAACGACTCCCAGAGCTGCACGTGCGCCAGTACGAAGCTGGCGATGAGTCTCAACCCGGTCGTATATTACGCATGGCCGCGTTCCAATTACTTATGGCCGTAATGCGCTCATTGCCCAGATGCGCACGGCAATTCAGGCTTTGACTCAATCGTGTCCAGAACCCAGTGCAAAAGGATGAACAGGCGATCGGTATTATACAGCGCGGACGATGCTGGCCAGCCATACCTGTATGAGGGTTGTTCTGAATCAGGATGTGCTCACCCTAATTTCAAGCCCCTTCCCCCACTTAGCCAAAGCCCAAAGCACTCTAAAGCAGACGCCCCAAAAAGGGAACTGAGTTTGGAGAAGCCCACATTTTGGATATCATCAGGGACATGTTGCCACCTTTGGCTCAACCTGCCGCTCATCCTGAGGGGAGTGGCCATGTTGGATGAGGAGGCTGCGCAGCTCGACCAAGCCCTGCTGAAATGCCAATCTAAGAGTACGTACTGAATGTATAGTCACTTCGTCCGTATTCTCAAGCATTGACAAGGGTATATGTATAACAGTTAAATAAAAAACACAAAGATAAAAAAAGCAAAAAACTAAACGATATATATATATATATATATATACATACATATATATATATATATAGGCGGGCGCGGGATTCAAGACGCCCCTTATTTCCCTGTGACTGTCTACGAAGTGTAGTTTTTTCTTGCTTTTGCCGTCTGGATTGGGGTCTTTAGAGACAGAAGACAGATTCTGCTCCGACAAAGCCTCGCTGTTGCTTTTCATTAGGCTTTCACTACTAAAACCTCCCAAATTACCTCTTGTTGATATATATATATATATATGTATATATATATATATATATATGTATATAGATATGCATACACACGTACATGTACGCATGCATGCGCTCACGCATATACACACATCGGTATACCTACACTATTCGGCGTTGTCCCTTCATCGCCAAGCAACTTCGGAATGCGCGAATCGGCATGCGCCAATCTGCAACCCATGCCCAGACCCAGACCTTCCAAACTCCAGCCACACCCTGCACCTTGCAGGAGGAGTGCAGTGGACCCGATGGCAAGGCGTAGCTCCTCCGTCATTGAGGGTATTCAGGGGACCTCGGAAGGGTGCAGTCGCTAAGAGAAGCAGAAGTCAAAGCGAACAGGCGCCCCCACACATGATGAAGGCTTCTTCGCAAGGAAATGGAATCTGGTTGTCGGGCTGTGTCAGTGTACTGCACTGCAGTTGATGACTGCAGTAGCCTTGCAGACCTTCATTCGGATCTCCGAGCCTCGCGAGCGCTTCGAGGGCAGAGAGGCAGGAGGGGGAGCCCGTTGATGGATTGATGTTATTTGCCCTGCCCGAGGCGGCAGTTCAGGGTAATAGCAGGATGGAAAAGCTAGATTTTCAGCCCAACCTGATCTAATTTTAACGCTACGCGACCCGCCTCGGCCCGGCCCAGCGCATCCGCGTGAGCATGGTGATTCCGCAGCGCCCAAGTCGCTGGACCCCAAGCAATAAGGGTTGGGTTTCGGGTTTAGGGTTCCGGGTTTCAGTTTAGGGTTGAGGGCTTAGGGCTCAAGGTTCGCGGTTTGGGGTTTAGGGTTTTTTTGGGTTTAGGGTTCAAGGTTCAAGGTTGAGGGTTGAGACGGTTCGGCTTGGATTGATCGTAAAGTTGACTCGGCGGATTGCAAAGATGGACGACCTCGCCCGCGTAAGCAGGGGGCAGGATTGGGAGAAATCAGGCTATAGAATCCTCTAAAACTGAAACAGGGGCATAGAAACATAGCACTCGGCCGCGAACTATATAAACGATCAGCCTGCGGAGCAAAGGTCACCTTTCCCCCCCCCCCCCCCTGTGTTGAACAGCTTGAACTCTTGTCACTTTTGGCGTCTTGTGGGGCGTCTTCCGGGGCCTCTTCCCTGGGTGGCCTCCTCCCGGGTGTCCCCGAGCCCGGAGAGGCCTCGAGCATCCTCGAGCCAAGCACAGCAGTCCCAACCCCCTCAGCTGCTTGCGGCCACAAACGATGCCAGGGACTGAGGGATTCAAGGCTAACCCTTCGCTTGAACTCCTCAGTCTTGGGGACTTCCAGCCCATGGGCCGCCTCCCGGAGCCTGTCCACTCCACGTTTGAGCTTTCTTCCTTGGGGTTTTTTGGGCCTCCCTGCAGGGTTTCCCCGTAGGTCTGGAAGCAGCCCGGAGAACAACCAGCAAGCACAGTGGCGAAGGCTGCCCAACCTAGGATTCTGGCAATTCGTGGGCGGGCCAAACCAAGCTCCAAGTGACCTGGTGTAATTGCGTTTGACTCCGCAGAGGCGTACCTCGAAGTCCGAGAGCGGCTACGGGATCGTCACAGATCCGAGCAGAATGAGGTGCACGGGGTACATGCTTGCTGCAACTGAGTGTTTCGGACTGAGGCCTCGGGTAGAAGATCGATGACCAGTAGAGGTGCAGGATGAGCGAACATTATAGCATCTCGTAGATTTGGGCTTTTCTCCATCGTGTGCATATAAAGCATATGCGAAAGCACATAAATGAATGAACTGCATTGTTTGCCGGTCGGCAGAAGACGACATGGTAGCCAGCCTTGACACTCCTGCGAAGATTTACATTCTGGCATGCTCGCCTCGCTGGTCTACGTTACTGTTGTTGGCGGGTGCCTCTACGGTTCTTTGTGCGCACTGATAAGAGTGTTTCTAGTGGGTGTCCTGTTGGGAATACAAGTCGCAAGATCCCTTCCTCATAAGACTAAGACCCCAACTTTTCGCAAGCTTAAAGCCCGAAACTCCTAGGCCCTGAGCCGCCTGAGCCTAGCAAAGCCCCGAAGGTGTCAGGCTTCCTCCAGCAGATGCGGGACAGCCCGTGATTCTCAGGGGTCGGGGTTCGGATGTAGAGGAGTTTGTGTGTGTGGGACCCTGCAGAAACGGACGAAGTTCAAACTCTCTGACCACGAGTCGGTCATCACGGTTGGGAGGGAAGGTCTCTGTATTGTCCTCTGCCTCGGCTGGAACAGAGTGGCATGTTAACTCTTGGCCGTCTCAACCACTGAATCAAGAAGCATCAACCTCCCCAAGCCCGAAACCCCAAGACCTGCATCCGTGGCAGGAATGGGGCTCCGGCAAGCCTGGCGCTTAGTGTGGATTGCACCGTTTTGGTTCAAAGCTTTTGGGTTTACATGGTTAGCGTTGTAGTGTTTGAGGGCTTTAGGCTAAGTAGATGGGTGTGTATCTAGCAAGTCAGCAAGGCAACTAAACCCCACTAACCTGTTACACTAACCCTAAACCTGCTTGATGAGGCGGACTGGGTTGGGGACTACTACGTTGTGGACCCCACTCTTCAACCTGGTTGCCACCTAGGATAGCAATGGCTTGGCGGACCTACTTCGACTCTGATGGAGATGGCGAGCTCGACTTCAAGGATCCCAGAAGCCGAAGAAAAAGCCCCCAATTTTCAGTCCACTGGTAGGTTCAAATCGAGGGTAAGGTCCAGAGAAGGTCCAGAGATTCCAGGGTTGTGTCGGCGCCTCCCAGCCTTCAGACCCTTCCCTTTACTCCAAAGGCTGCCAAGAGAGAGGCACCTACAGGGCCTACAGGGTTGCAGGTGCCGAGATATGTGTCGAAGACAGGGAAAGGATGCCGACAAGACTTTGGTTTTTTCTTAGCATTTCTTAGCCTTCCTCCTTGGGACTCAAGCCTTTGTGAGGGTTCATTTTCAATGCCTGGAGTCCCACGAATCTGGAAGCCCGAAACCTCTGAAGCTCACAGTCCTCAACCCTGCCTATGCCCTATAACCTATAACTGATGAGCAGCCCTAAGGAACATCCGTTGCTGTACATAGGGAACGACCCCGAAGGGGCCTTGCTCCATGCAGGAGTTCTGCTCCGGCCTTGCCAGCTTCGGCTGGAGAGCGCCGCCCTTGGTAGAATTCGGCTCTACTAGGGTTTCAGGTGTTCATTTTTTTTAAAATTCGGGGTTGGGTTGAGAGGGTTTGAGGGTTTCAGAACTTCAGGGGTTTATACAGGCTGTAGAGGAATGGACAGAATGGGAGAATTTGCCAGAAGACGCCCGGGTTCATCAGGAGCTGTTCGCGGCGGCTGTTGTAGAATCGACTTCAGAGAATTGTAACATGTTGTATTGCAACACCGCAAAAGACCCTTGGAAGATCAGAGTTGACTCTTTAGAGGCACTCCTCGCCAGTTGGCGCATGAGCACAGGACCCTAGGCGAAACAAAGGTCTAGTGAACCTAGGCTGCAGAATCACCCCTGAGCCCACGTCAGGGCAACATACCTCAACTGTGGAAAGAGCTGGGGTACAACGAGAGCGGCACCATGAATCTGGAGGCCAGTTCCACAGTGGTTAGTTTGGTTTGTAGACAGCTGAATAATTTCTGATTCTCGGCTGGAGGCATCTGGTAGACGCAAAAGTACTTGACGTTCGGGAGCAGAAGCCACACGCATCTCCAAGCACCATGGTCATGATAATTAGCTCGTGGGTTCTGGGCCCCGGATTTCAGTCCTTGAGCTCCGAGTCCTTCTGTAAAACGAGGAAAGCAAGTCTAGCAAAAAAAACAGAACACTGGAAATCCAGTGGATAGAAGAGACACAGGGACCCAGAGGTGGTCAAGGTGAGTCTCATGCTGCTGTCACGTTCCGCTGATCCCCCCTCTCCTCACTTAGATGAAGGTTCCGAAGATCAAGCAGCTTAAAAGCAGCCTGGGCAGGCTTTAGATCCAGAGCATGCCGCTTACTTGGAGGCGGGTTCATGGATCATGGTCGCCTGTGCAGTATTGCGCTGATTCTTGTGACCGCGCCCAAACGATTCGATGGGTTTAGGCTGTCCCAACCCTCTTCCTCGCAATCCAAAAGAGATCCGAAGCCTCAAACTCCGTTTTGTCAAATTCCCCCCCCCCCCCCCCCCACCCTCCTCCCCGCTTCCTGCAGAACCTTTCTTGGGATCTTCCTGACTGATCCCTCCCACCAGACCCCTAGACCTCGGAGCCCCCAAGCCACAAGCCCCCCAAGCAGCTCAACCATTCAGCCCGCAAATCCTAAACTCCTGAACCCCCTGCTGCTATTTATCACTGTGGTTTGTTTTAGGGGATTTCCTGATTGAGAGAACACCCCGCCTTCTAAATCAGGTCCCCTTGTCATCACTCGTCAATTCTTGAGGACCTTTTTGCAAATCAGCACAAACAATAGGACTCGATGCACTCTGCATACACAGAGGCCTTCAGCCTTTGGTGCTTGCGAAGTCGCGGCGGGCCTGCGGAGGTCTTTCGGCCTGAGGCTCAGGACGGCGAGGATTCGTTTTGGTTTGGGGTTCCGCGAGTCTTTCAACTCTTTCAACATTCAGAGTTGTACTGGGGCACATGGCCCGACTAAGGGAAATTGACCTGGAGGGCAGCGGGACGGTGAGCCAGTGCGAGTTCGTGAAGGGCCTTACAGTCCGGGACTCGTGTCGCACCGCCCGAGAGAGCTTCAGAGGAACGAATAATCCCTAAAGACGCAGGTGATGCAGGATGCTTGTGAGAAGTGGCCACTGAAGGCTCTAGGGTTCTTCGATGATGAGACAATTCCCGAGGGCATCCGGACAGAGGTCGGTGTCTTGAGTGCGCCAATGGGTCAGAAGCACAAAGTCCGGCCAGCCTCTACATTCGCGCGACGGTGAAACGACTTTGGGGGCACCCAAGTGCTTTTCTTACTCAGCAGCGAAGGAGCTTCTCCTGAAGAACCTGTATCCCTTGATTGTCACTGGTAGGCGCCTCAGCGAGTCCGGGTTTAGGACACGGAATATACACTGCACACTTACACAGCACGTAGGGGATATCTATATACATATACGTGTATATGTATATGTATATGTATACGTATATGTATATGATTGTATATGTATATGTATATATACATGCATATACACATATGCACATACGTGATTTTTGTATGGCATAATTTCGAACCACCAAAACGGTCACAAACAATGGGTGTTTTTCACATTCCTACGTTATAGCAAGTAGTATTCCTCGAAGTCTCTTCCGGGGCTCATGTTCTGCAGCTGTTTGTAGGTGAGTTGCCTTTGTTTGCATATGTTGGTGGAGATTTCTTTCAGCCAGCAGAGGTCCCCCAACCCTTGAATCCTATTCATCCTGAACTGTAAGCCACACGTGTCGAGGTCATTGCATCAGCATCGACGACGTCCTTTTCTTGGAGAAGGCAGGCGATGGGTTGGCCATTCTTGAATGAACTCCGTAACAGAAACAGGTGGCCCGCAACAGGCACCAGGAATACAGCCCCAGACTGTAGCAGAAGACGGGGCCAGCTGTATCACGAAAAACGCTGAGACCTGGAACTGCACCCACTGCAGGTTTAGTTTATTTAGGGTTGTGGGTTCAGGGTTTCGGGTTTGGGGATAAAGGTTTTAGGGTTTAGGGTTTAGGACGGATTTAGTTCCACGGATTGCGGTTCTGAATACCGCAGACCTGGTTACCTGCCTGCACTGTTTTTGTTGCACGTCGCTGTGTACTCTCCATGTTTCTGTTGCGGCCTCACCCGTGTGCTAGACATTCCGAGACCTCACCCAGTCTCAAAGCGCATGTCAAACAATCCTAAAACCCCGAAGCCGTTAATGCTCAGCCCCTGGAGCCTTAATATTACAGCCGAGCAAGAGCACCGACACCACAAATGAGGCTGGGATCAAGTGAGTCTACAAATTGACAGGTTTCAACCTTTACGGAGACACATTAATTTTAACGCTACGCGACCCGCCTCGGCCCGGCCCAGCGCATCCGCGTGAGCATGGTGATTCCGCAGCGCCCAAGTCGCTGGACCCCAAGCAATAAGGGTTGGGTTTAGGGTTTAGGGTTCCGGCGGGCGGGCGGCAGAAATGAGGGGTGGAAGGGGGGTGCCTGCTAGGCGGGGTGGCGAACCTTCCGCTTTCAGATTGTGGTCGCCCACGGAAGGGGTGCCCTTTCCAGGCAAAAGAAGGGGGCCGATGTGTGGCTTTGGGCTTGGTGGGCTTGGGGGGAGGATTTGGAGGGGGGTGCCTGTTCTGACCTATACACCTTCGGCCCGAGGCCTCGGCAGCACTAAACTAGGATGTAAATTGAGGGTTTAAGGGATTTAAGGACCTCCCTATGCCCATGTGCCCAAGCCCACTACGCCTTCCAGGACAAGGTGAAGCGTGCGAAGATTATCCGCCAGCTGCAGCGGATACGAGACCAGGGCATCGAGGCCAGCTCTAGACGGCGAAAACACCCAAGGGCCCATACATCAGAACCCGGTAACCCTCAAAAGGGAGGTCAGGGACCATATTAAGGGACCATGTGACCATGTAACTATCCTTAGATGCCAAGCAACCCAAAAAGCCAGCCTCGCATCGCCGCCAGAAGCAATCGAAACCCTCGAGGCTCAACACTAAACTCTCTACACCCGAAACTTCAACAGCCACTGGCCATGGCCGGGAAGTGGGGTTCGTGACTATGACATTTGTATGGTTCCCCTCCAAGGTTCAACTTGCAGTTTCCGGCAGAACTTCTTGCTGACTTGTCCACAAAGGCAACAAAGCGAGAACAGGTTGGAAAACTAGGAGCCGCAGGACATGGCGCAGCTGCCACCTAGTTGTAGCCCTTGAGACAACTTCGTTTGGCAGCCTTTCTGCAGAGGCTGGGCCCGAACCCTTGCGCAACGAAGGGCAGCGCATGCTCTTCAAGCCGGCCGCTGAGCTTGGCATGAGCCCTGCCCAAAAAGCTTAGGTCTTTGTTTTAGGTTGACATTTCCGCAGTGTTCCGGCCGTGCGTCCCTGTAGTGCATACGGACCGCTGCGAGAGCGACAAGTAGACTTCAACCAGTGCGCTGAGTGTCTGAAGAGAGAGAGAGAGAGAGAGAAAAGCGTCAGAGTGTGAGACAGAGAACAAAGAAACGGAGCGAAAAGAGAGAGAGAGAGAGAGAGAGAGAGAGGGAGGGGGCGAGCGAATGTAGTAGCGCCGGGTCCAACCGTGTAAGCGCCTGTCGTAGTGGTCTCACTGGACCTGACTCAGCCTCGGGCGCGCTCCGTGCGCGGGGGGGCACCCCTAAGCCCAGCAGAAGAAGAAGAAGAAGAAGAAGAAGAAGAGAGAGGGAGGGAGCGAGGGAGGGAGGGAGAGAGGAAGAGAGGGAGAGCGGGAGAGCGGGAGGGAGGGAGCTTTGCGAGGCTGTCCATGTCCACAACGCAGCTAGGAGGCGCCTTTTTGCTCGTTTGAAGTCTGTGGCTGTGTGTCATGAGATGGTCGTCCTGCCAGAGCATTGGAAGTGCAGGATTTCAGCTGCTGCACAGGCAAACACTGGAAGGGCGTGAAGTCCAAAGTGGCTCGCGGGGCAGGGAATATGCCTGGTTCCCCAAACTTCCGCCACAGGCTCAGTCAGCATGATGCGTAGATAGCTCCAACACCGGAAGGCCGTGCGGTAACCCCAAACTGAGATCCTGCAGAGTCCGAAGTGCACAAGGCCGTGTGTCATGAAAACACCTATAGACTCAATGTGGACCACGAGTCCAGTAGTGCAGTCAGTCCATCTTCGGTTGTTGTAGCTCTATACTCCTGTAAGTGGAGTACCAAAACGCCACGGCCGGGCAAGCACAACGGGAGTCAGTGCTTCAAGACACGCTGTCGAGTCGGGACTTCTGGCCGAAGGATGGTGTGACACCTTCAACTGAAACTGACAAAGCTCAACTCAAAACCTCAAAATTAGACCCAAACATCTCTACTGCCAAGGGCCCAACCTCACGTGGCTCGAGCAGATCTCCCTGGCCCGAGCTCCGAAGGCTCGCGAGACAGGCCAGGCCAGTTCGTTGTTTCACTCTTTTCGCTCTCATGGAACCTCGGGGGTTTGCAATGGGATTTATGTTCTGGTTGGGCTTGGCAGGAAGGGATTCTCAGAATTTCTCAGAGTTTGGGGCTGGCTTTGGCTTAAAGGAGATGGCAGGTTTGGCAAGAGCTTGGAAAATGGGAGGCTACCTCGTGTCGTCTCGCGGCATAATCGGGGCAACGCACAGACAGCATGTTGTCCAGCCTACCTCTGGCTTTTTGTAAACGATCTGCAGATAACAGGGCGTTCCATCGTGTTCCGTCCATGCGTGCAGCTCATTTGGGCGCCTTGATAGAGCTTGGGCACACCCGTCGCAAGTCCGTGGTCAGCCACAAATTTTCCGGAAGATGAACCGATGAGAGCCGTATCAGACCCCAAGCTGAGCACAGGCTTCACGAAAACCGGGCACCTTTCCGAAGCGCCCGAAAAACGAGAGTGGAGATCCGATTTTTTTCGGAGAGCGCCACCTTTGAGGAAGGCCACTTAGGCCACTTGCAGCTGTGCTGTGTGTCGGCTGCCCGCTGACAGCTTTCTGCCACCTCCATGGCCCATGTCGCTGAATGCACTCCGCCGTGCCTGCAACTCGAAGCACCGCGCTTGTGCCTATGGTGTTGGCTTCGTGTCTTTTTCAAGCCGTAACACAGTGAATATGTCCTTTGGAACTCAAGCATGAAGATGTGCAATTTCAGGGCTTGATAGAAGTCCAGGTTGAGAGTATGCTGCAGACAGCAGACCCGTGACAATTCCTAGGACTACACTAGCGCTTCCGTGACCCACCAGGTGCAGTGAGCCACAGTCATTCTTCGCCTACCTTGCCTTCTGTGCCACAGCGGACAGACCCTCAGCATATCAAAGAAGCTTGCTGTAGCCCGCGTTGTGCCAGATGCGTCAGCGACCATCCGTTAAACCATTAAGCAGGAACAAAGAACCCAGTGTGCTTTCAAGCTTAAGGGCAGCACCATAAACCTGATTCAGCTATATTAAGCTCGTCATCTCCACAAGGCATCTCCGCCAGCAGAATTTTTGTGTTACGGGGCTTTGGGGGATTTGGGGGCACCTGAAGCCTCGGTCTCAAGCTTGAACCTCTGACCCTAGGCAACCCGCTGCGTGAAGTTGCATGAGCTACTCCCAAACGGAGCGAGCTTCTGGAACCATGCCTCGATAGAGAGAGAGGAGACCATCACCGTGGGCAGGAGCTGTACGGAGAAGATGCCTTGGGTCCTGCGACAGCACAACCGGATACTGACCATAAGAGGGACGGAATGGTGGACGTCGATCTGCGAAGCTGGGATCCAAGTTGTAAGCAAATCACAACAAATCTCACCGACAAACCGACATCTGCAAGTCTGGCCGAACGTTCCAAACATGTTATAACCTGCCTCTTTCCGGCGTGATCCGATATGGATGCTGCAAATTGCTGCAGAGGAACTCACTCCGTATGAGCCCCTTACAAAGTTTCCCATGGCCGTTCTAGTTGAAACCTCCAACCGTGCGGATGATATATATATATATGTATATATATATATATGCATACGAGGAGCTGTAGCAGTGGATTCCTTTCTGACCCGAAGCTCCGAGGCCTGGCAGAGCTTCCACCTCGCCCTGTGGCCAGAAGCCCCGCCGCGGGCCTTGTCAGTTCTCCTTGTGTTCTCGCTGCCGTCGAAGTCTGATGTGTTCAGACGTGTCTGCGAGCGCATGGGGAAAGATTCTGGGCTGGCGGAACAAAGGCTTGTAACAGGCCTCCCCTTCGCCCCTCAGACGGCCGCTGTAAGGATGTACTGCCAGTAAAGGCTGTACGACAAGAGCTTGAAACGAGCTGCCGCGACCGGTACCCAGCCATAGGTATGGCATATCATATGACGCGCTCAGGCTCCGGCAGCTTGATGCTGGATCCCCTGCCTGGCCCGCTGACGGCCCTGAACCCAGCACATTTTTCCTACACGCCCCAGTTCTCGAAATGATTTGTGCTCGAGCGGGTGCCATAGGTCCAGACTCATGACGCACCATTTACCGCGTGACCACATGTACAATTTCTATGCGGCTGAGAGAGTCTGAAAGATGTGTTGTCTGAGGCCCCGCTTCTGCCGCTGATGTCCCTGCCGCTGCTGTCTGCCACGAAGCCCAAGCCATCTAAGGGAGCCATGCGGAGCAAGCCTTCGCCCTCCCTGTCGAAGAGCGTGTCCTTCTCAGACATGCGCTTGCTGAAGCAAAGGCGCGTTGAAATGTTGGCCTCCGTGGCAGTGCAGTCCTTCTCTCAGAGTTCTGAGCTGCAGCCTCTGGAGTTCAACCCATTTCTGGACCAGTGTCTGCTTGGCGGCCTTCTGGAAGTTGGACGGCCTGGGTATGCCGCGGAGCACCGAGCTGCCGCTGAAGGATCAGTTTTCGACCCAGCGGGCTTGTTGGAGGAGGACGAGGCCGGGCGTTTCTGCGGGCTCCATCCTGTCTTTCCCCCCACGATAATCCCGAATAATTCCGAATCTTCCAGGTCTTTGAGAAGGGCCTCTTTGACATGTCGATCAACAACGGCCGACTGGGTTTGCTGGCTGCCGCCATTACCGGAGCAGAGCCTGAGGAGGAATTCGATGAGGAGGACCTAGGACATATTCTGACAAGGTCTTGGTGTGACAAATGGAGGGGAACCCCCCCAATATAGCCCAAGAAACATAGGTGGGCATGTTGACGCCCTCCCCGCCCCCCCCCCCCCCCCCCCCCCCCCCCAAAAGGGTACAGTCCACCCCCCCCCCCCCCCCCCCCCCCCGGCCCTATTTCCGGAAGCCCACGATAGGTCCGTGAAGGTCTCTTTTCACTCCTTTCAAGAGACCTTTGCATTGCACAGCTAACAGCTCAGCTAGGAGCTCCTTATGAGCCTCTGGTACTTGAAGAAGCGGCGGGGCTATCACAGCTTTCCCACGCACGTCAAGGCACGCATCTTGCTTTTGGGACGCTTCGGTCGACTGCGTACTTCTAGACTCCCAGGCGGCTGCTACCGTCCTTAGGCTTCGGATCATTTTTTGGCCATCGGTCCTGATGTGTCGTTCGTTGGCAGGGCCGTCGCTACTTCCCGATTCCCCGGCCAGCTTGTGTGCGGCTCTGAGCGGCGCTTGGGACATGGGCTCTGAACATGCTTCCACAAATCTTCAGAGTGAAGTTTGGGGTGCAGTGGTTGCTGTGCGTTCCAACAAGCATTCAACAAAAACAAAAAAGTCACGAACCTTGCCTCAGTGTTGGATTTCATATCGGCCTTCTAAGAAGGCTGAATGTACAGAGATGTACAGAGGGCGCGGCGGGTCCGAGCCTGGTTTGGGGCTCGGGAGCAGGGTGTGTGAACTTTGAAGAGGTAGATCTGTTTCTTTTCTACGAAGATTGCCATTAAGCCAATTGGTTTCTGATGAGGTGCTCTAGCCTTGGCATTCTTGTTTTCCAGCTGCTTAGTGGAAATTCTTCGTGACCCTGCAAGTCACGCCCAGGGCCCAGTACAGTACAGTTTCACCCTGAGGAGGCGCAACGAAGGAGCTGCTCTTCCTTGGAAATGTGCCATCTGACACACAGTTCTGAAGCCTGCACTTATGAGGAGCACGAACTGCAATTAGTCCAGAGCATTCTTGTACGTGTATGCTTGCCTAGCCCAACCAACCTCCATTGTGACCTGCGCGAGTGGGCCTTCGGGTTTGGTACCAGAACGGCGTTCAAAGCTGATGGGCCTTCGGAGGCTCCGCCTTGCACGCTCAGGCTCACAGAGGCTCCCATCGAGCGAAAGTCTGTAAACTGCAGCAAATCCTCACAGAAAGTCCCAGGGATGCCGGAGAATCCAGCAAAGGATCCCGAACTCAGAGAATCCGCATGCACGGATGTGTGGAAGATGTGGAAGGCATAATGTTAACGCTACTTTTGGCTCAGCATCAACCGTAGGCTGCCTTCAAGCCCAGGCGGTACAGATGTGTATATGTCTGCGGGCCAGCAGCACCTAGCAGTGAGCCCCAGGCCCGTTCAACTGAAGACATTCAATGTGGCCACTTAACATGTCAGGACAGAGGCGAGCACATGAGCAAAGTCCCGTTGCCTTCCACCATGATCAACGAAAATTGGCGCCGACTGAGAATAGTAATAATTAATAATAGTAGTGATAATAGTAATAATAGTAATAATAGTAATAATAGTAATAATAGTAATAATAGTAATAATAGTAATAATAGTAATAATAGTAATAATAGTAATAATAGTAATAATAGTAATAATAGTAATAATAGTAATAATAGTAATAATAGTAATAATAGTAATAATAGTAATAATAATAATAGTAATAACAATAGTACTAAGAAGAAGAAGAAGAATACTAATAATAATAGTACTAAGAAGAATAACAATAATGATAGTACTAAGAATAATAATCGTAATAAAAATAGTAGTAATAATAATACTAAGAATAATAATCATAGTAATGGTAATAACAATAGTAATAATAAGAGTAATAGTAATAATAATGATAATAAGAGTAAGAAGAGTAGTAATAGCAATAATAAGAATTACTAATAGTAGTAATGATAGTACAATTAAATCATGATTTAATTGCAAATAAAATTAAATCATGATTTAATGGTGCGAATAGGTGCCAATTAGCAGATTGTTGCTGCCGAAGCCAGGCGAATTAATCTGTTCAGATTGGCATCGGCTGCAGTAGTGTTGCAGTCTCTGCGTTTTGCGCAAGTTTTCGACAAGGGCCATGTGTGAAGGTGCTCTTAGACTCTTCCCCGCTCTTCGAAATCTCCGTCCCAGCCTGAGCCTTTTTGTGCAGAGCGAGGCCCTCAGGAAGTTGGTGCTTCACAAGATGAGCTTGACATACTAGACATACTGTTGTGACACAGCTTGTGCAGTCTTGTCTCTAGATCTCCCTGCGCTTGTCGCCTTGAGCATTTGGCTTAAGCGCCGCCTCTCGTCTTCGGCAACTTCGGCAGCTTGTGCAACGCTTGTACAACGTGCAACGCTTGCGCTACAATGGCTGGGAAGGAGGGCCAAGTTCCGAAGTCCGGTGCCCGGGAATGGCTCATGGTAGTATTGGGAAGTTTGATGACCTTCTTCTTCTCCTTTTACTTCTATGGCTGGGCCTCCCTTCAGGCGCTTCTACTGCGTTCGGTCAGATGTCGAGCCAGATGTAGATTAAGAAATTGGAAGGCTTGCCAACGTGCTAGATCTGCTTCTCTCCCGTCTGTTCTGGAGAGTTGCTGGCAATGCAAGCACATGTTGGAAGAAGTCAGAACAGTCAGAAGAGATGTATCCGTAGCCTTGAGCTTCTTGTCTTTATCAGAGCTTAGAGCCTCTTTTGTTTGCCAGTCGCGAGGCGCTCTTGGAAGAGGACGGCGTCTACGCGGAAGTGTGCCAGGTTGAGGACTCCGTTCAGGGCTCCTGTGCAGAAAGGACCAGTCGGATGATCCTGCTCTTTACAGTGTGCAACCTGGTGACCGTGTTATCCCTCGCTCTGCTGGGACTTTTGGTGGACCGGCTGGGTCCAGCTCGTCTGTCGCTGGTGGGAGGCACGTTTCAAGCAGGGGGCCTCTTGCTCCTCGCATCCACTCCATCCACTCCATCCACAGCTATGCAGGCTATGCACTCTCCCTTTGACGGCTACGTGCTGGCGTTCGGCTTTATCGGGGTTGGTGGGGCGGCTTTGACCGTACAAGCCATGAAGCTCCCCTTTGTGGTCCCTCCAAGACACTTTGCCTTGGTGATGACGTTGCTGAACTGCCTCGTGGATTCATCATCTGTGGCACCCCTTGGCCTCTACCGATTGTACCTGGCAGGCTTGTCAGAGTTTTTGTCGGAATGTGTCACACCAGCTCGTGGTTGAGGAAGGCACCTCACAAGTAAAGACGGCTCAGGGGAGATGGTAAAGCCAAAACGGGTGCATTGAGCACAGTCCAGCAGCAATCCGGAAGCTAATTTAGACGTGAACACGTGTGCTCGCATAGAAGAACCCTCAATCTTGCAACATCACCCACATGTGGAAACGTGCAGGCCTCTCCCGCTTCAGCATCTTCGCGGGCTACGGTGCCGCGTGCCTCCTCTTGAGCCTCTGCCTGGCCTTTTGCTGGTGGGGCCGGCCCGAGGCCATCTTGAGGGCACTAAATGCAGAGGAGCTGCGGGCAGCAGAACCAGTAGAGCCAGTGGAGCCAGTACAGCCAGCAGAGCCAGCAGAGCCAGTAGAGCCAGCAAAGCCAGCAGAGCAAGAGGTGAACCTGAAAGCACCAGAGGGTCCGGGAACTCGCCCGCGCCTACATGGGCTAACCCTATGGCAGCAGATCTGGTCGCTTGAGTTTGCTGTTGCTGCAATCTTTCTCACCACGCAGTTTTTTCGCAGCAGCGCATACCTTGGCATCAACAAGGATTGGCTGGCGTCATTAGGAGATGACGAAACGGAGAATACCTTCGCCCAGCTCTTCACGGGGCTCCTTCCGGCTTCGACCCTCCTGGTACCCTTGTTTAACCTTAGCTTCGCTCGTGGAGGCTTTGCCTTTACCTTTGGCCTCGTGATGATCCTTGGCTTTGTTTGGGGTTTGGTGGTCTTGGTGCCTTGGCTACAGCTTCAAGTCGTGGCTTTCAGCGCTTTCACCGTCTTCCGGGGCCTCCTCTTTGCAGTCTTCTTCACGTTTGTAGGCCATAGCTTCGGGAATCGAACCTTCAGCAAGATGACCTCCGCGTGTTTCTTGCTGTCTGCCGGCATGTCTTGGCTCATTTGGCCCCTTGCCGATCTCTCCCGGAGTCTCACAGACGGATCAGACGGCTTTGCGCTCTTTAATCTTTTCATGCTCGCCCTCAGCCTGCCTTCGGTCTTCATGACGTACCTCCTTGCTAAGCATCTCAGGCAGTACCCAGCTGGAGACATCTGTGTTTGCCCAGGACCAAAAACCAAGGCTGAAGGGGAGGCAAAGGAGGCAAATGCGGCGAAAGGTGCAAAGGAGCCTTGCGCCTCTTGGTCGACTCTGGAGTATGCGTACTTTTGAGAGAAATGTACCGGGGGCGGGGACCCGGGCCGCAAGGGCTTCAAGGGTAATCACCCTCGAGTCTCTTGTTCGGGCCCGCTCGTCCCGCCGTCCGCAAATCAGAAGACACCTAACTGTAGAATCCAAAGATGTCACTGTGTCATACCATGTGTCATACCATGTTATGTAATTCTTATATCCTGTGGCATGCCATGTTAGACAAGCGGCTCCACTCCGAGTCACCATCCGAAAGCCCGTGGCTACCATCGGCTTGCCAACAAGTTGCATCCACACCCGATTTTGGAGCTTTGGGCATTTTATAGCAAGCCACGCTTGTTCTAAGTTAAGGCCAGATGACTCTACAAGTCGTTTGGTTGACTTTTAAGAATTTTTCTCCTGGTCAGGCTGGTCAGGCTGGTCACTATCACAGATGGTACTTAGCTTGCTGAGCTTGGAATTCGCGAAGTTCTCTCTTGACATCGGCTGTCAGCTTTCAAGCAATTCAAGCATCAGGTGTTGTCACAGCAGCATCACGTAGCATCTTATCCTTAAACTTGAGAAACAGATTCTTGGAAGCCAGAGCCTTTCGCTTCCAACTTCACTCTTGGATTCAGCTGCTTAGTGGCCTGCTGATTCGAGTTTTGAATTGGATCGTCTTTTCATCTTAGCATCCGTTTAGTTTTCTCCCTGCCGCTGTAATGAAGCCGAAACTCTGTTATGCGGACTCGGCAACGCCGAATGTCAAGTTCAGGCATACATGCAAGTTCACAGAACTGCGTAGACGCATCGCAGGATTCGGCTGCCGCCTGCGGCTTGAGGGTAACGGTTTTCCAGACGACTTAATCCTAGGGCTGAGGGCCCTCCTACTGTAGTGGGCCTCGTGAGGTTTGAACGATGCTGCGCTTGATGGAGCTACAAAAAAGGGGCGGAAATGGGTGGAACGAAACCATGCGTCGTACGTGAAGGCAAAGTCCTCCCAGCTTGGGTTTGTTGATGCGCTCAGGTTCAGCGGAGACGAGGCTGCCTGACGATGGCCATCCGGCTTAGGTAGTATTGCCGTTCCAAGCAGGGCACTGAACGAAGTGTGCACCTGTCCCGCCCCAATTGCTACTAACCTGTCCTGAGTGACATGGGTCAGAGACCTCGTTCAGCGACCCATGCGGACACGTGAGTGGTTTCGGTGCCACGGAGATCGAGATGAGTTTGGCAAAAGCGATTCACTTTGCAGCTTGATCATGCTCGATGTTTCATGTGCTTTGGTCCATGTTCCATGTTGTGTGCCACTTTGCTTCAGCATTGCAGATATCGCGAATTGCTCTCGCATGCTCCAGAGTAGCGAGATTGTATCCAGCCCAGCTGGCCTGCACTCGGTCCAGGCTTGGAGCCTATTCGTTGAAATTAGATGAAGGGATCCGAGCTCAGAAAGCCGTTGAATTGAAAAGCCTGTTTGAAGCTAGTGCTGTGGTTAACAGAGGCACTTACTCGGACTAACTTTCGGCGAGGATATCAGAATCCTGGGCAGGATTCATGCAGCATGATGGCTCACAGAGGTCCCGTTTAGATGCAAGCCAGCAAACCACGCACATGCGCTTTACCAGCATCGCAATCAATGCATGCGGCAAAGTCAGCAGACGAGGATATGCGCAGTCAAATACTGACCCTCTGGTAGTATCTGTGGTGGTTGCCACTTCCTCAGACTCTCGTCAAACATGAAGCCGGTGCCTTACACAGAGGCCTCCTCTATCACCTCAGAAAGTTTGAAATGTGCAATTCAACCAGTCAGATTGCAACTGATACTTGGCGGTTTAAGGTTCGGAAAAAGCATTGGCAGCCAGCAAGAGGCGGGGTTCCTCCGCCTTGCCCGACGCTCTGGCAGTAGCCAGCAAGGTTGTGCCGCCCCAAGAGGCACAATAGCAACATCCGCAATATATTGGAATAGAAACACCACATACCAAGAGTTGGCGGAAATCGAAGATCGCTGTGCCGCAGCATGCAGCATGCAACAGGGCTTGGGCTCAGGGCCACGCCGATCTCCATTACGTCGAGTATAAACTGCTGAAGAAGAAGTCCCGGCCCTGGACGCGCTGCTCAATCGACCTTGGAGCCTGTAGATGCCACCTCGGCCAGTCTCACTATTCTTCGGTGCCGGGGTATAGAAGCACATAGAATCGAAGCCATAGAGGCGCCTAGAAGTTTGGGACGCTGTCGGTTAGGATCAAAGATGTTGTCGGGCGCCTCCAGATCAGCGAGCTGGCAGAGGCTGGAAGCAGACGGGCGATTAACGCTGTAGGGCTTGTTCGGTTCAGTGTACGGGGGGAGGGGCTCGAAGATGTTGGCGCGAAAGACGCGGAAGGCCATTGGTGATGCTGCCAAGGTTTTGCGCAAACTCGACCTGACGACTTCAGCCCGGCACAGCCCCAGCCGCTCAAAGCGGTTGTCTGGAGGCTCTGACCGCCAACACGGCCTTCGAGGAGGAGCTGGCTGCAGAGATCGGCCGCGTTTCGGGCCTCGGGGGATCTCGGGGCAGGATGTTTTGTGGTAGGGTAGTGTCAGATTCACTCCAGATGGCGCATTCTCTTTCCACCTGTGGTTGAAGCAAGTGAGACAGCAGGGGGATCTTATCACCCAGAGGCAGAGTTCGGCCGCCTGTCACGTCCCTACCAAACTTGCAACGTCTTATTGCCTGATGCCTTCGATGGCCTGCAGAGCTACCACCCTAAAGCCCCAAGAAGCCAAGCCAAAACCTGAAACCGCAGGTGAACCAGTGCTTCTCGCGAAACCAGCAAGATCTATTGGATAGGACAGCTGCTGTTTAGGTCAAGAATGCTAAGCTGCTAAGGCTGCTACCGAGGGGTTACATTTGGGAGAGATTCGGTCAAGCAGTACAGCAGGTTCCAGAATCATGGGACTCTGAAGTGCAGTGGCAGTTTTCGATGATTCAGATTGCGCCAAATCCTCCCAATCGGCCTGACTCCTTCAGCCAGCATGTGACATGTGTCTTAAATGTATCGAAATCCTAGAGCCTGCTCCCCTATGCAAACTCGGCCACAGCCCAAAATGTTTCAGGACAGCGCAGCTTGCCGAGGAGCTCCATGAGCGAAAGGCCGTTTGTGGTGTGGAATCAGATAGGAAGCTGGGCATAAGGGGTTAATTTTTAAGCTACGCGACCCGCCTCGGCCCGGCCCAGCGCATCCGCGTGAGCATGGTGATTCCGCAGCGCCCCCCAAGTCGCTGGACCCCAAGCAATAAGGGTTGGGTTTAGGGTTTAGGGTTCCGGGTTTATGGTTTATGGTTCAGGGTTTAGGTTTGAGGGTTAGTTTAGGGTTGAGGGCTTAGGGCTCAACGTTCACGGTTTGGGGTTTAGGGTTTTTGGGTTTAGAGTTCAAGGTTCAAGGTTCAGAGTTTAGACGGTTCAGCCTGGACAGCCGGGGGGGGGGGGGGGGGGGGTCACGGCAGCGCGGGGAGGGAGGGGGGCAGGGGTGGGCGACAGAGGATTATCGAGGAAGGGGACCTAAGACAGCGCCCAGGACTTTCTTTCAGCATTGTCGGCCCTGCTAGTTGGACTCTGTCGTTGCAGAGTTTCCCGAAGGATTTGCTTGTGATGCGGGTGGAGCACGGAGCACGGAGCACCAAAGTTCCATTTTGTGTGTCCGGTGTGGAGGCCAAAAGCTCTGGGGCATGTGCTCGAGTACTGGTTTACGAAAGTTTCGATATCGCTCAGATCTTGGAGAAGGAGACGGGAGATTGTCTGCGTGGCACTCATGAAACCCCTCAATCTCGGAATCCCGGAGAATATCCTCTTTGAAGCTTTTTTGTTCCTTGCACAACAAACACACGAATGCTTGAAAAACCCATACAAAACCACCCATGTTATTGTACCTGCCGGGTAAACCACAAAAAAACCTAGGGTTTAGGGTTTAGGGTTTACAAACGGGGAACCATGGGGTGGGCAGGGGGCGTGGGGCAGCGACGATGCACCACAAAAGCATACCCGTATGTGTGTTTGTACACATACACATACATTTATACGGCCTTCCGTGGTCCTGCACAAACCATCAAAAACACTGCCGAGAGCATGCCAGGGCTGTGGCAAAGAAGACGGAGGCTGTGGGACTGTTATGTGCGAGCTGCTATGAACGCGCACCTGTATGTGCTACTGGGGTGCCTTATGTGAGAGGGTATTGCCAGTATGTATTGCATGTGGCGTACGCCTCAACAGCCATGACGTTTGCGCAATTCCAACATCCCGGCTGGGAGCGACAAGCGTGCAACAAATAGGCAGAGCGGCCTCGTCACGGGCCGATGCAGCCGACGCAATGAGGCGCGTTAGTATCTCTGTTGGTCGCTTGTCTTCGCTACATGCCTCTGTGCCCATCTTGCTTCCCTGCATCTGCATGATGCTTGACCCCTCTTTGTAGTTGTAAGCCATAGCCGCACACTGTCGCCGTCAATTAATTCATGGTATTTCCTTTGAACGGACCCTAAACTCCCAAAGCCAACGGCTGGCCAGACACCTGGTGGACATCCTGCAAGAGGCACGGTGAGAGCTCCCGTTCAGTGTTCGCTATTTGTAAATGCAGGTTTTTGTGCGATTGGGATTTGACGTTGGGGCCTTTCCTTGAGTTCACAAGGCTAAACCCTTGCAAGATTGGGAGGAAAGCATTCAACAGGTTCTATCGACAAGAGTACGTACTGACTAGACAAATATGTTCCAAGCAACTCCCTCTGATGATCTGATATGCCAATGTTGATGATGGCTTTGTTCGCCAATGAAAGTGAAGACGGACGGGCTGCTTGGTGAGGTGGACCAGTTGAGGAAGTATGCCGTTTGGAATGCAGTTGCGGTGGCCAGGGCCTTGGACCACTGCCACCCGACACCCTCATATTCAGGAACCATCACAAGAGGATGCTTCGACAATATGGTCCTCAAAAAGATCAGGTCGTGAACCGTAGTAGTCACCCCGCATTGACAGCATGCATGGATGATGTGGTCACTGCGACTGCAAGTCAGCCTTCTGCGGCAAGGAGCGCAGACGGGAAATCAGATCGGAGCCGAGCTACTACAATAAGTCAACCCTCATACGGTGATGCGCGATGGGGCGATGGTGGTCGTTCCCTGCAGCGTGTTACTCGAGCTGTTAATGTGCTTTTGACTTATCAGCACAGACTTCATCTGCGACTCGCCCTAGCTGGTAGAGTGGCCAGAGCTGCCAAAGCATCAAATCACCCAGGTGAAGATCCTCAAGAAGCGACGGAAGCAAACCAGCGCGGCGACCCGGGCGACCTGCAACCGAACAGTCGGGGTCGCATCTCTTAGTGTCTTCGGGCATTCTTAGGCGCAAGCAGATTGCAGATAGTGAGTCGACCATGCCTGGTCTGTAGCAGTTTGCATCGCATCTCTTACACAGGGCTGGGAGCCACATCCAAACCATGGGGGGGAGCCTCGGACCCGAAATTTTGCCCAAATTTTCAAGACCGTCTTTCAGTGCCACCAGCAGGCTTCGGGATTGAGGACACAGCCGCAGAGAGAGCCGGATGGCTGTCGCGCAAGGGACCCAGGGTTTACGTTTTAGATTTTAGTGGTTTGGGGTTTTTTGGCAGTCAGGAGTTGTAAGCAGTGCCGGAGGTTCGCTTGTTTACGCACCTGAGGTGTTTTCGCTTCGTTGTTTAAGATGGCTTTCACCTTACAATAAACTGTAAACTAAACAAATAAATGCTACCCCCCCCCCTCATAGGCCCACGTTTTCGCGTGTTTTAGCGTGTTTTACACACAAAAAAGCATAATTTACTACTTTTTTCTGCCCAGATTCCTTCTCATTTTAACAGGATTTCTATGAATTATAACAGGTTCTTTGTAATTTGTTAAGGGTTCCTATTCATTTTAATAGGTTCCCTATTATCTTTTCTCGGTTCCGAAAAATATTGGCAGGATTCCTACGAATTCAATAGAGGATTCCTATTTATTTTCATAGGATTCCAACAAAGTTTCATAGGGTCCATGATTTTTATAATGAGGCTCCTACTACTGCAATAAGATTCCTATCAGTTTTAGGGTTCTTATTCATATTAATGGGATTCGTAAGGCTCATATTCATTTAGTAGGATTCCTATTAATTCTTGTTAAAGGAATCTTATTCTTTCATAGAAGTCCTATTGCTTCCCATTAATCTTAGTAAGAAAGCTTCTCAGTCTAGTAGGAGTCCTATGAATTACCAAGCGTTCTTTTTGATTTGTTAAGGGTTCCTTTTCATTCTAATCGGCTTCCCATTAGCTTTTATCCGAACACAATTTGATAGGACTCGTATGATTTCAATGAAAGGTTCCTACTTATTATCATAGGATTCCAATAAAGTTTCATAGGGTTCCTAAATATTTTTCATAAGGCTCCTACTCATGCAACAAGATTCCTATCAATTTCAGGGCTCTTACTCATGTTCATGGGATTCGTATTCATGTTTAATAGGGATCTCATTCATTTGAAAGGGATTCCTATTGGTTTAGGCTCACATTGATTTTGGTAGAATTCCTATGATTTAAGGGTTCACACTTTTTATGGGAGTCCCATTGGTACACCTGGAAGGCCTGAAGTGCTGTACTGTCCCAATCTTTTTGGGACAGTGAAGCAAAAACACCGTACTGTCCCAAAAAACTCAAAAAACAATCTTTTCAGGGTCTCCAGCTCAAAGATTGGGACAGTACAGCGTTTTTGCATGACTGGACCCAAAAAGATTGGGACAGTACAGCGTTTTCTGCACCTAGAAGGCCTGAAGTGCTGTACTGTCCCAATTTTTTTGGGACAGTGAAGCAAAAACACCGTGCTGTCCCAAAAAACTCAACAGAACCAATCTTTTCAGGGTCTCCAGCTCGAAGATTGGGACAGTACAGCGTTTTTGCATGACTGGACCCAAAAAGATTGGGACAGTACAGCGTTTTCTGCACCTAGAAGGCCTGAAGTGCTGTACTGTCCCAATTTTTTTGGGACAGTGAAGCAAAAACACCGTGCTGTCCCAAAAAACTCAAAAAACCAATCTTTTCAGGGTCTCCAGCTCAAAAATTGGGACAGTACCGCGTTTTTGCATGACTGGACCCAAAAAGATTGGGACAGTACAGCGTTTTCTGCACCTGGAGGGCCTGAAGTGCTGTACTGTCCCAATCTTTTTGAGACAGAGAGGCAAAAACACCGTACTGTCCCAATCTTTGGCCTGGAGACCCTGAGAAGATGGTTTTTTTGAGTTTTTTGGGACAGCACAGCGTTTTTGCATGCCTGGACCCAAAAACATTGGGACAGTACAGTGTTTTCGACACCTGGAGGGGCTGAAGTGCTGTACTGTCCCAATCTTTCAGGCTCAGACAAGCAAAAACCCTGTACTGTCACAATCTTTGAGCTGGAGACCCTCAAAATATTGTTTTTTTTTGGGTTTTTTTAGGACAGTACAGCGTTTTTGCTTCTCTGAGCCTAAAAGATTGGGACAGTACAGCGTTTTTGCATGCCTGGACCCAAAAACATTGGGACAGTACAGCGTTTTCTGCACCTGGAGAGCTTGAAGTGCTGTACTGTCCCAAACTTTTTGGGACACAGACGCAAAAACACTGTACTGTCCCAATCTTTGAGCTGGAGACCCTGAAAAGATTGTTTTTTTTGGTTTTTTTGGGACAGTACAGCGTTTTTACTGGTCTGAGACTAAAGGATTGGGACAATACAGCGTTTTTGCAGTTTCTATTTGGCCTGGAGGCCCTTAAACCCTAAACCCCTAAACCCTCCGGTGTAGCCAGGGCAGGCAAAACTATAGGAAAAGTGTGGGCCTATGGGGGGGGGTACCAAATAAATCCCTAAAGCAGAGCCATAAACTGCCCCAAACATTGTAAACCCCAGATGGCTTTGGGGGTTTCAGGCGATTGTGAATGCGCCTGCGCATGCACGAGTGAACCCAGGTCAGACCTTCTTTAGCGGCTCCGACTTCGCCGAGCTCCACGCGTCGATTGAGTCTTTAGGACACATGCCTTGTGCCCAGCGCCATGATGGAGTTCCAAGTTTTAGGGGTTTGGCCCCTCCTAAACCTAAGCCCGCTTGATCCAAGCACGAAGGCTGAGCCTTCAGACATCTTCAGACTGTACCACCTCTGCTTTCCGAGGCTTGTTCTCTCGGAGATCCAGTGCGAGGTTCGCGGACCCACCGCTTCATGGTAGCAACAATCAGACCGGACCAACGATCGAAACCCGAAGGGCCCCAAAATCACAATTAAACCCCGATAAACCCCATCGCCAGTCGCACTCAAGCCCGAAAGTCATGTTGTCAGTCGATGGGGCTGGTCGGCCGGTTGGGGACTTTGTTCGTGGCCGCTGCGCCGTGCATCAGCTTCGAGCAAAGCCTTTCCTATCGTCAACATTGCAATTTCGCCTGTGCTTGGGCCCACCCTGAGCCTCTACGTGAAGCGGACAAAGAAACCGCACAGGGACAACATCAACGGACAAAACACAGTTGCACTTTGCGGCACATGTCGGTGAGCTGGCCAGTCTTCAGGGCCTAGGGTCCGAAGCTGTTGTTGTCTTGTTTTTGGCCTACAAAAGGTACTCTCTGGCACCTGACGGGCCGTGTCCAAACATTGTAAACATTGTAAACTGTGCATGTGGGCCCTACAGTATGGGGGTAGCCTCGCTTTCAATAGCCGGATTGCAATTCTCAAGGATGATGGGAGCTCTATGATGTCCTTCGCAGCCGCGGGGCACAAGCTGCCACGCTGTGTGAGCATTGTGGCATATTTGCCATGGCAATGGCTGTATCTATGTAATTGTTGGTGGATCAGCGCCGAACAGTACAGGACGGATCATCGTGGCTTTCTTGCTGGTTCTCAATGGTTCAAGGCTTCCGACACAAGCTCTCTGATGTGATCTATTTGCCACGGTTCTTCAAGGTCCCTGTGCCACCACATGCAGTTCTAGTGGACGGCACAGCGAGTGCTGAAATTGCAGCCACCAACACAACTGAAGCGGCAGCCATCGAGCAGGCTGCCCCTCCATCTACCTTTGCTGTGCACGATTTCGCCATGTTCAGCGTGGGCGAGAACGTGACTTACCCTGGTGATGAGCGTGGCCAAGTGGTTGGTATCGATGAAGATGGCGATTTGCAGGTCGTCACTGATTCCGGCCGAAAAACGACATGGTATGGGTCCAAATGCTCCAAAGCACTGAGCAAGAGCAACAGAGTGAGGTACACCAGCGGTGAAGTGGCGGAACTTAAGGATTTCGACTCGAAGGGTGATCTGCTCGTGCAAACGCAAGATGGTAAGGTGGCACGCTGGTCCCGCGAAAACTCAGAAAGGATTTTGAGTGTTGGCGATCGGGTTCAGCACACGGGTGGCGAGGCGGCCCGTGTTGTCGGATTTAGTCGTAATGGCGACGTGATTGTCCTCAAGCAGGATAATGGCAGAGCAACCTGGCTGGCGGGCGAGTGCACATGACAGGCATCCGCTTTTGTGTAACATGATGCGTGGTCTTTTCCCGTGTATGGAACCTAGCTGCACGACAACTGGCTTCCAGGAGCTTTCTACCGACTGCTTGTGCAGAGCGAGAGTGGAGATTCGAGATGATTAATGGGATTTCTTATTGTATTTGGCTTAGCTGCATGATTCCACGTGGATCAGTGGTGAAGCCGAAGCTTGGTGCCTTATGTCGTAGGCATTGTGTAAGGAATGCTGCAAAATGTGCTTCTTGCAGCCAACGCAGCTGGCAAGTGAACAACCTTGAACGCTCATAGTTCTCCCACGGGTTTCAAAGAAACTGCAGTGAACTCGCTTTCCTTCTATCAAGGGCAGACGCTTCGTACCAAAATTGCATAAAATTGCTGAGAGACCAGCGGTGATGTGAACACCTGTGATTTTGTGTGCTTCCACTGTGTTTCCCTTCTCAAAATTTCATCAAAGCGCTGCTTTTCGGCTGTTGCGACTCGCAGGATGCCGGGCATGAGCGTGCCTTTCACTCGCAGTCCAATCAGGAGAGCGCACCTCAATTCCTCAGCCACCTCAATGCTTTGAATGCTTCGGGAGATTCGGGCGTGCCACTGCTTCAAACGATGCTTGACTACTTCATCATTTCGATCCGCTTTTTTCGGGTTCCGGTTTGCATGGCTAAGGTCATATGGGTATGGCAAAGGGACCGGTCCAAAACAAGAGTTTTTTTTCGCATTCAGTAGGTAAGGCTGGTTTGACGGCTTGGAGTCGCTTGGCCAGGAGCCGCAGCAGTGTCCCATCTGCCTCGACACCATCTCAGACATGGTGGAGCTCTCTTGTAAGCACAGGCCGTGCAGATGCGGCCCAACCCTACTTAAACCCTGAGGTTGTGCCTTGCTTACTCCGCCGTTGAAACTGGCTTAAATTTTGCAACTGAAACGGATCTTGTTCCTTCCTCCTCTTTAACAGATGGATAGTTGGAAAAGAGAACGAAGACAAGCTTGTCTTTAAAGATTCCCTGACTTTCTAGGGGTACCTCTCTTGGCTTCTTCGCCACCTTTGGGTCTGCCACAGGTTCTGCTGGAAGTGCTTCGTGCTCGGTTCGGAGCTTGTTCGGTCAGAGTAGCAGCCAAACAGTATTATGATGATGGTGATGGCGGTGATTGCGGTGGTGGTGGTGGTGGTGGTGGGTCACTGGTTTCGTGCCGATGTTTGTTATGCCTTGTCGCTCACTCTGCGTGTGTTGCTGATATTTCACATGAAAAGAGGAAGAAAGTTGGCAAACCCATGCGAGGCCCGATTGCCTTCCAGCCTGGGGAATATCGGATAACGCAGTGCCTTTGCCTGAGAGTTCTGCTCGACTGTTTTTGCGGCAGTGCCATCAAGAACCCGCACTCCATTACAATCCGATTGTCCGAAGATCGAGACAGTTTCGGTATTGTCCAGGCTGTGCACAAAAATTCCGAAATCCAATCTAAAGGCCTTTCTTGATGCTTGTATCTGAAGGCCCTATCTGCCGGCGCGAGACGTGCCAATCAGAGGCTGCCGCTCCTAATTCAAGATCTCCAGGCGTCAAAGATCGGTTTCGAGGTTCGGGGTTTGTGTTTTTATTGGCTTGATGGTTGAGCACGGTTTAGTGACATCTAGGGTTTAGGGTTGTTTTGCGGCCAGGAGGGCAAAGCGGATGGCTCTGCTGGAAGCTTACTGACCAGCTTACTGTCACCTTTTCCATATTAACCCTGACCCTTAACCTAACGCGCGTTTCAGAAGAGGTCAAAAGCTTCGAGGCCAAGCCTGTGAAACCCTGCCATGGAACCGGAACCCGCGAAACGCTTCGGAACGCAGCCCTAAACTGCCCTGAGCCCTGAGCCCCACAAACTCCACAATCCCGCCAAGCTCTCCCCTTCAAGTTGTGATTTCGGCCCTCGGCTACCAAGCCAGGGAGGCTTTTCGCAGAGATCTCTGTTCTCAGCTTGGTCCTGAGGCATGCCGGCAGCTCCCCGACATGCTGCAGGGCCACCCTCGCAATGCTGCTGTGGCCCGATTAGAAGTTGCTTTCGAGGATTCGAGGGACAGGGTCGCAAACAACTTTGCTTCGTTCCATCGATCCAGTTCGCCTTTGCTGTCGTTCCATTCTTACACCAGGCGGCTGGAAATGCGCTTATGAGCGGCACGTCCGAGGCTTACATCAGGCCTTTGCTGTATTCTAGAGTATTCTACAGTATGCAGCTGCCTCTGCAATCGCTGCCATACGTTGCATTGAGCTGTGTAACGATGCTTTGCTCCTTGCCCCTTCAGAACCTCCTACCCTGCATCTGATCTCCAACACTCAAACGACAGATAGATAGATGTTTGCAGACATGCGTAATGTGTGGTCTGCAGCGTGCCCCCGCTTTGCCTTGGCCCACATGAACTCTGCGTCGACATGCATTGCTGTGCCCAAGGCCGCAACCAACCCAAGAAGGCTTTCTGACACGCTTTCTCCACACCTACTTCCCCGACGAGGCGCCGTGTCACCGAGAGAGCATGCCCTGCTGAAGTGCGTGCGGATCCCGCTGCGCAATTGTCAAAGCCATGCAGACACGGTTATGACTTATGACGGCAAGTTTCTGAACTGCGCACTACTGTCGTGCCCTCTTTAGTGTGTTTCCCCCCCCCCCCCCCCGAACAGTCGAAGCTGTTTTTGTCCTTCTTTAACAGGCCCCAGGTTTTGCTTTTTTTTAGGTATGAGCTTATGTACTTTTTACAGGGTTCAAGAAGAAAGGATTAAGAAGAACAGCTTGAGGTTGAAGGATTCGGGGAGCCCCGCCCAACCTTAGTAGGGATTGCGATCTCTCCAGCCATCTCCACCCTTTAAGCCAAGAGGCGAGGTTCTTTAAAAGGGAAGTCTTGGTTTGGAATTCCGGCTTTTTGGGAGTCTTGGAAAGAAGGCCTGCCTGTAAGAGTTTCCACACAGCCGAGGCCAACACAGAATTTCAGCCAGAAAGTCACTTGCATCAGCAGATCCGGCCGTGATGCCAACCGCATTAGATCCGTATTGCACAAATCCATGGTCCGGCCAGTTCTTTGTATTTCTAGGTGTCCAACTTGCATGGGCGTCGAGTGGCTGCTGATGCAAGCAGGGTGAACTTCCTCGTTCATGCCTCTCTCTCTGCAATTTCCCTCACATGCTGTGGCAGGCTTTGGGAGGTTCAGACAACCAAAAGGCCAGCCTGCCATGACTGTAGGGACGTGCATGCCTTCATATGTTGAATGCACTATAGTGATGCACATGGAATGCGGCCTTGTGGGTACAGGGCTGCATCGTCGTAATAAGATCAGAATTCGTCGGTCCTATGCTTCGAATGAGACCGGACGATTGTGTCGACCATCGGAAGGAAGCCTGGAGGAGCCGGCAACGACATCATGTGACATCGTGTGATCAACGAAGCTAGAGGAAATATCCCAGTATCACAGCACCTTTTCTGGCATTGAAGCTGCCAGGAAGGCCTGAACAGCTTGGACATGGAAGTCTGATTCCAAGCTGCGTGTGGTGGACATGCAGCCGCCAGTCCTTGAAGCTGAAGTGGCAGCAGCAGCAGCAGCCCCGCATCCCCAAAATCAGGAGGACCTTACGATAATGTGGGTCATAATCTGTTGCGTGCAATGCTTCTCTTGTTGCTTTTCATCTGAGGATGAGGACGTTGGCGAGCTTGTAAAGGCTGCAGCCCGAGTGGTTTCACATAATTTCTTTTCAATCACGGTGAGAATCTGTTCAAAGTGACCGTGCTGAATGCTGACGTGTTCCGAACCATGCCCAACGTGCGTGTGCATGTCCAGTCTGCATGCGAGGTTCTGATTTCAGATTGTCGCGGGCTGAGCAGATGGGCAAACGCCGGGAATGGCGAAATGGCCTGCTTCAATATGGAATCCTCGAGACCTTGAGCGCTCGACTGGTGCGACAAGGCTACGGTAGATTCTCAGTACAGTTCTGTTTCTATGCAAAGCTGAAGATGGGGATGTGGAAGACCTCACGTTCTCCGCACAGCACAAAGCCACGCGAATGTAGGACCTAGCTACACATGTTGAATTTGGATGAGAGTCATGGGGGAAGCTGCTTGGGTTCGAGTTGAAGGGGCAGATTTCCACCAGACCATAGGAAGAGGCCTTTCCGCACGACCTTTAACACGCCTTGACTGTTAGCATCCCTGTCTCGGACTCGGTGGCTGAACGCTCTGCGATATAAGTTCTTTGGAGGCCTAGAAACCACTAGAAACCAAAAGCGACCTAGACTGCTTTCGAGTATCACAGGTGCTGCGCTTCAACAGCGCGCACAGCGCCCTGCAGCTGGGAGTGGCAGCAGCAGTGGTCCAGGCCAGAAAACTCGCCGGCGCTCGCTGACTTGGGGGGTATAGATCGGGGAAAATGACGGGGTCGCTTTAAGCCAGGTCCCCTTTTTTGGGGATAGTGTTCTAAGGCGTTTCATTATGCAGGAACCCTCACATTCGCTTTTAGGCGGGCTGCAGACCTGTGAGGAAATTTATGTCCACCCTGCTGGAGTTCATGCCAACACCTGTCCACATGTCTCCAACAGACTTCACGTATCGCGAGGCCCAGAAGGACAAGTGCCGAACGACTTCTTTGAAACCCTGCCAGCGCGCGCACAGCAGGTGCATCAAGTTCATGGCTGGTGTCTGCAGGGCTTTTGGACTTGGGGATCCAAAATTGGGGCGCGACTCGCGCATCGCGAGCTTTAGGCACTTCGCCGCTCCCTGCTCTTTCTCCTATGCCCAAGCCGCGAACAAGCGGCCGGCTCTTGTCCAATTTCTTGTCAGGTGCTTGCTGCCTGAAAAATCTTGGCTTCCCGACGAACCAAACCGTGGCCCGGTGGAGTCCGTAAATTATCTAATGCAGTTCTTTGTTGCAATCCCGTTGGGAGCCTTCTGATTCCCAAGTTTGCACTGCATCTGAAGCCGTGAGCTCCGCCAGGACGCACCGCTCCAGGCGGCGCAGAAGTTGCCGAGCCCTAAGAG